GCCCCTTTCCCAGTGTTCTTTTATACATTGCTAACCATTCCCAATTGGTTCTCTTAATCTCTTCAATTAAGTGTTTGTGTTTAAAAGAATCTCTCCACAAGAAGGATACCTTGTGAAGCTATTTGAGATGTTTCGACAATGTGATAAATGTGCTAAATCAAGTGCAAGGATTATTATTATATTGTATGGCTCTCAAGATTCAACACAATTTTCTTGTACATGTTACCTGACCAATGCTCCGTAGAAGCAGTTTAATAATAATAATTTAACTCTGCTTTTAGATTTCCATAGCCCTTGTTAGAAGTCCCAGCCAGCACTTCATTAATTTGCCTATTTGATTGCTCACTGCACCTGGAAACTAGCTTTTAATAATTGATGTAACTATTCCCTGAATTCCTCTGATTATCCACCACTTTCATGTTTCCCCTATTTAGAGTGCGTCTGCACTCTTATGTCCACAATATTTACCATCTCACACAAAGCTGAACTGTATCTGCTCTCTTCCGCTTGCTCACGTAATCTATCCATGTTCTATTACGGTTTTCTATTCTCTTAATAATACTTTCATTTTTAGATTGAATAATTCTTGATTTATGCCAGAAGTCAAGAAATATTCAATCAAGAAAATCCTGGAATCACACTATTGATCGAACAACGACTTATCTAGACTAGTGCCAATGCTGCAACCGTCCCATGGCCTGTAACTTGGCCAGGACTGCTGTAAAAAGTGCAGTGACTATGGGCGAACACGGTAGCCAATTTGTGCACAATAATGCCCCCCAAATAGCCATGAAGTGAATGACCAATTTTATTTCTTGAGGGTGTTTGGGCGTGGGGAGGGGGAAGGGACGAGATTGCTGGGCACAAATCCGAAGAAGGGTCCTAGGTTCTGTTTGAAAGATCTTTGAAACCTTCAGCTCAGTGAAGAATGGTAACAGGGAGGTCAAACAGGATTTTAGGGTGCGAAGCCAGAGAAATAGTTCACAGGATGTAACAAAGATTGTACAAGGCTTTGATGTGATCCCACATGAAGTATTTTGTACAGTTCTGGGCTCCGTGCATCAACATTATTATAAATAAGATACATGCAAATATATTTTACACACTTATCCTATCAAGGGCTTGTGCCTGCAGTTGCCAAGTGTGCCTGTGACACCTTTCTTTAATATGGGAACATTTGCTAACATTTGTCTGTCTCTTGAATCCTCACCAATGGTGACCGACTCAAAGTGGCCATTGATAGCTTAGTCTCTCTAAGTACCCTGGGATCTAGTTCATGTTCATATTATAAACCATTTAAGCCCTTGTCTGCATTGAATGAGTTCTTCTCAGTAAACAGCTGATCGCAGTAACAGTCAAAGTTCCTGGATCATCTGCCAAAATGTCACTTGCTTCTTCAGATCATTGAAGATTGGTAACATTGAGTTGATCATCCTCAGGTCTGGCGTCTTTCCTACGGCTATAATTATGGGTTTGCCAATTTATAACTATCAGCCTAAACATAGCTGCCATATCTAAAAAAAATAATAAAATGAATAGGCAGCATGGTAATTCCTACAATTTAATTACAGAAGTTGAATTATTTATTTAACTTGCAAATATCCTTTGATCTCTCAGATGACCTTGGCGTCAATAGTTTTTTTTTCTATTTCTGACAGCTGCATTTTTTTCCCTTCTTAAATTAATCCAATTAATTTAAATCTGCTGCACCACATGTATACTCTTAACCCATCTGCTCCTAATCTGGTTTCTGTGTATTCGCCTGTTGCCTGCCAAAGGCACAACTATGCTTTGTGCTGTTTACACGCCAGACACACCATTGCATCCTTTGGGCTCAAACCATAACACAGAGCTGGATGTGCAAACAACCAGTCAGAGTTACCAAATTCATCTGAGGTGTCCAGTTCACAGGGCTTCACGTATCAATTGCATCGTCACATAAATGTTCTTCCAATTGCTGTCACCAAATGAGAGATGTTACAATACTTGCTCTGCTTCAAGGCTTCACATCGCCATTATTTCTGCTGGAAGGAAGAGATAGGGTTGGGGGTGGGGGGGGAGCAAGGTAAGCAAAGCATCCACGATAATAATAATAATAATAATAATAATCCTTCTATTGTTCATTGCAGGAAGAGCTGATCTGCTCTATAATAAAAATAATAATCCCTCCAAAACCAAAAACAATAATAAATTGGTCATTTTCAATCCATAATACTGTTTGTAGGACATTGTTGTGCACAATTGGCTGCCACGTTCGCCCACAAATATACAGTCAATTACAGTGTGTTCTGTGAAGCGCTTTGGGACGTCCTCCCGACATGAAAAGCGCTATATCAAATGCAAGGATTATTATTATTATTATTATTATAATAGAATGAAGGAGGGTCAACTGGAAATCTACAGGATCACAAGAGATATTCAAATGACGACCTTTTGACCCATTTTATCTCATCTTGAAATAACACATATCCCATCATTTTGCCATTACAGTATCAATCAAACGTATCCCACCAAAACGTAACAAATCATCTTCCCTCCTTGCAGAGTAATGTTGACCAATAGTTAACATTCCTCAGGTTTTTTTACCCCATTCAATTTTTTTATGATTAGCCAAATGTATGACACTGAAACCCACTACTCCATGCTTAAGAGTATCCAAATCAAAGAATACACTGTTTGGTTTGGATATTATTAAGCATGGTGTTGGGTTTCTGCATGTGTCAAGACACCTGGTTGATCAAAAAGCTTTGCATCTGCATAACTGATATCCCAAGTGCCTTTGCAGAGTTTTCTCCAGTGAAGTCACACTACCCAGGAAGACTTCCACTTGGACCCAATATTTAGTTGTGGTTGAAATCTCATAAAGCCCTGTGATACACAGGAGTTTAGGTCAGAGGTTTTTCACTTCAAACACAAACACCATGGAAATCCTGGGCACGCAGTGAGGACACAGTTGATATCTGTGGACTGCCATTTCATTTGGCAAGCCTGCCCAGTTAACACTTCCAAGATCCCAGCAAAACCATTGTTACAAACCAAGAAACGAAGAGATTAATGTCAAAAATTAAAACCCAATGATTTGTGTGAGAATCTCAGAATAATTTATTTTCATATCAGAGCAATAATATATCAGTTGTGCTCTTATTTCAAAGGTATAATATCAGCAAAGTATCCTCCTGAAGATTTCATTATTTAGTATTTGTCAGTCCCGACAAGGCTTTAGAAATCAAATTGTGCTGCATTTCCAATCATTGAACCTGGTATCAAAAATTATCCAGTGATTAAAAGCCCTCAGGATGAAATATTAAATAGGTGTTCTAGTTTGGCACCTAATTAAATGTCAGACTATATACAGATCAGCAGGCAATATGATAGTATATTATATATTTCATAGCAGGATAACTGGGGTAATTCACCATTATGTTTCTCTATTAAAAATCATTAGCAAGGTGTTCTCAAGGGATTTCTCTTTTTATGTGTCTAACCTCTGTCAATGTCTTGGCAGTATCCTCTTCCTATCTCTCTCTCTCTCTGAAGGTGTCTGAGTGTTGTTTCTCCATCATTTGGAGTCATTTACAGTCTGTGTGTCCGCCTTTGTTAGTACAAATTAAATTTTTAATTTTAATTTTTAATTAAGAAAATGATTTCAGAATAAAGGCTAAATAGCTTAACATTCAGTAACATTAAGGGTGTGAAATTTAGGAATTCTAAAACAAGGCAAACATTTCCAGGCATGCAAGGCTTCAAGGCAGATAAATCAGTTTACCTTATCTCTTTCAAACCTGCTGTATGACTGAAGCATTCGGTTTTCTGTCAAATGTTCTATTCTGCCAAATATTAAGTTTGTGAAAAAAATGTATTAATGATAATAATCCCTCAAGAAAGCAAAGCAATAATATATTGGTCATTTCAATCCGCGACTATCTGTGGAACACTGCTGTGCGCAATTGGCTGCCGGTTTCGCCCACGAATATACAGTCAATTCACTTTAGTCTATTCTGTGAACCGCTTGAGACATCTAGAAGATGTGAAAAGCGCTATATCAAATGCAAGGATTATTATTATTATTACATCTGTTTTTCTCTGATTCTGAAGTGACACACCAATTCAACATTAGGAAGTCACATGATGTAGTGTAATTGGACTTTCAAAATGCCTTTTGATTGTAAAGAGTGACTTGGGCTGTTCACTTATAAATGAAAGTTAAATACCGAAAAAATGCAAGGCACTGCCTACAGGAAGTAAAAATAGAGACACAAATAAAAAGAAATAACACTCATTATTATTGTACTGTAATGTCTCATATCAACTCACAGCTAATTATTGAATTTCTTGTAGGTAAATATGACAGCTACTTGTGCCAGCAAGGTCCTATAAACACGCATGAGGTAAATGACCAACTAAACTGGAGGATTGTTGGACAAGACACCAGGCAGCAGATGCTCCTCTTCTCTCTTTGAATAGTGTCATAGGACCTTTAACATTCATCTGCAAAGAAACAGATGTATTCTCGGGACAAGATGGAATGACTTATTTCTCCCCATGTCTAAACAGAGGAAAGATCAATAAACAGGGCAAACGGAATGCTGGGCTATACAGGATTACTAACTCAGTAAAGTTGAGATCACCAGAAATTACATTCAAGTTCACCAACAAAATAAACATTTTATACTGTACAGTAAATCCTGTGAAGTGTTTTTGAGATGTTCTCCTGACATAACCAAACACAATATCAAATACAAGGATTATTATTAATAAAATATACAGTGCCCTGGTCAGGCACTCCACACATAAAGCACTACGTACAGTTCAGGTCATCGCAAAAGAATTCACTCCCAAAGAATCTCTGCATGTCAGTGTCTGCGTTAGGTGCAAGTTCACAACTGGGTGTAACCAACAACATTCAGGTGCAGCTGTGTCAGCACCATCAGTTCAAGCATTGGGTGGCCTGAATCTTCTTCAGCTTTCTAAAGTAACTCAAGAAGATCACGTTTTATTCTGAACGTTTTATTTCGAAAGGTTGGCATTACAATTGAAAACAACTCAAATGAAGTATTCTACACATAATTACTTTACAATGGTGTTTGGTGAAATCCCTGAATGGATATTGCTTCAGCTTCAGTCAGAAATGAGTGGACAGTTATTCCTCAATCACTATATTCACCACAAGTGGCAGAAAAATGAGACATAGCAACCAAGTTTAACTGATGCAATTCTTGGCTGATGAAACTGGCTCTGAATCTACAATAAAGTACACCACACTTTGTAACTACAGAATTATCAATAACCTTAAACCTAAAAAATAGTTGTCACAATGATCAGCTTGCCACTTTATTTTCTCTGTTTTACTTGCATAATAAACATGCAATGATGTATTTTTATTTCCTTAAAGATGATCAGAATCTTTTGTTCAAAGATCTGTACTGTTGCTGTATTGCATAAGAGCATTACCAAAATAAGGAAGAGCGAAATAACCAGAAACTAACGTCTTAGGTTCATGTGAATGTCCTACACTTCTCCTGAGACACACAGAAGTCAGACAGAAGCATGTACATCAAAAGATTGATTTACAGTGTGACACGGTCATGCACACAACTTCTTTGACTTGCATAGCTCAACCCACGCATAGTAAGGCACTATTTCCTCATCGCAGCCCAGTGTCCGTAAACAGATTGCTCTGCACATCAAAAGTATACATTACCATTCCGGATGAAGAAATACATGAATGTACGGGATGGGAGTGAATATCATCTTTCACGCATGTGCTCACATGATGAACAAAATGTCTTAAACGTCTCTGCACATGGTTTGAGATCAATACTTGTTTTTCTACATCAATTTAAAAGCAGATGCGCTGACAAGAGCAGAATCAGTGAGCTATAGCCTCTGTCCTCCAAGTGCACACTGAATAGGTTATATACAAAGAAAGATTTGAAAGCATTCAAAGAGGAAATCTGTAGGTTTTTCAGTGTTTGTGGGTCATCTTAGTCCTTTGCTTTAATTGAGCTGGTCTTCATACTGCTTACGAAAGCAATCTCCGGCAGGAAAGAATTCCCAGCAGCGTTCTTGGTACATTTTCCACACATAAGACTCCTATCAGACAAAGAAATGATCAGTTTACACGGCACTGTCGTACCGTATAATCAGTGATGCATGCAAGTCAGTTCTGGCACTGAATAAAACATGCACATCTGTGTCAAGCTTGTAACATTGAGCAAAGTGTAAGCGAGCAATCAGGAACACTGGCTGGAGTCATGCTGGATAATGTGCAAGAAGTCTAGAAGTACCAGAGTCACTCACCCTGAATAACAGCATGATTTTTTTTTAGACCTCACTGACATCCTTCGGTAAAATTTTATCTGAATTTAAAATTTACTTTTTCTGCAAATCACCTGAATATAAAGCCACGTTTCCTTTGCTAACGGTCTCTTCCCACCATTCAACAGGATTAGAACATTTAACATCGGGTCAAAGCTGAAAACCGCACTTGTTTTCTCGCAACGCAAAACTCACCAACAGATGCCAAATGTAAGGGAAGATAATCGACAGAACAGGAAAGATAAATAATAACGACTGTATAGAATTTGTTATCATAAAACAGTGGCTGAGGAGTGTGTTACACAAAGCAGCAGCGCAGTCCCTAGGTTTGGGTCAAAGCAGTGAGGTCTTGTGGTGTATGATACCACCTAAGCCTTGTGAGTGTCACACTTCACAGTACAAACATCAGCCACTGTTATGTTGCTAGAAAACAGCAGGGGAAGCCTGGTGGGGAATCATGTACCTCAGTGTGGCCCCTACCTGCCCTGTGTGCTCCGTTTCATCTTTGTTAATAAGATACATCAAGAAAAACCTGTAGGAATAGAGAGACCAGTTAGACACATCAGAAGCGATTCAACCTCTCTGCCTCTTCAAATAAGCATCTGCACTTTTATCTGAAAATTTGCTTCATGTACAAATTCCAAGGGATTCCCAGAAACATTTTCTTTCATTGGTAGATCTAAAACATTACACAACAGAATAAGGAATTTCACAGGGATCCTTTGGAAATCTAAGTATTTTTCAAAGGGTTAATCAGAGATCAGCATTAGTAGCTAGATAATCTGTGGTACACTGATAAGCAATCTCATTGTTCAGCAATATGAACAACTGAAATATTTAATGAAACATTAAACTGTCAGGTTTCATACTAACCCTGCACTAACATTGTGTATGGAAGTATATTTGAGTTTGTGCATTCAGGACATCCTTGAATACAATGATCATGGGAAGAATGAAGAATCTTGTTTTATTAAAGGTCCATCTTTAACTTGAGACACCAAGGGTGAAAATTAGTTATTCACAGCGGGAGTCCAAAATAGCCACTGCTGCAGGGAACTGGATGTGCAGAAAGTCAACCTGCAGGAACTCCACTCCAACAGGCTTTCACATTGAAGAGCGACTTTTAAGAGTACAGTTTAACAGGAAGAACACTGCATTGTGTGATGCATCAATTGACACGACATTAGAATACATAGCGCAGAAATAGGCCATTCGGCCCAACTGGTGTATGCCGGTGTTTATGCTCCACCTGAGCCTCCTGCTGCCTTTCCTCAACTAAGCCTTCAAACTAATAGAACAATCATAGAGCAAATTAATACAGTTCAAAAACTGGTCAATGGATGTGACAAATAGTGCGTGGTCTGCAGGCATGCTCTGAATTTATTTTATTACACCAGCAGCAATCCAATGCTGCATTCTGCAAAGTGGACATCCAGTACAGTGGAGTCCGGTAGCTCAGTGGTTAGAGCACTCGCTTGGCAAGCGAGAGACCGGAGTTCAATTCCAGGCAGGGCGAAACCTTGGGCAAGTTTCCTAACTCCACACGCCTAATAATAATCCCGCCAAAACCAAAAACAATAATAAATTGGTCATTTTCAATCTACGACTGACTGTGGGACATTGCTGTGCACAATTGGCTGCTGCGTTCGCCCACAAATATACAGTCAATTCACTTTACAGTGTGTTCTGTGAAGCTCTTTGGGACGTCCTCCCGACGTGAAAGGCGCTATATCAAATGCAAGGATTATTATTATTATTACAGTTGACTTCTCCGCACGACCACTGAAAATGGTGTCCGTGGGTGTGTGTGTGTCTAGCAAATCCAGGGACCAGTTGATGTGGAGTAACATAAGGTCGCTAATTTTAATTTAGGTTATCAAACTGCATCTTTCGTATGAATTAAAATCACATCACAATTTTCACCCCAGGTATTCCTAATAAAGTACCCAGTTTCCAAAGGAAAGAATTCCTGTTTCGTGCTGGTTCAGTGTACTGCCTTCAGTACCTCTCCGACCTACTATCCCCCTAACTACCTGCCCGTACCCTCCGTTCCTCTGTCTCCGGTCTGCTCCACATCCCCCGTCCCAACCGCCCAACCATCGGTTGCCGGGCCTTTAGCCTCTCAGTCCCTAGGCTCTGGAACTCTATCCCCCAGTGCCTTCGCCGCCTCCTCCCTTTCCTCCTTCAAGGCCGGTCTCAAGACCTTTCTCTTTGACCGTGCCTTCAGCTCCCCTCTCGACTCTCTACCCCCTCCTCGCTCCCTCCCTTCCCTCCCCTCACCCTGACCATTTCCCCCTTGCTTGGGTCCTGACCCAACTGTCCAGCGCCTTGGGACGTCCTCCCAACGTGAAAGGCGCTCTATAAATGGAATCTTGTTGTTGTTGTCGTTGTTCAGTGAAATTCGCTTAACTAAAAAATGGAAAAGCAAAAAGAAGTTCGGCTGATGCCGACAAAGATCTCAGTGCGCACAGAATGGACACTTCATCAAGTCAGTGAGATATTGGAATAAAGACGCCCACTTGCCAACACTGTTTTGAAAATGCATTTGCAATGCAGGGAGTACATTTCAAATAAAACCCTTACAAACCACCCACCTCTCCTCCCCCAGGTCCAGTAAAGAAATAGAAGAAATAATAAAACAATTACAATAAACAATTGTCTTCTAATTATGAATCTCGTGAAGTAGGATTAAGTCCCCAGGAAGTTGATGCCTCCCTGTTTATGTTGTCTCCATGGAATCTTTAGAAGATTTAAATCAAAATTTTAAATCAAAATGCCTCTTAAACAGCTACATCTGACAATGCAGACTAAATTACCATAACTCTGTTGCAGTGCTATGGGATTCCATGGATTTTATAATGATAATAATCCTTGCATTTGATGTAATGCTTGTTTTAGGAGGACATCTCAAAGTGCTTCACATAATCTATTGTGAGGAGTAGTGACTGTGTATTTTGTAGATGAACATGGCAGCCAATAACAGTGAGAGGACAACTCCGCCTTCAATTCTAATGAGATGCTGTTTTCGTTACCCCCAATTCCCAATTCCGCAAACTCAGCCAATCGTCAGTTTTCTCTGCAACATCGGACATCTGTGTCTTTCATTGAGAGATTGATATCTGTAAACATTTAACAAGCCACACGGAGGCTAGAGTGATAGTGACTAACCCAGTGATGATAATAATCCTTGCATTTGAAAAGCACCTGATCAGGTCGTTGAGATGTCTCAAAGTGCTTCACAGGATATATTGTGAAGTGGATTGACTATAATTTGTGGGCAAACGTGCCACCTCTCCACATACTGTTTTTTGTAACACATTTATACATCAAGTTAATAATTTAACTGAATCGAGTCCATGTTATTCATGATAAATTATATTTCTGAGATGCGTTTAAAAAAAAACACATGCTGTGATATCATTATGGTATAACTTAAACTTGAACCTATCTAGGTTCACAGCTCCAAATCGCTTCCTTCACACTCCCTCTGCCAGTTTTTGCAGCTTTTAATAGTGTAGGCCTCTTCAATCTATAAAAATAAATGATTTATAGCACTCAATATTCTATTTTCATTTTATTCCCCCCCACTCTCCCCAACAGCAGATGAAATGATTTGGAATTGAACCACTAGCTGGAGTTATTAACTTTTCTTTGTCTATTCTTTCCCCTTTTGGACACGTCGAGCTGATCAAAAGACTGGCTCTGTTGGCCCAGCCTGAAGTGATTAAGTAGGGGGGAAACTCGAGTACTTACAGGTAATTTGCCAAATTGTGCTCCTGCAGTGTGTGAGTTTCAAAGCCATGAGGCACCGTGTCAAAATAGTCATTGCCAATGCCACAGATGAAACATTTGGTCTGGAACAAAAAAAAGTAGATTAACTTTTATGTATGTTTTTACAACCAATTTAGGCCCTGCTATGCCCCACTTACAGGGAATTTACTGCAAGATAATCTGTGCATACTGTGGGCAATACTTTCAGTCATCTAATTCAGAATCTAAAGCACAAAGTCCTACTTCTGATTGTTTGTTAAGGGTATGAAATTACTCTGCTTCTTCCCCAGCATTTCACCTGCTCTCACACCTTTGCTAATATCTCTCCAACACATTATCTCAGATAACATCACCTTGGATAACAGCCCAAGATGAGAAAGATTCCACATTACTCTTCTGGCTTGTCTCTTTCCCCAAGAGGAAAAAGGTTTTCCAAACACACTCATAAAAACTCGTAAGCTTACTTTATTCTTTACTCTAATTTCTAAATCAGCACATGTTATTACTATAATCATGCAGTGGGTAAAAAAAACAGTTCTAATCAGTTCTCGGTGCCACAACACAAGCTGCCTATCCTAGGCAAAATGAGGAGAGCAATGAGAATGATCACCAATATTAGAGTCAAGCGCTGTGAAGAATAGTTCAGTTGGGGCTCTTTCAAAGTTTTGAAAGGAAATGGCTCAGAGGAGACATTATAGAAGTATATAAGATGCTAAATGGAATAAGGTTATAATGTATAAAATATTATAACAATTAGAAGCTCAAGTCCCAACCTGACCACAAAAAGCATGGATGACATCTTCAGGTGAAACTTTTTGAATGTTTTAAACATTTCTTAAATAATAATTTCTCTTTGGGATTTCTCTATTTCAGTCAGATTATTTAGTTGAGAATTCTTTAAAGCTACGTATGACTTTTTCTTACCATTGAAAGTGACAGGGTTCTTACCTCCATGTCTTCTTTCACCTGCTCTTGCTGATCTCTTAGTTCACCAAAAGCATCAATAATCAAACCTAGAGGGAATTGAAAACAAGTTTGTGGTTCAGTCTGTATCCACAACATTCAGGAAGACTGAAATTCTGGTAGGCATTTCACTTTGGCGATGAGTGATTATAATGGAAAAAAACAATTAGCTTCCCACATTGCCAAGGGCACTATATGTGTAATGCTGCCTGGAATCTCAGCCCACAGGGCACTTGGTGGACAGATTAGTGCCCAATGCTGGCATGAGCATCACTGAACCAGCACATCAATCTGACAACTGTTTAGTTAGTAAAATAATTCTTCAACTTGATATAGCAATGTTTTCCACATGTCTCAAAGCACTTCACAGTCCAGTATTGTATAATATATTGTACAACATATTGTATTGTATATTGTACAACATAAATTTATATTTATCTTTCATGTCAGGAAAACATCCTATGGTGCTGGGATGTAAAGTGATGCGACTCTGTGCATTTTGAGCAGAGAATTTGTTGACCAAGACACTGGGAAAAACTCCTTTCTCTTTTCAAATAGTACAATGCGATCTTTAATATCCACGTCAACAGGCAAACAGGACCTCGGTTTAACATCTCATGCAAAGGTTGAGATTATTGGTATTATTGTGTATGAGTTTCTTCACAGATTCCAGAAAAAATACACTGGCCAGTCTTGATGAGAACGACTGGCAAAATGAACTCCAAGACATCTTAATAATCAGATTTGTACTGCACCAAACTAAAAATAACAAGTCATGGTCTGGGAAGCCATCTCCCCATCATATAATTCATCATTAAAAGTGAAGTGTCAGTCATTGCTGCAAATTAATTTCTAAACATGACATAAAACTATAGGAATGTACAGGACCAACAAAAATTGCAATTCATATGACCCCTCAATCCAAAATCATGGAGAACAAACCAAATGCCACTTGATGGCACAGTGATTAGTTTCACCTCTCTAGATAGGGATATCTGGCTCTAATATAACTCAGTCAGAAAGGATGCAAAGTCTGCTGCATTGGTTTGTTGTAAGCATGAAATGTGGGATGAGTTTGGGCCGTCTCAACCTTCACTTCACGGCCATGAGTTTAAAGGATTAAACTGCACTGAATTTATCTCTAAATCTGTAATCTAAACCATGACACACGACGGCTGGTGAAGGAATTGGAAAATTTCTTATTGCTACAGCAGGGTGGAGGGTGGGTGTCTCTATATAAGTTGGAGACTGAGGGCCATTTTATCTGCTCAGTCTATAGAAAGCTTAACTTTACATCTGACATGCTGTACCTATTCTATTGCATGCAGAAATTCACTTGATAATAATCCTTGCATTTCAAAATGTACTGTAAAGTGAATTGACTGTATATTTGTTGGCAACATGCAGCAGCCAATTGCGCACAGCAGTGTCCCACAAACAGTCATGGATTGAAGCGACCAATTTATTATTGTTTTTTTCTTGATTGATTATTATCAGGAATGTGGAGTAAGGAAACTTCCCCAAGGTTTTGCCTTGCCAAGAATCAAACTCAGGTCTCTCGCTTGCGAGGTGAGTGCTCTAACCACTGCTACACCTGAGCTACAGCATACATGGGTGCTGCTGGAAGCCAGTTGCTACATGACACAGATGAATAACTTTTCGGCCACACAAGCTCTGACAGAATCTCACCTACCCTGAATGATGGCCAGGAGGATGACTATTACAAAGAAGAAGAAGGTGATGTCAAAGATGATCCGATAGATTTCGTATTCATCCCCAGCAGGGTCTTCGATCTCATCCCCGATGCCTCCTCCAGCACGGACCCCCACATACATGTGGAACATGTAACACTGTAACAGAAATCACAGCTAAATGCCTCTCCTAGCACCAGTGATTGCTGAAGGGACCACATCAAGCTCAGCTCTGTATATTCTGGAGAGAGACACACATTGCCAAACTGCTACATATTGATACTACCCAATTCTAAAATACAAAAAAATGTCAAAGAAAAGTAAACAGTAAATGTAGGAACAGCATCTTCATATTTGCACTCTTTCAGGTGTGGTCTTCCTGCTGGCTCAAAGGTAGGGAGAGATCAAGTGCTTCCAAGAGTGAAGAAAACTCGGATGGAAGAATCCTTTCCTGGATCAACCAGTGGTGTGTTTCAGACCCCCAACATATACAGGAGTACAGGCAGAAGCACTGGATCTTACCAAATTGCAACAAGATACTATGTTGGGAGAGATAACGCACAAGAGGAATGAGCTTATATGAGTACATGCAAAGCAAGAGCAAAACACACTGATCAATCAATTATAAACATAAATTGCTTTTTAAAAGACCAAGCTTTCCAAGGATGAATTTAATAATTTTCCAACCTTCTGCACAAACTTAAATTTTATGGCAGTGATTTTTAAGCTAAAACCATGAAGAGTTTTTTATCACAGGCTATTTTCTGTTGAGGTTACCTAGCAATGCTACCATCACTGTTGAAACAAAGGATAAACAAAGTGACACTTCTGTACCCAGGAATAATCTTTTCCTGCAAACAAAAATATGCCTCCCCACTGCCTCCAACAATGCCCATGCTGTTTTTTCCTGCCTGTTGGTGCATTCAGTGTTTCTTTACACTGCTAGCTTGTTCTTCACAATGTCCATAGCCAGCAAAGGAAAGCAGCAAGCCTGACTTTGAAACGACTGGTGTTTGTGAGCTCATGTGGGAGTTTTGGCATCCATGGAACTGAAACAACTAAGAAATTCCCTTTTAGACAATCCGACAGACCTAGCAACAGCAACAACAGCATAAACAAATTGCCGGCCGAGGATGGAGGTGAGAGGCTCACAGAATTGCAACACATTTATAATAGAAATGCAGCATGTGTCAAAAGAAAACTTTATGAAACATTTACATAATAATTCTCCAGTGCAGACCCTGGGAAAATAGTGCGCTTTTGGCCCTAGGATACTGGCAATATAATTTCCAATTTGAATATAAAATCTGTCAGCCCCATGTGAAAGAAAGTTGTGAGTTTAGTTTTAATAATTCAAGAACATATATGAAAAGCTGTTTCAAATTTCATTCCAGTAAAACAATTCACTGTCTGAATGATACCTGTTGGAAGTTCTTGTAAAGCAGGTCAGGAATACAAACACAGTGCGTGTAAGCATAAATCTGACAGCTTCAGTGCCTTCTGACACTCTTCTATGCTTTTCTGAACTTAAAAATACATTGTCTGTTGCCCAAACAAACTGGAGGTAGATTTAAAATCCTGAATCGATGCTTCACAGGATACCCACTGAGTTGAGTAGCTATCCTATTTTCAGTTGCACGCAAACACCGATACTCCAAGGCAGCAGACAAGAAGGCACAAATTTGTGTCAGTAAAGGGTAATTTCAGGACCGATAGCAAGAAGTGCAGTATTTTTTTTACCCCAGAGGGTAATTAGCAACTGGAACAGGTTGCCAGCACAGGTCATTCAGCCCAGGACACTGGATTCATTTTAAAAACAAATGGATGCTGTGATGGGAGGTTGATGAGGGCGGGTGCGCTAAAAGGATGAGATCGGATGGGTCGAAGGGCATTCTTCATCTGAATCTCTGCAATCAGGGCAGCAAATGAACAGAGATGTTTTCAGGTTGTGTCAAGGCCGGGAAGGAGGAACTAACTCTCTAAAATTCCCCTCAAATGCCGATCTCAATATCTACTCCCTTGAAGTTGGGATTTCAGAGAATTGGCTGCAGATATTGCGATCCCAGATATTGAAATCCCTGAATGGAGAATAGCTTCCCCTTCTCATTTACTCAATGAAAATGAATCTGAATAGAATCACCACAGAACAGAAAACTGATCACGACTGAACTTCCTCCAGCTTTACTGGAGCTCTACTTAAAAATTATAGTACAGCATTTCTTGAAAATCTCATCACCAAATTAACTTTGCCAAGCTAATGTTTTAACATGGGTTGAATAGAATTATGAAGACCTCGGATACGACTCTGACCTGAACTAATTTCCTACTAAGTCAGCTCACTTAAGCTCATGTGAACATAGAAAAGTCACGCAAAACAAAATATATCCCATTAATATTCAATCAATTCAGTATTTGACAAAGCTCTATTGCCACCATCTTACTTTTTATACACCAAAATCTATATCTTTGCAAGCAGAACTCCAGAGGGTCAGCCTACACATCAGTCTGGTTTCGATATTTGCAAATCCTTCGCTATTTAGTTGCACATTGCACATCTCGCAATTTAGAGCCCCGTGTCTGGACAAGAGTGAATTAAGATAAAATCCAGAGACAAAAGTAAATTATACTTTTCATGCTTTGAAATATTTCACGTGCTTAAGTATAAGTCCATTTCCCTTAAAAATTGATATTGTGCAGAATTTTGGAATACAGATTTAAATGCAATGTTCATTTTTTTTGATATGGGTGAAAATCAACTTCCAAGTTAAAGACTGAATTTTGGACAAAATTTCACTGGATTACATTTTGAGACAATGGCTTTAAAAATCAAAGAGTTATAGAAAGTTTGCAGCATAAAAGGTCATTACTATTACTATGCTAGTGCTGGTTCCCTCCCAAAAAATCTATCTAAAGTAATCCTATTCCCCTGCTCTTTGCATCAAATATTTTAGCATTATTTTTCCCTCAAGTAATTTTCTTGACTTTTAGATACACAATCAACTGAAATTTAAATGCCAAGATGAACAATTCTCTTTTTTGCACAAAAAAATGGAAATTCATAAATACCAAATATTTGAAAAAGCGCATTTTCATGAATAAAGGCAAATATCATTCATATTAAATATTAATAGACCTGTACACAGTTCTTTTATTGAGGCTTCAAATGAAGCACAATGTTTGTGACAGCTTTGATTCTCAATTTATAATTTATCACCAGAACTGTCACCATCAGGGAAATGATGGAGTGAGAACTATGATTAAAAAAAAACTCTATTTACACACTGTGGTTGTGGGCTGTGGTTCTTTCTCCAGAGGGAAATATATAACAATATGGTTTAAAATTGTAGCCTAAAATGAATAATTCTCCCTCCAAGTGAAATGCAGCACACTATTTGATCACAAACAGGTACAGATACTTACTGTCAGCATATCATCACACTTCATGTCTGGTGTGTCTCCATCCTCACTCTTATTGTAGAATTTGCGGAAGAAATTAAATGCAACCACAGTGTACAGATACACCACAACGGCCAATAAACCCACAGTTAATACCAGCTGCACAGATACAGGAAAAAAATGTCAGGTCTTTACAGTGTAATGGCACCCATATATCAGATAATAGTGAGACCGAAATCTTTATTGTATTGTTAAACATTCGTTTTACAAGGCAATTGAGAGTATCAGTATTATAGTTATTGCAGTTTATCCACTGCAGCCTTTGCTGTTACTGTTTGAAACAACTATGGTCTTGAGATAACGGGATTCTGTTTCTCACGAATCCATCATTCAATTAAATTGTCTATTTATCTTAAGATAAATTCACAGGTCCATAAACATACAACTACAATATTTTCATCTTAAAGATACAACTACAAGCAGGATGACAGGGAACAGATGCAGAAACCTCCGTAGCCACATTATCACATAACAGGTTCGTGCCAGCCATTCTTTTGCTGTTTTATTTTGTTTCCCACATTCTGGTACCTGCTTGCCATTGTGGGTCACTGACGACAAGATAGTCCGTAATGTTTTGAATCCCATAGCGATATCCAGCAGATGGGCAGCAAAGAAAAAATTGTTATAGTGCCCCAAAATTGACATGGTCATGTACCACGCAAGGTACAGGAAAGACTATAAGCAAAAAGAAACAAGCATCATCAACAGATAAAGAAGAGTATTACAGAATTCTCTCATAGTGTGTATTGGGGTTATTATTATTTCACTAGTAGGTAGTGTTTACCACATACATCTACAATAGTGCTGGAAAATTCAATTTGCCAATTTGCTTTGGGAGATTGCATTTCAGCTGAGGCAAGTTAAGATACAAAGAAATGTATTGTGCCATGCAAGTCATACTGCTTTTACATTACAACACTGCAAACAATGGTGTCTTAGAGCTCTGGAGCAGTGCTGCAATATATAGCAAGTATGGCTGCAATGTTCAGACAGAATGACTATAATGTATAGAACAGAAGTGTATTGTATACATAATATGACCATTCTGTAAAGAGATGGGTTGTAATATACAGGGAGTTGGGCTGGAGCATGTAGGAAACATAGCTGTAATGTATATAGAGAAGTATTGTATTGTATATACAGTGGACTGTTATGAACATGGAGAAAGGCTATAATGAATAGGGAACACAATTAAAGTACAGAGAGCAGAGCAATTATATACAGATGGCTTAATAATGAGTAGACTGTAATGTAAGGAGAACAGCATCGTAATATAAAGTGAGGAGCAATACACAATGCATGTTGAGTGGGGCTGTAATGTGCAGCTTTCAGTATGCTGAATGGTCCACTCCTGTTCCTATATTACTTTGTAGAACAGGGCTGAATGTACAGTCAGATTGTATTGTATTGGAAGCAATTTGCCTAATAATTTGGCTGCAATTTGCAAGGATAAAAAAACTAATTGCTCAGAAATGAATTATGAATCATTCAAAATCATCTGCACTGCCTTTGAAAGTATTTTGCTACAAAGTTAATCATGCTTTTATCATACATTACTTACATTATCTGTAAATACCACTCCTAACTTCCAGATCTGGTACTTAACATCAATGGTGTTCAGTCTGTGTGTGCAAAACAAAAGCAGTTTACTTGAAAGGAGTTTTTCCTGTTGTTGTGGCCAACAAATAAAATTGGTTATTCACTTCATGGCTGTTTGTGCGACACTGATATGCACAAATTGGTTGCCATGTTCAGGCACTTTACAGTATATCTTCTAAAGTGCTTTGAAACGTCCTCCCAACCTTAAAGGCACCATATCAAGGGTAAGGATTATGGTTATTGTTATTTGCACCAAACCATGAAAAGTGCTGAAAGATAATGAGAAATATTGGTGAAAAAAGATTATCAGAAGTACTGTATAAAATATTTGGGTTAAAAAATGTGTTTATTTGTCCGTTTAAGATGGTCATAAATGTAACACGTGGCAAAATAGCCCGACTTGCTTATGTTTGGGTCAACTGTAGATGTTTCAGTATAAAGACCATGGTAACCAATTATAAAACTTCAGTGAATAATTCAACAAAAATATATTTATAAAAGTTATTGTTTCAAAGGGAATCGCAAAGTAATTCCTTCTTTGTGAACTTTGTGCTGATGAAGACTTAACAGCCAGGACTTGTGATAAATAGTAAGAATCTAAGGAAGGCAATACTGCAAAATGCAATGGAAGCAAATCCTCAGATTGTACTTAGTGGAACATTTCAAAATGACAAATAATTGTCAAACCTTTCCCTGGGGAAATACTGGAGCATCTATTTGGCAAGCTTTCCATTGCCAGTTTAGCTAGGGGCACCCTACCTGCTAGGGCTTTCATTATAGGGTTAGCAGAAGCTGAATGAAAGAATCCCAGCATACAGTGACTGGTCTGCACTTCCAGGTTCTGCTGATCACATTTTCTATTAACAGAATTTGTTATCAAAATACCTAATTCAGGTGTCTAATGTCTCAAGCAAATAAGTTGAGCAGAATAACTAGGCTCATTCTAGAAATTATTGAACGCTTGGAAAACATAATTCTGACAGCTTTACATCAACCGTTTTCCCATTCTAATACAGTTGAGATAAAATTCTGTTTGTTTTTATGTCAAATAAAGCATGAGCTTCTTGTGACTGATGTGTCTCGACAGAGCTACCAAGTGACATTGTCATCCTCTTTGATAGTGGTCGCTGTTTATTTTCTATTCTCGCTTTGATCACAGTGGTTTTCTTTGCTGCTTCTGCTCAGATCCAAGTCTCCAGCTGACAAACAATCTTTAAATAGTCAACAAACAGGCCACAGTTCCTCCAAACCATTAACCCGAATATCAACACTGGTGGAGGAGATGGAAGGAGAGTATAAGCTACTAATATTTAGAGTGGTGTTTGCAGCAGGAAGCAGAATAGCTTTTGTGAAATAATCAACAAAAGGAAAGCAAAGCAGAGAGCAATTAATCATTTAACAAGCATTGAAACAATCATGCAGCCTCCCTTGAGGTCTTCCCAGAATGAAATAGAAACTCTGATGTGATACAATTACAGTTCAGATGTATAAAGCAAGAAAAGGATAAAGGAAAACCAAATAAAACACCTCCTTTAGGAATTAAGAAAAATGATAAACACTAACTAAATTTTAATCCAGTTTAAATGTTCAACCAGAACACTTTTAGTCACCTCAGTCTGTGGTGGTTACTTATTTGAAACATGACTGTCATTAACCTTATAGTGATCGTTAAATTATATGGTAAGTTTATTTTACAGGAAAACAATTGTGCTCACAGTGATCTGTTGCTCGATCGAGAATGTTACGCCAAACAAGTTCCTCGCACTTGTCTATGTCTGTACTTCTACCCTGAGTGCAAATTCAGATCCTCGATTTTTGCAGTTCTGACAGGAAGCACACTAGAGGCATTGGGTCCAGATGTATTCATATATGATTTTGCTATCAATGTTAGATTTACACACACTATTCCTCCAAATCAGTCGAAGTTTTATGGGTTTGACTGACCCTATAAGAAGACACATTCCATGTCTTTATCCAGCATAAGGTACTATTTATGTTGTGTTTTTCCCCAACAAGTGATTTTCAACCTCTGTATTCGTACAAGTAAAATAACTGAATGCCAATTGAACAAAGAAGCCGACCGTATCCGAATGGTAGGAACCTGAGGAGCAGTGAAGTAAAGGGATCCAGATTAACCAGAATAAAAAAAAAGTAGTAGCATCGGTGGACAAGACCATAAAGAATGCAAAGGGAAATCCTGACTTTATATCCAGAAAAATAAAGTAAAACAAGGAAGGAAGCAATGTTAAAAACAGATAAAACTTTGGAGAGATCACACTTCAAATACTGTGTGCAGTTCTGGTTGCCATCAAAAAAAAAAGACTCCATTGCAGCAAGGGAGTTTGGTGCTAATTTACTGGGATGTTACCAGAGATGAAAGAATGTATCTATCAAGAAAGATTGGACAGGAGCTTTTGTTTTGTTTGAGATGAGGTGTTTGAGAGATGGTAGAGGTGTCTCAAATTATGTAATGGTTTGTTAAGGTGGACATAAAACGGCTATTTACAGTTGAAATTGTGGAAGAAGCAGAAAACATCATTGCATTTAAGAGGAAAGTCAATGCATGCATGAGGGAGAAGAGAACAGGAGGAATGGGAAGGAGACAGGGAGAGGGTGGAGGGTCATGTAGAGAATAAACACCAACACTGACTCATTGGCTGAAGGACCTGTTTTTGTGCTGCGTTGGCTATGCATAGTTTAAGCACATTACTCAATGAGTCTACATAACTGTGCAGCTAGCTTTATATTAGCATTGAACAGGCAAAAAGCAGATCACATTACACATAAAACAAAAAAAAGACATTTGATTCTAGCACCCTATCACGTCATCAAAGCATCTCAAAAGTGCTTCACAGAATTTACTGCCATGTGTAGTGACTCTATATTTGTCTGCAAATGCGGCAGCCACAAACAGCTATGATAGACCAGTTCTATCTGGAGGATTGTTGGTCACCTCATGTAAACTTAACAGCTTAATACTCATGCTTTTTGAGCAAGGATTTTTGCATTATAATCATCACAGAATCATAGAATTATACAGCACAGAAGGAGGCCATCTGGCCCATCATGTCTGTGTCAGCTCTTTGAAAAGAGCTGTCCAAATCAATCCCACTGCCTGCTCTCTCCCATAGCCCTGCAAACTTGTCCTCCCCAATAATATACAGGGTTCATACGATCAATGCTCACACTGCTGAGAAGGAATTTTCTTTCTTGGGCTTCTTCTTCTCCTGTGCATCACTGAAATCTAAAGCCGCCTTGTCCATTCCCAGCAGCTCGCTGATCCTGTCTCTTCCATAGAATTCTCCATATTTATCCATAACCTTCAAGAGTGCAGGATAAATTGCATCAAAAGACATGGCAATGTTGCTGTGAAAGGTTCATTCATATAACCTCACAAATGTTCAAGATTCAAAGTAAAAAAACTGCCTATTTTAACATTTTATTTTAAAATTCCCTTAGGGTTAAATATGGTCTAATATATATATTTTAAATGCATAAGGATACAATTATTAATGTCAAACATAAACAGATTGCAAGTATTTTTGTTGAACTGTCCCTCCAAGGAGAGATTGTGCATTCCATTCCAATATATGGGAATTTCCATGTGTGGGTGTGATACATGGTACTAAGTTTAGTGTGGATACTCTTAAGCATGGTGATGGGTTTCCGCGTATGTCAGAGACCCTGACCCCCAAAAAAGCATTCATGGAACAGTATTCCAAAGTCTATCTAAAATGTTGTATCATAAATGAAAGAACCTACGGGGAGCAGAAAAATTGATTTTGGCCACTGTACTCATGCCACATTAGCTCCCTCACTGGCATTACCCATTCTAATCCCATTGCTCTGCTCTTTCCCCTGACCATTTTAGAGCTTTACTCCTTGAAGCATTTATCTAATTCACTTCTGAATGTAATGACTGATTTAGCTTCAATAGCCACTTGTGGTGGAATGCATTTTATATCTTTGCAAAAAATCTTCTCAATTCCCACCTAATGCCATATCAACAAGATGTTATAAACATATTAAAATTAAATATTTCTTTGAGTAATACCCTAAATAACCTCTTCTTATTTTAATGCACAGCAAATATATTACCAAATGAGTCATTTGAACAACTTGAAGAATTAAAAATTCAAGGCAATTCTGAATAAAAGTTGAGCTTGAAATTTACCTTTCTCTTCACAAATTTGTCCCAATAATTATAAGGAAATGACCTGAAAGAAGATGAAAGGATAATTAATGATCTGATTCTCTTACTTTGATAAACTTCACATCATTTCTTGAAACTGTCCGCAGTGAAACAGTATATCAGAACACAAAGATCTAAGAATCAGAAAAGGTCATAAAACTCATCCAGCACATGGAGGTGTTGAGATCTCAAATGATTTTTATTTTGCTTTAACTGAGTCCATATTCAGTAAACTGAGCAGTCAGCTATTTCAATAGTTAGATTTAATTTAAAGATTCTCCAGTTAGTAATCCAATTATTGTATCATAACCTCCTCTAGTCCTTGCCTTCTCATACCACAACCAAATCCATCCCATTTATTCCATTCATGATTAAAATGGATACTTTTCCTCTCCAGTCTGTCATTGCGGCTCAATGCTTTACAATTATTTACCGATATTTTATTTTTCTTTGAACCATTTGCAATTACACATCTTTTCTTAAGTATAATGAGTAACATTAAGATTATATTCCTGTGCGGCTGCATTATAAAGTCAACACATCCTCCATTGGATATCCTAATATTCTATTTGTCTTGAGAATGCTGCAATTTAAACAATAACCAATTTAAATTGCTGGCTAACTGGGAACACTCTTACCTTAATAAAAAATGACCACTGAATTACAAATGCTCATCATCTAAAAAACTCACCAACCTCTAGCTTTTTATTCAGCAAACCACTGTTCCAACACATTCGCAAAGGGATTACTTAGCCCTATTGAGCTTGGTTGAAATATTGGACTTTTGGGTGGTCTAAAATGTGAGACTAGGGCAGAGCCTCGCTATATTGATAGTAAATTCCAATGAAAAATCCACTGGACAGCAAGAAATGGGACATTTATCAACTGTGGTGGGTCACTTTGTGTTCCCTTCCTTTAGGAGTAGGATTTGTCTTCCATCACTTGACCACCAGGGCTAGTGGCATGCTTACTTTTATGAAAAGCAGACACAAATGTCAAATGCTGATCTTTATGAAAAGTAGACACAAATGTAAGATGAATCGAACAATACACTCACATCCACAATTGTTGGCAAGCACCAAGATTCATCAAAAAATAAACAAAGGACTCTTGACTGATGAAATAGTTATTGCATATAGGCAGATGGCACCAGACTAACAAGTTGCATGAATACATAATTTTATCATTATATGCCAAAGGGGACAATCACATATAAGAAATGAGCTAAATATTCGATTTTTCGGATTGAATCTAATTTGGACATTGTCAGCCTTGTTACTTGTTACAATTGTGCCTGGTGGTTGTTTGGTGGTAATGTAGCCAGAAGCTCAGTTGTAATTGATTCAATCGTGTTCATAAGGTTAAGTTGTCAAAAAAAAATGGAAATTCACCATTACTGCTGAGGGGAGCATCTGACAAACAACAAATAGAACTGAACTCAATTCTTCCTGACATAATATCCTTGTCAAGAGTATTTTAAGACAACTTAAATCAATTAACATATGTCAATGTATTCCAGTTATAGCCTTCAATGCATGTAAATTAAGGGGAGTGAATCAATTTTAAATGTTAAATTTTCTACATCAATGTTCACACTGACATCTAGAGGCTATAATTAAAAAGTTTGCTGGAGAATGGATTCCCTCTGTATATTATGCAGCCTTTTCTATTGCATAAAAGCCAATTACTCTATAATGTTGCTTAGAAGCTGACCCTGCTAAAGGTGTGAATACGAACAGAAGAGAGTATATATCACTGGAAGGTTGGTTGTCACGCAACCTGCTTTCTATATTTGAAATATCCCATTTTCTGAACCACTGACTTACATTATTCTCTGATATGTGGGGCATAGAATGAAACCATTTAGTTAGTCTATAAAATTAAATTCCTGTACCACTGAGAAATTTAAGATTCCTGCACCACGAGTACGCCACTTGCAATTGTCACCGTTGTTTTAAAATTTGCAGGTTTATCCACTAGGTCTTGTGGATCTAGGTACCTGATGTAGCAGCTACTCACTGTGTGTTGATAACCAGTCTATCCCACTGTCCTTTGATGTCATCCTCTGAAGGTTGCTCTGTGATGTACAGCCCATCAAACTCGAGCTTCCTGGCCACTTCTTTCTCTCGCTTAAAGATAACCAATGGGACCTGCAGTTGTAATAAATAGACAAGCCTGCCTGAGTCATGTCACATCTCCAACGTGAGGATTAGTATTTCACCATTAAAAGGATTTCTCTCATTTAAAAATCAATGAGTTTATTAGGTCTCTAATCTCTGGAACTCCCTACCTCAATCTCTCTGCCTCACCCTCTTTAGCTGTCTTTAAATCCTACCTGAGGTCTTATTTCTTTAGCTGCATCTATGGTCACATCCCCTCCCCCTTTTCCTTTCCTCAGTGTCCAACCCCGTCACTCTGCAGCGCTCCAAGACGCTATCCTGCATTAAAGATGCTATATAATAATAATCCTTGCATTTGATTATAGTACCTTATCACATCTTCGAGACATCCCAAAGGGCTTCACAGAAGATACTGTAAAGTGAATTGACTATGTATTTTGTGGGCGAAACGCGGCAAACAATTGCACATAGCAGTGTCCCACAAAGTTGTGGATTGAGTGACCAAATTATTATTATTTTTTTTGAAGGAATTATTATCCCCGAAAAAGCGATCCGCCAATCAACTAACAACTAGCAGGCTCTTACTGCTAGGTAAACAGAGGAGTGTGGAGTAAGGAAACTTGCCCAAAGTTTCACCCTGCCAGGAATCAAACCCCAGTCCTCTTGCTTGTGAGGCAAGTGCTCTAACCACTAAGCTACAGGACTCTGCAAGGATAATTGCAAGTTGCTGTTGTCCAGTGCTGATTTACAGGGTACAGGTCATGCTAAACTGCTGTGCTATTTTTTAGCGCTCAAATCCACCATTCACCACGATTGAGAACCGATGGTCTTCAGACCCAACCTCTACAATAGAATTTACATTCATCAGGTGCTTTTCACATCGAAGTCTCAAAATGCTTCATTGTGCAGAATTCAGAAGGAGGGTACCTCTGATCTCATAAAATGCCCAAACCTACGATGGCAGCTATACCCGTTTCAAAAGCTTCTGCAAACCTAAACCCAAACCATTTTGCCACAGTTTTGGAGGTGGTGTTCATGCTAATTATTGTTAATTATTGAATGAACTTCCACCACTTTATATAAAAAAAAGCTTGAATTTAATTTTGTGCATTTCACATTGGAAGAATGTCTCAAAGGGTTTCACAGGATATTCCATAAAGTTTAATGACTGTATTTTGCAGGCAAACTTGACCGCAAGCCCCCACCAATTTGCACACCGCAATCAATCCTCCAACTAGGTAAGATACAGAATCTGTACAACCATATCCTACATTATGTAACATTAGATTGTATTCCTTGTGGGCGATGACCAAAACCTCTGGTTGCCTTACTTTTAAGCAATAATAACCAATGATGCAAAAAAAGGAGATGATGGTGTGTAGGATAGCCAGAATTCTCAGTGTGGGCTCCATATATCCACTACTCTCTTGTAGCACGTAATGCACTGTGACCCTGTGCCCACTGCTCCACCGAGAGGTTCCACCTCCTTGACTGTAAACACCAAGAATACTTTCCCGCTCCTCTACGGGTGGAGAGGTTGATACCTGATGGGAAAAAAAACACATTCAACTGACTAATAAATGTCTTGCACAAAGTACTATCTATACACTACATGATATTGACGGGACTCTCGATAGCAAATACAAGTTCTCGGTGTTCAAAGTGACAACTGCATGCTGCATGATGTCCTAACAGGAATTCATTTAAACAGATTGGTTAGTATAGTGTAGTGGGATCGGGATCAAATTTTAGAGATTTGCCCCCCAAAATTTTAAATCTTGAGCAAACCATATGTCACAGCTGAACTACTATCTATTCACACACCAATTTCACCTATAGAATCCATTATCTCCACTGTGCACAGTAAAACCATGTCTAGAGAAAGTAAACTGGTATGTTGGCTACCAGTTACATAAAGCAAACTCATCTTACCTTATAGAAGAGAAGAATGAAATTAATAGCAAAGGCTACAAACAGCGCAAGCATCCTCATGTTGTAGAAATTACGTGCAAAATAATTCTGTAATGATGAGAATACAAGAGTTAGGATGTAATTTCAGATGATAATTCAGTTTATTATATAATTGCTCTTTAATACCCACTTTAATTATTCTAGGAAAAAGGATCTTTAAACAGTACTGATGTATGAACAGACATCTTACAGCAGGTTAGCAAATAACAAATCAGAGAGACACAGAGCACACTTGTGTCCAACAATTGCTCATCACTCAACTCCACTCGACCTTCCATAAACTTTGAAATGAATGGCTAGCTATGATTTGAAATTATTGTCTAACTAAGTGGGGAAAGAGCAGGAGTAGGACTGATTGAGTAGCTTTTCCAAAGAGTCGGCACAGGCAAGATGGGCCGAATGGCCTCCTTCTGTGTTGCAATACTCAAAATGCTTCACGGAACACATTGTAAAGTGTAGTGACTGTGTACTTCATAGGTGTAGTGAATGCAGCAGCCAATCTGCACAGAGCAATGTCCCACAAACAGCCATGAAGTGAATGACCAAATTTATTTGGGCGATTGTTACCAGGACACCAGAGAAACTCCCTTGCTGCATTAGGTACACATGGCACATTTCTGTGAAGTTAATTTCTGTGAAGCAGGCTGAGGCCCGAAATTCTTATGGTTTTAGCTTAAGGCCGTTGTTTTAAAATGTAAGATGAAGAAGTTTGAAAACTCTTAAATAAACTGCGGAAAATCAGCTTCCAAATCTAGGTTGAAATGACAATTTTTCCAAAAGTCTGTATAATCGATGGGGTTAAGTGTGAGACGATGAGAAATTATGACAAACCATTTCATTTGCATGCTTATCCGAGCTTCACTGTGAAGTATTGTAAAATTATGGCAATCTTTACAGTATTATGATGAATTTAAGGTTGAACGTTATTTTGTACCTTTTCTAACTGCAATGAGAGGCAGTGCAAAATGTGAACTGTACCTCAAATCTATTACTTTTACTTTGCTGTCGTTTGGTAAACTATTAAAATAACAACTCACTGAACAAGTCCCACTCATTGCATGCAACCAATGATGTAAACAAGTAAATATAATTATATTAAAAAAATTAAAACGTATACAATCTCAATTGAAATACTATAATATTGGCTTAACATGAGTCATTAATGATAATTATCCGAGTAACAATTGCAAAAGATAAGAGTAGAAAATGGTCTGGAATGATGACTTTTAGTAGAGATTGTATGGGAATACACTTGGTTTACACACAGGGATAATATATATGTAATTACACATGATTTATCCAAGGGGAATAATATTATAATAATCCTTGCATTTGATTTAGCGTTTTTCCAGACGCCTCAAAGTGCTTCACAGAATATACAGTAAAGTAAATTGACTGTATGTTTGTGGGTGAAACGCGGCAGCCAATTGCGCACAGCAGTGTCCCACAAACAGTCTTGGATTGAGTGACCAAATTATAATTTTATCTCTTGAAGGATTATTAATCAGGCATGTGGAGTAAGGAAACTTGCCCAAGGTTTCGCCCTACTGGGAATCAAACCCAGGTCTCTCGCTTGCTAGGCGAGTTCTCTAACCACTGAGCTACACGACTCCACCCTATACCCTAGCTAGACACAGAAGTTACACTAAGTTCCCAAGATGAGCAATAAGATACTCACAAGCAGCTTCTGTTTGTATGCTATAATTTTCTTCCAGAAGGCAGATTCTTGGACATCAGGCTCGTCTGTTTTTTGTGCATGTCGCTGCTTCTTTTTCTGTTGCGGTTTTTGCTCTGGAACTTTTTCTTCCTTTTCTTCTTTTTCTCCATCTTCTCCACTGCAATGCAGATAAGACAATGTTTCCCACAGGGTAGAAATAAAGCATCCACTTCCCAAAGTGACAATAGCGATGCATGGTGCGCGAAATGAGCAAAGTGCAGGAAGTGACATCAGTGGTGACTTGATGATCTGTCCTCAGTGTGGGCAGCTGCCTGTCAGCACCGGAAACTGGGTCCACTGGAGAAGCAGCGCTCTTTGGAAGGTGATGCAATGGGCTTCTCTTGTATGTTAGTTAGTGAAATGGCATTTTACAATAATAAAAGTATTCCTGTGAAGTACTGTAATGCTTGTGGATTTTTTCCTAAATCTGTGCATGTGAGCTAAAATTGTGCAGAAACAGTCAACCCATAAAAGCTCGGGCAGAATCGTGGGCCAGACAGCATTCCAGATACTAATCCTATTTCTTAAAATCCCAATTCTTCACAGTACTCACTCAGCCTTTTCCGGTTCCACTTTTGGGTCCTCTTTCTCGTTAGTCTCATCCTCCTTGGTTTCTTCAGCCTAGCAACACAAATATTACAGAACAATTCAATTACACTATCCCATCTTTTTGCAGTGAAGTTTTATCATCAGAAAAAATGAAATGCCAAGATGAATGACAAAAAAAATCAAAAATGGCATTTCTACAGCGTATTTCACATAGCATTAAGCACTCCAATACCTTAAGGGTGCTATTTGAATGTGAGTTGTTACTCTGTAGTTGTAGAATGATAATTTATCTTGTTCTGAACAGATGAGAATGAAAATATTTGGTGGAATGGTGGTGTATGGGCTGCTGAGGTACTGTAAAACCTGAAATTCCCTGATTAAAAATGTTTCCTGCACTTTGGCTAGCTGAGCATTTTGTGTGAAATAAACTGTTTAGCAACCACTTCAAATGGATAGATAGAATTATATGTCACCTGAGGTTCAGTCTGGAGTTCTGGAAGTGGCTCACTAGTAGCCTGAGGGCTTATTAGATCAGACATGCCAGCATTTGGATCATGTGGTATGAGCTTATATTGGCCTCCTTCACGCCGTAGGTCCAAACCAAAGATATCGGACAGGACATCAGTCTCCTCAGTGACGGCTGTCAGATCAGTTAAGTCTTCTGAGGCAGTGCTGATGGGGCAACTTTCCCTTCTCCTTCTCCAACCTCACCATCGACGTCATCGTGAGTTGGGTCTGGCATGTTGGCCAGCAGCTCCGTCACTTTGATCTTCTTAGCTCCTTCCACAAGACTTCCTCCCAACAAAGTGCTGTACATGATACGAAGGAATCCACGAAAAACGCTGAATACAAAGTGGAAGAGTCCGACCAGCAAGCTCCAGTAGAAAGAGAAGAGAGCCATAATCAGGTCCTTCACTGTCATCTTTTTCATTTTCTTCACCTGCTTTTTGAGGCTTTTAGTTGTGAACATCTTCATGAGGATCATCACGTTAGACCTCAAGGCCATCAGAGCAGTCCGAACTGTCGTCAAGGTAAAAAAGCCCATTTTGGGGTCTTCTTCCTCCAATTTGTCCTTCTGGGTGTCCTCTTTGCTCACAGACCTCTCAGTGGAGTCTGACTCGGAGATTTGAGCTGCCAGCTGCATCTCAAAGATAGTGTCCTCACAGAAGTTCACAAAGAGTTCCATCTTTTCTTTCTCTCCCCCCTCATTCACCACGTCAAAGATGAATTGTCTCTTTGACTCCTTCACTTGCGGCTTCTCCCATTGGGTTCTGCTGGACTCGCTGATCTCAAAATAAACCCTCTCGATGCGCTTGGCACTCCCCATGATTTCTATGCGGCCCAGGTACGGTTGAAAATAATTGAGCACACTCTCTGCCAGTTCCAGAAATGTCTGCAGCCGGGTGTCGTGAGGCATGTGCTCCGACAGGTTTGTCAGCAGAACAGCCACATTGAAACCAATGTCCTTGGCAGGTTCGTGAAACCGTTCAACAAACTCCTCATAATCTAGCATCTCATTCTCATCAGTCTCAGCACAAGAGAGCAGGAAATCAGTTTCGGACTGAGTGTAATGTTTATGACTCTCCATAGCCTTCTGAAAGTCCCTCTTTGAGATCACACCTTTAGTATCAGGGTCATATTCTTTGAATGTATCAGATGTGGTTAGATCCTTTAGTTTAAGGAACATATCAAAGAATTTGAGGATCATTTCTACGTTGTTTGAGGATTCCACCAACATGTCAACCATCTGCTTGCCAATTGTTCCATTAACCACATTTCCTAAAGTAAGGAAACCAGACAGCATTGCAATATGTTAGAAATAAGCAAGACCAATCAATCAGCTGATTAGATTTAGGCAGATCTTAGTCTGATTTTAAAGCATGCCCCTTTGTAATATTCATTACATACTCTTATTGCTAAAGGTCCTTATTGATTACAAGCAGTTTTAATTCCTTCACATGATGTGAAGTATTTTGCTGTCTTTGCAATAATGAAGCCCTTTCTCACATATGAAGTCTAAAATGTGGGATTCGTAACAAGTAATATCTCCCACCAATAACTGAATATGTATGATACAGGAATTCCATTCTGACAGTCTACTTTGGGAAAACTCCTTCCAGTTACTGACAGAAATCACTGTTGTGACTTCTATTATGAATTCTGTTGCAGCCTCATTGTTGCGATGTCAAAGAGAATAGTGAAATCTTGATGGATATTATTGGAAGGAATATTATTGGAAAAATCATGTTTCAATAATAAATCTGTTTTATTTCTTTCTTTATCCTTTATTGTTCAATAAACTGTACCCATAAATAATGTTCAGACGTAGTACATCAAATTCTTATTTTCTCTTGCTTATTAAATCTGCGTTGAATTTCAATTTTAAAAAAACAGAACTCATGTGTATAAAAAAAAGGATAGAAAGTTGAACACAAACTATACTCCTCATGCTCCTTTTTNGTTGGAGAATTAATTCCAGTTCACCTCAGTCATCAATGCTCACCTTCCAGCATTGATAGCAGCATGACCACCATGTCTTTCTGAAGATCCATTAGCTCTTTCAACAGCTCAATTTGGCTCGAGTCCTAGAAATTAACATTTTGATTAAGCATTTTAACTCTTACATCAATTTGCTACACATTAGTTTGCTAAATTCCTTTTTGAATTGAAGATTACACAAGAGAGGTGCAGATGTAGAAGGCCCTTCTTCACCTCATCCAGAAAACCCACCGTACAATTTTCCCATCACGACTTCATCATAAATTGGGTGGACATTACTCATGTGCACTTTTAGTCAACAATAAACAAAAAATAGTAACTTTTCTTAAACTGTTACTCTTAAGTTTGAATTGGCGATCTTTCAGTGGGTAAGGCCCTGAGTGCCAATACATTTAATAAACATTAAACTTAACTATTTAAATTTAATTAAATTTAATAATATACATTATCAATGTGTCTATCAATGTGAAACTCACTGAACTTACTACTTGCAGAACATATCCTCTGTATTTAACTACTTGAAAACTTTTCACTACTTTTCGTGATCAAAATGCACATCTGTCTGTCAATCACCAACTCATTAACAGTAGCCACATAGAATACAACAACAAGATTACATTTGTATAGGGCCTTTCACATCAGGAGGACTACACAAAACATAACACTTAGGTTTAGAACAGATCGAGTGGGAGGGAAAGAGCTACCGAGCCACATCTGCTCACCAACCTGAGACAGTTTCATTTGCATGTGGGCAAAGACATGAAGAAAGCCAACCACAGCATCCCACAGCCTGCTATGTGCTAAACTCTGTTGATTGCCAGTACATGGACCCTGCAGAACAGAAAACGGCTTGATAAAACAACATTGTATATAGAGCAGGAGTCACTTTTCCTTACCAGGAAAGGAATTTACTGGAGTAACAGGAGTAACGGGCACATTCACGCTGTTGTAACTGGTCCTGTTGTGCTGAACTAACTGGTGAGCCATGTGGTGAGGAGAAGTCAGGATTGGATTGCATTGTCTCAACACCTGGATGCCGATTTAGGATTTAGGGCCTGGTATTATGTTGACAGGTATCAGTCCAATGTCGAGATCCAAGAATGTTGTGGCAGGTGAGCATTTAATTAAACCATAAAGCATAGCAAAGGCAAAGAAGACTTGGTTCGTCTTTTGTCAAATGCAAGGTACAAAAAAAATAATAATTTGGTTACTCAATCCACGACCATTTGTGGGACACTGCTATGTACAATTGGCTGCCGCGTTTCGCCCACAAAATATATTGTCAATTCACTTTACAGTATATTCTGTGAAGCGCTTTGAGGCATCTTGAAGCCCTGATAAGGCGCTATGTCAAATGCAAGGAGTATTATTATTATAGCAACAAAGGAAATTTAGAGTCTGGCAATTATTATTTTAATCTCGAGTACATTGACTTGTTCCAATCAAATATTTTGTTCTATTAGGTGATCTCTAGCTTTGCATAGTGTGCGATTGAATAACTGAACTTCTGCCATGACGGGTTGCTGAAAAGTTCCACAGGAGTCTCAGTGCCAGATAAATCCACTGACCTGCGTTCCCTTCGATATCACCTTGGAGTGGTTTTGTTGCAGAAATACGTAAATTAAAAAGAAAACCTGAAGACTTTAATTCGGGTTTATAAGTGTTGTTACATATTGACTTAGTTTTGTGCTGGTACCTGGATGTATTCTGTAAGTGTATTGAAGACTTGCTTTGCCACATTGATTGCCTTTGAGAAATTACGCTGCCCTTGTTCGTCAATGACATCTTTCCCAGAGTAGTACCAATAGAAATCACTGATCGATTCCTGTCAACGGAAAATGTTTGATTCACAACCAAGAACATCCAAAATAAACTAATTTAAGAGATATGAGTTACACTGTTCTCTAGTTTTGTTACAAATTAGTTTTTATTATGGTTAAAGCTTCCCAAGAAATCAAAGAGAATATCAAATGCATCATGTCAGCTATTTTAAATCAAACTATTTCTTGTTCCTTACCACCGGAGGCATCTGACCCCCCCAGCAATATTCTAACACTGCATTAAACTAGAAAAGAAACTTTAAATATAGGAGCAATCAAAGAAAACTGGGTTGAATTACAGAGAAACTGTTTCCTCTAGTAGGGGAATCCAGAACAAGGGGGCATAATCTTAAAATTCGAGCTAGGCCATTTAGGAGTGAAATTAGGAGGCAGTTTTTCACCGAAAGAGTAATGGAAATCTGGAACTCTCTCCCCCAAAAGGCTGTGGATGCTGGATCCATTCACATTTTCAAGACTGAGATAGATAGATATTTGTTAGATCAGGGTATCAAGGGATATGGGCAAGGGCGGGTAATTGGAGTTGAGGTACAGATCAGCCATGATCTATAGAATGGCTGAACAGGCTCCAAACGATGAATGACCTACTCCTGTTTCTACGTTTCTATGAATTCAAAGCATTCAAGAGGAAACTTGAAAATCAAAGTAGTAGTATTAATTTTAGGAACAGGACAGAGCTATCTATACGACCCAACCAATCTTTCAAAAAGGAAGAGTTGGAGGTAACCTGTCATTTTTAGGATCATTTACAGAGTAATCCACTGGAGAAACTCTTATTTAATTTCAAATATAACATCCCAGTCATTCAACCATAAAGCTATATGCTTTTCACAAATAACTAAATGCAGGGTTGGGTTGTATAGAACCAAGTGTATCTATAAACATTCAGATAAAGGTTGAAGCTGATTTTGAAAGTTATTTCTTGAAAGTGAAACCAGCATAATTCAGGAAATCAGATGACTGGATCAGAAATAGATTCTCAATTGCTTCTTTCCTTGCTTTCTTATAAATGCTTATGAACAATTCTCAAAATTCATCTCAATCAAACCAAACGGTTTCCAATAAAAGATGCAGATCTTCCCATAAATCAAATCAAGTTTACCTGAACTCTCAAGAGGTAGTCCACGGTGGAGATAATGATATTTACTGTTGTGTTATTGCCTGTTTGAGTTCGTAGGTAGTTCTGGAAATCTTTAAGACAAAGAGGTCAGACTTGAGAGATTGATCAATGGTTCAGAACTATTTAAATGCTTATCTCTGCAATTTGGTTTAAAAAAAAAGCTTGTATTTTTAACAATTCACTGTTACCCCCAAAACATCTCAAAGCAGCTTGCAGAAATAACTGTCAAGTGCAGTGACTGTTTTAGTAGGTAAATGCAGTGAAAATGTGTGTCAGTAATATACCAATCTGTGAATGACCAGTGAATTATATCATAAAACATGACAGTTTATGTTAAAATAGTCTGAAATTAACCGAATTACAACCAAAAAGGTCCCATGAACATTCAAATGATAATACTGTAAATGACTGATTTATCTAGACTGATCACTGCAGAAGATTCTACCAAATAGTAAAAGTAGGTTCATATCAGAGTCTTTCTCAATACAAAGTGCACAAGTTAAAAGGCGGAAATGATCCAGGTGAAAAAGGGTTAACAGATGATGACTTATCAAACGATGCATAAATGATTCCTATCACCATCGGCCTACCTGAGGTTTGTTACACACCTGAGTTGTGGCCTTCACAGAGCAGTTGGAGAAAGCGAAAGAGATCGCAAGTAAACTCATCGTCCTGCATCACCTTCTCACCTGGAAGATGTCAGCGAGAGTGTTAGTACTCACGAGTATGGCCAGAAAGCTGTGTTCTTCACTAAAGCACATCCAGAACTCTCCTACTTTCCCAATATTTGCTAATCATAGCTACTGCTCTATCGGAAGCCCACAAGGTGCACTTCACAGATAGAGAACAAATGTAAAACAGCCACACACAAAATATGCAGACTAAATAGGATGGAAAACAAAATCTAAAAACATTCAATAAAAACACATAAAAAATATTTTAGGAGTTGACATGGCTGCAACCTTTTTTCATGAATTTTCCTATCATATTTTAAATATGTAATAAACATTCACAGGCTTTTTTTTAAAATGAGTTACAAAATATTTAATGCTTGTGTAATGCCAGTATACATTAGAGATTGCTTATTGTAATCTTTGGTGAGCCCAGAACATCATTGATGTCATGAGGGCAAAATTGCAGTATTCCTAAACACATTACACAAGGCCAGTATTCTGTGCGTTACTGCAGCAAGGCCTAATACAAACAACAGACAATCCATGGCCTATAAAGGTGGTGCTAGCCCTTTTCATGCTGTGTTTGCAGTCAGAGTTGATGTTTGAGTTCTTCAGTGCGTGGACTTTCAGTGCTACTTAACAGGGAAACAATATAGCTAAATAAATATTATAATAATAATCCTTGCATTATCCTGTAAAGTGACATCTGAAAGGGCCCAGGCACTTCAAAAGAAATAGTTCCATTTAATGAGAATCCAAGATAGAACCCACCAGCATTTTCAGTCAACTTTGGGTGTTATTATTATTCAGAAGTATTCTAAAACACATTTTAATGAGGATCCTTAAATAAAGAACAAAACAATTAGGAACACCACAAGATTGAGCCCAAATAATACAACAATGCGCCTCTCGTATTGCTTCATTCAGCAAAATAACAAGGCAGCAGAATTTGCAGATAATAATCCCCGACTGTCCAGCATCTTGGGATGCCCTCCCGAAGTGAAAGGCGCTACACAAATGTAATTTGTTGTTATTGCCTTAATAAGCTCTCTTTGATGCCCAAAGCTGTAATTAGAAACTCTTCAATGGGAACAGAGCTGCACATCTTCAGTGGTCTCTTACCTATAGTAATTTGAACAAATATCCAAACAAAATATCTATTTCAGTAGAGAGGAACAAGCAAGTAATGTGGTTCAAAGACTACCTTAGCTGCTTAATCCTGACCTCCAATCATCGATGTTAAGATGATCTTTACAAATGCCTTCTATACCAGGAATTGAATTTGGATTTATATTATGCTGCGTTTGGACTGTAACTGGGAGAGAGGACATTCAACAACAAGATTTCATTTAGATGTAACATGTAACATTGTAACATTCAAGGTTACAAGTGGCCAGTCTCTGAGGGGTGGGAGAAGGGGGCCAGGATCACTCTCCTGCCGGTCTTGGAGTCAGGATTGTCTGAGGCTGGGAAATGGCCAAAGCGTGGACAGCGTGGAGATCATGCTCCCACTGAACAGAGGAGGTGCAAGTGGTGAGGAGCAACCGTACAAGGCTCCCAATGAGGTAATGAGTCTCCCCTGCAGCCTGTGGATGATTGTTGGGAGATTGAGGGGATGGAAGAAATTTATTCCACAGCTGAGAACTGTGAATGTGGAGAGACGCAGGTGAGGGAGCTGACATGCCTTGCTGTGGATTTACGCAACACGCTGTTATCTGATTGGTTAGCATTGGGCCCAACAAAATTGACTCTTTTGCTCAGCAAGAAGTGACGTAATCAGCTGTTCCGTCCACAACAGTATTATTTGTTACCAAAATCAAAAAGGATCAGAATACTTAAAGAATAAAACTAGTTTGGAGATATTAGATGAATACCCAATCTCCCAAGTGTGTGACCAAACTGATTTGTTACAGGTGCCACTATCTAAGGTGAAAGCACCCTGTGCACATCTTGTATGCAAATATACTTGTGTCTCTTGTCTTGCTGCACTGGCCATTTTGCTAATAACTTGTATTATGCTCCTGATAAACCAATTTCTTAATGTTAAGATAAAACCTAGCAGAATTTAAGAAAGAAAGAGGCAACTAAAGAAATAGAGACAGGTGACAAATGTAGAGAATATGGAAGGACTACATAAAGGTCTTAAGAGGGAAAGGTGACAACAGTACGACTGATTAGAAAGGAAAATAAATGACAATCTAAAAACCTTGATGCTATCATTTAAATTTGGAAAGATTTAAGAATCAATAAAATATATTGCAGGTTACTGTGATTAACTTTAAGCTTCAGTATTTTAATAACATTAACCCTTTAATCACCGACAAATTCTTTATTAATAATCACAGATGGTTTCCAAATTCCAAAACACAACTACCAAATTAAATATCGCTTAAACTGAAGGATTTGAATTGGCTTCAAACAGCCTGTCGAGTTTCCGACCTGATCTCAGGTGTGGTAATCTCACAAGAAGTTGAATAATGTTAGCTCCTGGTTCAACTGATCTCTGCCTTTCAGAATAACCACCCTAACAATTGCCCATTAGAGCAAGTTTTTTTTCTTAAAAAAGTGTCTTTGCCCCCAACTTCTGGAATTCCATCCCCCAGTCACTCCACCTCGCCCCCTCAAGACCCTCCTCTTCAACCATGCCATCGGCCACCCCCTCCCCTCCCTTATCCCCCCAACCCCAGCTCAGGTCTGAAATGCTGTACTCTGTCCAGCGCCTTGCGACATCCTCCCGACGTGAAAGGCGTTATACAAATGTAATCTTGTTGTTGCTGTTGTTGTGTCCTGTCAGCAAACACCTTCTGTGGTAACCCATTCCAGCTGTTTTTTATTCTCTGTGCGAAGAAATATTTTCTGGTAGCTGTCCCTCCATTTCTTGCTGTACTAGCCAATGGCATCTTAAATACTCTATAAGGAATTTGGAAAAGCACCTTTCAATTCAGGAGAACGTCTCAAAGGGCTTTGCAGGACATACTGTAAAGTGTAGTGACACTGTATCATGTAAACAGATGGGATTCTATTTCTACTGATTATACCTAGTAACCAACACACAATTGTAAGTAGTGGAATCTAAATGCCTCGACAGCTTCCTATTGGAGTTCAATTCTAATCTGTGAACCAACATAGTTAAAATGGTAATGCGGACCATGTCAACTCTCCTAAAATATGAAGACCACTGACAACAGGTTATGGTTGATGAAAAAGCTTAATGGCTTTATGACTTCACATGGGACTATTCAGATGTGTACTGCGGGTGATTTACAGTAAGTGAAAGAACAAAGTAGAAAAAGAAAAAGTGCAATATGAAGTAGTGAATTTAATTTACTGACTAAATCTTAAATAATATGGATGGAAAAGCATACTGGATTCAGAAAGAGAGGAAATGGTACCTGCTGTGTAATCTGCAGTTCCTATACAGCACTACAAATACTGCTAGTGTTTGCACTGCAAAATCACTGAGAATAAACACTTGTGAAACAAGGACACAATATGATCAAAGGGGGATTTTGAAGATATAAAATCACGGGAGCATTGTTTGGGTGAATGGTTTATACAGTAGCTTTCAGAGGAGCCCCAAAATGCAACTACTACTTTGAACTAATGCCAATAATAATTCCATTTTGCACATTGTTTATATAATCAAGAGAGTATTTATCCAGTTTGGGGTCTTCTTGTTAGGACAGCTATTGTTTATAGAATGTAGTGGTCATTGTATTGACTGCCAGAACATTCCCCACTCATTACCAAGTGGCATCCTCAATGATGGGTTAAAACTTGGGACATTGCAGCTGAGAGTTTTATTGGGAAATAGCTGGCAATGGAGAAATACTGTGCACTGTAAAACATTACTTCATTTCTAAAACCAGTATGACAGATTTGAGTTGGATCTTCAACCTAAAGAACCTGCACCAAGAAAGTCAAAACATATTAAAAAAAAACCTACACACAAAGTATGATTTTTGCATCACAAAATATGTTGGTTGTAAAGGTTAGCAAAATAAAGCAAAGAGTAAAACACACACAGTAAACTCACACAGACATTGTCATCTGCATCACAACAAATAGTCAACATCAATGCACGTCAGTTTGTAAAGCAACTGAAAAGTTAAATTAGAATACAAAATTTAATGCTAAAAGTCCCTTAGTTGTTACTTGCACAACGACAGGTGCAGCCATAAAGCCACATTGAATACACAACAAATACTACAGATAACTGTACACCACAGTTTGGCACATCCAACCACTGCAATACTACGCCACTTAAAGGCTCACAGTTCTTACATCTAGTGTGCCAGTTACTGTGCAAATCCTGAGAGAGAGGCAAAACAGACATGAAGTTGGCTAAAGGGCTTAACGTTTCTAAAAGCAAAGTAAGAGGTTTTTTTATTGATTAACAACTATGCACAGAGTCTGTAAGTGCAAAAATTGGCAAGAGTTCAGGACCTGTACAGTGCTGACACAATGTAACAGAGGAAATGGCAGAGTTATAATTACCGCGCTCATGAGTGATGACTGAGGAGGGGGAGACAGAACAATTGAAATTAAAAGAAAAAAAAAGATGAGATTAGGTAGTTAGGAATTATACTCAACTTCATTCTACATTTTATAAGAAATTGGGTAGGTTGAAAGAGGATAAAACAGAATTATAAAAGTCACGCTTTTTTTAAAAAAAAACAAGAGATTTTTGCTATGCATCAATCCAAAAAATGGTGCATATTCAACAGCTAAAAGATTCTGTGTTTATTTCAGTATAAAAGCAATGAATTCATAATGAACAATTCAACACAGAAACAAATGGGTACAAACACACATATCTATACAGATACAATATCTCACTGCACAGGTACACATGTTTAATACATCCCGGTGTTGTAAAAGTACAAGAAAAATATATTGATTTAATATTTGATGCTAGCCTAGCATGTGTTTAGTTGATTGTTAGCTGCAACCTGGCAACTGCCAACACATGTTTAACAGAGCGGGTTTGGGCGAATCGTTTGGCTTTCATAACATACTGAAATATAACAATTGTTCTTAGTAATACAATATATATATATAAAAAATAACACTCACATGACAATCAAAGAAGTGACAGTTACACCACAATATATTGTGTGACTGTCACACAATATGAAACTAAATAGACATGGAATGCTTCAAAATTAAAAGTGGAATAAAAAACATCATAAAGAACAAAGAACAATTTGAGCTTCAGAAATAGACAGTCCAGCAGTATGATTGGCTCATGTCAGAGCAACGTCTCCCTCTCTGGTGATATTTTACATTTGATTTAAACCACTTTTATAACAGTTTATCCATTTTAAGTCTTTTCCACAAATAATATTTTTCAAAACAGAATGCTGCATAATGCCAAAGCCTGAATTAAACATGGGACTTCCAGTAACGATAATCCTTGTAGTTAACATGGCACCTCATCGCAATGTCAAAATGTTTCAATGCACTTTACATGATTCTACTGCAAACTGCAGTGACTATTTTTAGGTGAATGTAGCAGTATATTTACATGCAGTAATGTCCCACAAACAGACACAAAAAGTATGACCTTTTATCTGGTATCTGGAAGAATGTTGGCCAGAACACTGGGAGAAGCTCTCTTGTCAACTAATGCCATGGGTTCTTTACCATCCATCTGAACAAGCAGACAGCACCTTAGTGTAACGTCTCACTGAACCATGGCTAATTTTGCCTTCTCCTAAACCAAAGAGGCACTGAAGTCTTTTGTAGCTTTTCCAATATTGCCCTGAGATCATAATGGAGTGCAGATTTGAATCTATAATGACCTATATAAGTATTTTGCAGGAGATTTCAGTTGTTAGGAATACCATCAGAGGACTGTCATTAATCTCAGAAAGGTTTACTTCACACGTTTGTTGACTATTCCTCCGTTCCTCATTACGGTCTGCTCCACGTCCCCCGCCCCAACCACCCTACCATCGGTGGCCGGACTTCAGCCTCTCAGCCCCTAGGCTCTGGAACTCCATCCCCCAGTGCCTTTGCCTTGCTTCCTCCCTTTCCTCCTTCAAGGCCGGTCTCAAGACCTTTCTCTTTGACTGTGCCGTCAGCTCCCCTCTCGACTCTCTACCCCCTCCTCGCTCTCTCCCTTCCCTCCCCTCACCCTGACCATTTCCCCCCTGCTCGGGTCCTGACACAACTGTCCAGCGCCTTGGGACGTCCTCCCGACGTGAAAGGCGCTCTATAAATGGAATCTTGTTGTTGTTGTATTCACAATAGTGTCTGCAGATTGATCATAACTTGTCACCTCTTTATTGATGCAACTCAGCATTGCATGATCATCAACAGTTTTTCTGTGCAGTTCAAATTGCAAGAACACCCCCAAATATTATCACACTTTAAACTTTATACAACAACCTGTCAATATGTGCTGCAATCATTAATGACAAAACAGTATTGCTCTGTGAATATCATATTCAAATAGCAATACTCTTTCGCCATGAATGATTCTAGCACACATTGGCAGGTTGTTGTATAAGATAGAATACTACTGGTAATTTTTTTTGCCTATAATCAATATACAACACATGGAATGAGAGTAGAATCGTATATACTACTTCAATGTATACCTGAGCCCTCCTCTGTCACCATGCCGAGTCCTTCTGCTTTGTTCTGTCGTTCAAATGCATTTAGGTCAAGCACACTGCAATTGACATAAACAAACAATTTGATTCTTTAGCCTCCTGGAAAAAAAACAGCACGTTGACCAGACTTATGTAGGTGACATTTTGCATGGCTCTGAATTCCTAGCTACATTACAAATGAATGGCAACACCAATAATTTACATTTATGTAGCACCTTTCACATTGGGAGAATATCTCAAAGCTAATGAAACATAAGAATATAGAATATTTTAAACTGGACCAAGAGTGAATGGTTTGCCCTATGAGTGCAAACTGGAGGAAGTGGGACTTTCTCCACTGGAACAAAGTTGAAGGTTATCCTGATGAGTCTTTAAAATTATGAGGGGTTTTGATAATCAATAGTAAGAAATTATTTCCACTGGCCAGTGAGTCTGTAATTAGAGGGCATCAACTTAAAATAGTTGATAAACAAGAGAATTGGGAGACAAGGAGAATTTGTTTCATGCAAAGAGTAGTTAGGATAGGGAATGCCTACCGGGCACAGTGGTTGAGGCAGAATCCATAATGGTTTTCAAGAGGAAACTAGACAAATACTGTCCCTTAAAAAGAGTCAGCTATAGATGTCGGGGGAAAGGGCAGGTAAATGGGACTTAAAGGATTGCTATTGAGGCCGCCCATACACACGATGGGCCGAATGGCCTTCTGGCACCATAAATTTCTAACGTTCTATGGACAGATTCATACGTTGTATTATGCCACATTGTCACATTTCCAGAACAAGAAAATGGCAGAGTCCAACTGATTCAGTGTTACAGCCTCCACTCTCGCTCCCCACATCCCCCCACCCCCCCATAAAAGATTTTGTTTTGAAACAATTTCATCTGAAGGATAAAGCTGGAATGATAGAGCAGAACTAGAGAGCATTAGTTTTTTTTAAAAATTCTCCAAAGATGGTAAGTGGGGAAAAGATTCCCAACTATTAATCACTGCACAGCACTCATAGCTTCAAAAAGACCTGCTAAGAATATGCTTAACAACAGGTTTGAAAGATGGAGACTGATAACAAATATTGCATGGGACAATGGTTTCTATAGAGACTTTGGGGACAAGGGGATTGATTGAGGTGTGAAAGGGAGATGTATAGAGACCAAAGGATATGCCTCACAACAGCACTGAAAGATGGAGGTATAGGTGCAAACTGAGAACAAATACTGCATGGGATAATGCTTTCTTACATTCCCTGTGGAGTGACTGAGACAACGACTGAACAGCGGTGATGTAGGATTGACTAATGTATTTGAAAGATTGCTGGTCAGGACACCAAGACATTACCTTGGAATCTTTGATGTCAATCTGGAAAGGCTGATGGGATCTCAGTTTAACTTCTCATCCCAAGCACAGCAGCGTCAACAATGCAACGCTCCTCCAGCATTCAACTGTGCTCAAAGACTCAATACAGGGACCTGAACCAAGACTGTTGAGACCCAGAAGAAAGTGAGCCAGGTTGAGACCTTACCCTCCATTCTCTGTGTTAGGAAACAATTCCTGGTATGTACCGCATGTTCTGAAATCTCGCTTCACAATCAACTGGAATCAGACTCAATATTTTTTGCTCTCATTGTACGAGTAAAGCACCAGAGAGCTAGTTTATATTTGAAGCAAGAGACTAGACTCTGAACATGTGGGAAAGCATCAACAGCTGATTAAGTCTGACCAGAAGATTTAGTTACAAGAAATATCAAGCAAGAGGGACTAGCTGCAATATTCCCAGATCAGAAATGCATCAATTAGAAAATGATATTAAGGAGGTCTGGAATGACCCTGAAATGGAGGTAAAACAAATGGCATTCTTACCTGCAAGACTGCATGAGACCAGCAAGACTTTGAAAGAAGCCCACATCCTTCTTCTCCTTGAGATAATCAAGCATTTTCTATAGAACATGAAAACCAGACTTCATCCAACGGAATTAATTCCACATGTCAGAGATATAACCTCGAGGCTCACTGTATTTCCATATCTCTGCGATAACCATTCCGAGGAATAATCCACAATATGGAGTGTGACCAAAAGAAGGCAGATAGAACCTTGTGGCAACATCTATCATAAGGTTTATATGTCAGCCAGCTTCTTGCATGATAGATTTACCGACTTCTGAGTTAGCAGGGAGTTGCTGCCGCCACCTCCTATATGCTATGCATGTACAGGAAGAGATGACAGCAGCGAACTGTTTACCAGGAAACAGTTGTGGATCAAAGGGCACCCGTGTTATAAACAAATCCACGTTATACCATTTGTTGTTTGCATAAGATCTCAGTCTTCCACTTTGAAGTAATTACATTTTATGCGCATGTTTAATAAACACTTTGGCAGAGATTTGCGAAGCACATGTATTATACACTACATGTAAACTATAAGTAACATATGCTACAATTAAACCATGTGTATTATATGCTAGATGTAAACCATGTACATAGAGGGAATTGAAAGTACTCTGAATTATGAAATTAGCTGAACCTTTTCATTGCTTTTTACATCTTGAAGGGAACCTGTAATTGACTCTGTAATACATATATATTTACACATGGTGCACAATAGACCCAAACTCAAAAATACAACATGAAGAAAAGTCATTTATCAACTATGTGACTTTCAGTTGCACACATTTCCAGCAATTCCAGTCTTCAATGTAAATAGATTTACCTGCTGAACTGTGGAGTTTCCACCATTGAGAATAGAAATCCCAAGCTTCAGGGTAGATGCGACCATTGGCCCCATTTCACCTGAGATGAAGTACATTCATTGTCAGGTACATTTATTTACACCTCCAACATAATGTATACATCCCATGCTAAGGTTGAACTCCACCATTCTAACTGCTGCCCTGACTGTGATCGTCTAATTCAACACAGTCAGATATTTGAATCTGCAATGTCCTGGTCTGAATGACCCACTGCTCACTGAGTGGTGTCTTTAAAGATGTTTCACTTGTTCCATCTTAGGCCTACTTCTTTGACTATGCTTTTGGTCATTTTCCCCTCCCCACCCCCCTAGGCTCCCGAGGTGCCAAGCCAGGATTGTTAATTGCCTTAGGACGTCCTCCCGACTTGAATGTGCTACATAAGTGTAAATTTGTACTGTTGCTGTATTACACTCTTCTTTCATGACTAACACAGTCCTATTTGGTTTCATCCTACCAAAATACCTATTCTAGTCTTCCCATCACTGAGCATTAAGCTCCTCAGTCTAATGTACTGTCCTCAACCACAATTCCTGATACCCTGTTCCAACTCAGGTTCATGTTGACAATCATCCAAATAAACCAGAGTAAGACGACCACAACAACATCAAAATTACATTTGTATAGCGCCTTTCATGTCGGGAGAATGTCCCAAGGCGCTGGAAAAACAGTTACAGACCCGAGCTGAGGATCACCATGGGGGAGAGGGGAGGGCGGAGGGGAAGCAGGGAAATCGAAAGCACGGTCAAAGAGGAGGGTTTTGAGGTGGGTCTTGAAGGCAGCGAGGGAAGGAGCAAGACAGAGGGACTGCGGGATGGAGTTCTTGAGGGTGGGTGCAGAGTGGCAGAAGGCCCGCCCGCGGGGCGAGCGAGGTGGGGGACGTGAAGCAGGCCGGAGCCCGCTGAGCGCAGGGAGCGAACAGGGTGGTAGAGGGTTAGGAGGTCGGAGAGGTAAAGGGGAGCAAGACCGTGGAGGGCTTTGAAGGTGAGGACCAGGATCTTGAACTGTATCCTCTGTGTAATGGGAAGCCAGTGGAGTTGGGGAGGCCAACAAGCAGTGAGTTTGGATAGTTGAGCCTTGATGTAATGAAGGCATGTATGAGGGTTTCAGCAGCCTGTGGTGTGAGACAGTGTCGGAGCCTGGCGACGTTGCAGATGTGGGGGAAGGCAGAGTGGGTCATGGCGCAGATGTGGGGTAGAAAGGATAGTTGATGGTCAAACAAGACGCCAAGGTTCCGGACTGGCTTAGTAAGGTGGAGTGTGCAACCATGGATGGTGATCTTGTCAGCACCTGAGGTCAGGAGGCACTGACAGGAGCCAATCAGGAGAGCCTCGGTCTTGTTGACACTCAACTCAAGAAAATTAGCTCTCATCCAGGACTTGATGTCTGACAGACATTCTGTCAGGACAGCAGTAGTCCTGGAGTCAAGGGTGGAGGCAGAGAGGTAGAGTCGGGTGTCATCTGCATACATGTGGAAATTGACCCCATGTCTATGGATGATGTCACCAAGAGGGAGCATATAGATGTTGAAGAGGAGGGGACCAAGGACAGAGCCCTGAGGAACACCACACGAGACGGTCGGGGGCTAGACGAGAAGCCGTTCGAGGAGATGAAGTGCAGGCGGTGTGAGAGGTACGATCTGAACCAATCAAGGACAGCACCGTGGAGGTTGAGATGAGAGGAGAGGCGGTGGATGAGGATAGAGCAGTCAATGGTGTTTGAAGAAGCAGAGAGGTCAAGGAGGACGAGGAGGCAGAGGGAGCCCTGGTTGCAGATTGACAGAATGTCATTTGTCACTTTGACAAGGGCGGTTTCTGTGCTGTGGGCGGCACGGAAGCCCAATTGGGGTTCGAGAAGGGAGTGATGGGAGAGGAAGGAGCAAAGTAACAACTCATTCCAGGACCTTGGAGAGGATAATAATAATCCTTGCATTTGATATAGCGCTTTTCACGTCGGGAGGACATCCCAAAGCGCTTCATGGGGAGGTTGGAGATAGGGTGGTAGTTAGGGAGTAGAGAAGGGTCCAGGGAGGGTTTTTTTAAGGATAGGAATCATGACAGCAGTTTTTAATGGGGCGGGAACAGTACCAGAGGACACGGAGAGATTAACGATGTCAGTGAGTAGAGGGGCAAGGAGGTGGAGCTGGGAGGGAAGGAGAGGGGTAGGGATGGGGTCGAGGGAGCAGGTTTCATATGGCTTATGGTGGTGATGAGAGAGGAGGGGTAGACAGGTTCAAAGGTGTGGAGGGAGGGGTGGGTAGGGGCCGGGGTGGAGGAGGAGATGGGGAGGGGGTAGCAGTTGCAATGGCAGAGGCAGCTGAGTGGATTCCCTTGATTTGGGATTTGAAGAAGTCCAGCATCACCTCGTATTTGGCATTTCAGGTGAGGATGGGTGAGGGTGGGCGGAGGAGCTGTGATGGAGAAGAGGAGTCTGGGGTTGTCCTTAGCCTCCAAAATTGTCTTGGAGTAGAACGACGATTTAGCGGAGGCGAGGGCGGAGCATTAGGATTTGACATGGTCCAGTCAAATCTGCCAGTGGTCAGTTAGGTTTGATTTAAGCCAGGTGCGTTCAGCGGAATGCGCCTGGGCTTTAAGGGAGCGGAGGTGTCTGGTGTATCAAGGTGATTTGCGTGAGTTGGAGACGGTTCTGGAAAAGAGGGGAGCAAGGGAATCAAGAGTGGAGGAGAGGGAGCTGTGGAGAAGGTTGACCGAGGAGAATAGGTCATTGCGGGAGGACGCCCAGAGGAGAAGGAGTTCAGATGACTCCAAGGCAGCCGAGAGGGAGGGGAGGGAGATTTTTTTTCCAGAGGCGGTATGAGTTGGAGGTGGGTTGGGTGGTGGTGAGGAGAGGGATTGAGGAGTTAAGGGCGATGAAGTGATGGTCCAATATCACTTTGTCGATGATGGTAAGGTCCAAGACGGTGAGGCCCCGAGTGATCACCAGGTCGAGGGGGTGACAGCGAATGTGGGTGGCGGAGTGGATGTGGAGGGAGAGATTGAGGGAGAAGATAAGGGAGGAAAAGTCAGCAGAGGTAGAGCAGGAGGGGATGAAGTGAAGGTTGAAATTGCCAAGGATGAGGAGGCGTTCGGAGCAGAGGAAGAGGGAAGATAGGAGGGTGGAGATGTCGGGGATGAAGGTGGGGGAGGGCTTGCGGGGGGCGGTAGATCAGGAGAATTTTGAGGAAAAGGTTGGAGTGGTGATAGAGGGCAAGGTGCTTAAAGGAAGGGAAAGTTCCAGAGGAGTAAGGGGATAGGCCGAGCGGGGACTGGGAGATGAGAGCCACACCGCCACCACCGCGGTTTGGCCGAGGGGTGTGATGGAAGGTATAACCAGGTAGTGTGGCCTCAGTCAGGGGGAAGGTGTCACCTGGAGTGATCCAGGTTTCAGTGAGGGTGAGGATGGCGATGTGTTCATCGACGATGAGATCTTGGAGGTGTCTGTTTTGTTGGAGAGGGAACGGATATTTTGTAGACCGATAAGGAGGGGACAGTTGGTGGTGGAAAATGGGGCGCAAGGCTGGGGAGGGGGGCGGGGACTGATACGGGGGTTAGGGATGTGGATCAGGAAGGAGTGGTTGGCCCCTGCATTCGGGGACCAGTGAGCGTTGTAGCGAGAGTAGGGGATCAGTCAGTCAGAGTGGCCTCTGTTAAGACAGCCAACGGCCACTCCCACAGAGGATTCGCAGGTTGGAGCAAAGGGAGGCTGTGGGATGGTCGAACAGGGATAGGAGTCGGGGAGGGCTAAATTTGTGAATGGAAGCAGCATCTTTCTTTCCAACAAATAAACAAGACTATCCTGTAGGTACAACTAGAACCAAAAGTTTCCAAGAGTGCAGGCTCAGAATCCTAGGCACACATAGAATGGTTCAGGAAGGGAGAAAGATGAGACATGATCCTGGTCTTTTAAGTACTGAGATATAGAGAATGTAGATTTATCGGTCTGTTTGACTTAACTGTGAACACAGAATTAGAACAGAGCAGTTTCAATAAATAAAGGCTTAGGCAAGACTGACTTTCTCTTCCCGTCCCACCTCCAACATTCAAAACATAGTGGATTCATGAAACATATTTGGTAAGAACCTCTTTCATTTCTAAATGGCTACCCTTACTTGATGCCTGAATACAGCAGCATATTTAGTGTCAATGAGGGATAATTTTTGCTATCTCAATTTAAACAGTTTTAGGCTATGAGGACTCATTTTACTATAAAGGAGGCAGTAAAAAAAGGAATCTTGCATCTCATTGACCCAGGTCTTAGTGTTGATGGAGCATCACCCGGTCCACTGTGCAGCTTCCGTTTGATTCAGTTTAACTAATGGCTGCTTTACCTTTGCAGGCGCTGATCATCTGCAGAACCATCTCGGCTGCCCCTCGGTCATGAAGCCTCGCTTGCTGATACAGGAGCTTTTGTTTCTCCATTTCCTTTTCCTAAATGCAAAAAACCAAAAGAAATGTGTGAATAGAAGCAGCATCTTTCTTTCCAACAAAGCATTTTTCTTTTGATGCTGCAGTTGCCTGCAGCCTAGAGCGCTACGCTAACTTCTCAGGCCATGCACATTTGAGGCCTAACATTGGAATTTCTAAAGTAATACAGCTCTTCGGTTACCTGTGTACAGCCCGTCAGCAAGATGCTGACAAAAGAGGTCATGGCATCTGCCCAACCGTTGTTTGGAATAGTTACTGGTTTCTTCAACCATCTTGAAACTGCCCATTCAAGCTTAAGTATTCTTTTTTGGGCTCTGTTTCAAAACTATGGAAATAAATGAAACCCTTTTTTTTCCAACATTAACCTCAAGCTCCCCTCATAGATGTGTGCAGCCTCTCCTTGGGATGGCTTTGCATTTTACAAATTAGATTTACAAAGAATGAATAGCATGGAAACAGGCCATTTAGCCCTAACAATACCTATGTTCATATTCCGCATAAGTCACTTTTTTTTTAAAAAAAAGTTTTCACAGAGTGGAACAAAAAGATGTTCTCTTTCCTTCTACAATCGTTGCTGGAGGTGCTGCCATAGGACACTTTCCCAAATAAATAACCAGTGCCCTTTTTTCCTAAATTTTTCACCTCCAAAATTGCTCCTCTCCCCTCCCTTCCACCATCACCAAATCAATGTTCCACATCCTACTCACACCTTCCACCATCTTTCCCAAATAGTCATTATTTCGAGTTTCAACAAGACAAATCACTGGGTATCACATCCAAACTCAGTCTTGTCCTCACCTGATACCCAAGCATACACATCCCAGCAGGAGTCTCTAATTAGTGATTATGAGCAGGAATGTTGACTAAGTTTTCTTCTCTCCTAAGGCCAGGGCATTGATACTAACAGCTGTCTTGGTTGAGATCTACAAAACCAATGGTGGCCAACCTTCCTAATAGTAAGGAAACCTGCCTAAGGTGTTGCCCTACCCAGGAATTGAACCCGGGTTCTCTCGCTTGCGAGGTGAGTGCTGTAACCACTATACTACAGGCCACCACCGTACTAAACTATCTGGTCTGAATGGCTTCTGGCTTCTCCAGTGGGTACCTTTACCCACTAAGCTATTTAAGGGGCTCATTGGCCTTTTTAAATTTGCTGCAACCCTCCAATCACTAGCAGTCTGGTTCACAGCTTCTAGTGCACTTGTTTCAGTTTTTGTAGTCCTTCCTTGTGTAAATATCACTTCACCGACAGTACAACAAATATTTATCATTACTTAGAAAGTGTGAATGAAAGAGGTCCCAAATGTACTTGAACCTGCATGATACTTTCTGTATTTTTCAAATTCCACCCTCCTCCCCTATACAAACATGGATCCATATTTCTGAGGACAAACTCCTCAATTCAGGGCAACTTTGGAAGAAAACCTGGTTTAAGCATTCAACTGAACAAAGACAATGCAAGTGCATCCCCAAGTGTTCCAGACAGTACCAGTAAGATGTGTAACTGTGGGTAACTCTTCTGGCAGACTTTCAAAGCCAGGGAGTTTGTATGTGGCAGCAGTCATAATTTCTGACAGTTTTGGAACTCACTAGCCAACCAAAAGGAGGATACCACAGGTAGGGCAGCGCCACAATAGCAATAGAAGGAGGTTCAGAGCCCTGCAAAGGAAGGGTTGGGCGTTCGATGGTGCAGCTCAAAGCTGGGAGAGGAAACAATTAAATCCGCATCATGTCCAGACAAAAAGAAGATTTTGAAGACATGTGTGGCTTTTATGAGGGGAGCAGCAGCAGCTAAAGCAACCGCCATGAAAGTGGCTTTGCTGCCTAATATTCTAATCAAAACTACTCAAAGGCACATAGGAGGAACTAAAAATTTGGATGGAAGAGGTTAAAAAANTGAAGGCTTCTATTACAAAGCATATGATAAAAACACAGCACAAACGAAGAAATAGGTTAGGAAGAAAATGAAAATCATTGGAAGTGCCGCAGATGAAACTTAACACAGACAATTAGCATTTTGGTTTTCATCTTTTCATTTTTCGTTTTACCAGTGACGTTTCCCAGAAGCTGCCAAATTTGTTTCGCAAATCTTTGATTATATCACGCTGCAAAAACAAAATTAATCAGTTTTCGTCATTTTCACGGAGCGTGGAAAAACTCTTAAGCCTGGAAGTAGAAATGTGGCAAATCTAAAATGGCAGCAGAAAGTGTGTGTGTGAGAGAGAGAGAGAGAGCAGCCTTGCTTTACTTAGCCATGCGCAAGTCTGACAGTTTTGCCTTCATTTTCAACCTCTTCCTTAGTAATTGCACAGTGAAAGAAAAGAAAATTCTGTCAGTTCAGTGGTAATCATTGTTAAAGCCGCAGCATTTTTTCTATGACCTTGACAGGATGGATCCTACACTTTTCCCCACTTTTTATATTTTCTTCCCTCCCCATTCTTTCAATCCCTTATCTATAATGCTCCTCTCAGACCAGCAACTAGGAAGTGGCTGAGAGAGGCCCAAGTTGTTTGTGGGACACTGCTGTGTGCAATTGGCTGCTGTGTTTCGCTCACAAAATATACAGTCAATTCACTTTACAGTGTATTCTTTGGGGCTTGTGGAAAGGGAGTGGGAGCATTGACAAATGAAGCTGAAGTGATAAGAGTGCCTGATTTCCATTAACATCCTTCCCTATATTCACTCGGGCACTCTCATGGTTGGAATTTGTGTTCAACAAACCCTACAGCTCACTGCTCCTTAGGGTGGTACTCTGTGTCCCCCAATCACCCACCAATCCATATTCTACAAAGTGGAAGAATTTGGAAACCACTTGTGGAGTTTATTTCTTTCTGAAAGGATATTTTATCTGTGTTTGAAACCTATCCTGCCCAGGTCAAAAAGGGGATACAGCAACTTTAAGAACACTAAACAAAGGACCTGAGATATCACAGTGATTTCAGTTGAAAGCATGCAGACTCGGACAATTAGATTACACCTTGTCAGAAGTTCAAACCATTACTGACTGTACTCTGATGCTCATTGTCTAGTCAGCTCTAGTTTTATGACAGGTTTCATTGGTATCCAAGGAATGTCAGGCTACAACCGTATAAAACAAAGCACAAGGGATTCTGGAATCTGCAAGGATGTAATCTAATGACAAGAATGAACCCAAAGCTTCTCCATTATGGTGGATGTCGGCATTTGGAGGACCTGTTTTAATACACGTGGATGGCTAGCGACCAAATCAATACTGCTATCCACATCCCACACTGTTCATTGTTGTTGTGTATGATTATTGCTGAAATTAAAGATATTCAACTTAATGTAAGCAATATGAGAAAGCTCAAAGCACACTACACTAAGCAAAGACGTCTAGAAAGGAAAATCATTTTAGACATCAAAGCTATAAAGGTAATCTGCGTAAAGATTACTGGCAAGAACTTACTTCAAAGCTTTTGACTTCTTCCTCACCATCTTCATCTTCTTCAACGTGACAGCTCTAGGGGAGAAGAAGTGCAGATGTGTCACTAAAATATTCTAGATAACTATGACCTGGTACGAGAAAATGGAACTGAACCATCAGACTTCCCAAGGAAAATGCCAGATGTAATAATCTGTTGATTAAATAGTTCAGTTCATTACCCATCCTAAGGGGGTTGATGAAAGTAATATTCTTTTCTCAGAAATTGGGAGAGTTTACATGAGGGCATCAATCCACTGGATTTGTGGCCTTGCCGAAAATTGTTCTCCATTTATTTCTTGTGCACTGAGAAAATTTACTTTTGTGCATCAATCTGAGGCTAAACATGGCTAAATATCAGATCGTAGAGCAGGTAATAGTATAGAAGAATAATCCAGTGCAGAATACAAATAATTTCAGCTATTGAAAGGGTTGGCTTAATACTCTGCTTCCATCTCTCCACTTCATCCCTAACTCCATCTACTGTTAAATCCAACCTTAAAGTCTACCTCTTTAACCATGCCTGTGGTCCCCTCCACCTTGCTCCTCCCTTCCTCTGTGACCTCCTAATCCCTTCCAACCTGTCCAATCCATCCGGCCTGCTTCACATCCCTCGCCTTGCCCAACCCACCATTGTCGGGCAGGCCTTCAGCCTCTCTACCCCCACCCTCTGGAACTCCATTCCACAGTCCTTTCGTCTCGCCCCCTCCCTTGACTCCTTCAATACCTGTCTCAAGACCCTCCTTTTTGACTGAGCCTTCGGTCACCCTCTTACCCCTACCCTCCCTGCCCTCCACCGCTCCTGATCCCAACCACTAGCTTGGGTGCGGATCCGACTGTCCAGCGACTTGGGATGTCGTTCTGACATGAAAGGTACTGTACAAATGTAATTTGTTGCTTATTGTTGTTGTTCTCCAATCCCAGCACTGGGAAGAGCTCAGAGATGTTATCCTATGCAACTGGCACTGTATAAATGAAGTTGTTGTCGTCGTAAACTGGATGGAGGGACCAATGGTCAAAAACTGTTACTATCTTTTTAAACCATTTATTAACATTATGGTACATTACAAGTTATTAATCATGTATTTAACAACCACTAGATTTAAAAATATCTTCTTATTACCAGAGCAAAGTGATGCAATACAAAAGCTTTTGACTGCATGAGGAAAACTGGTTTGTAAAACAAAATAATGGGCTGAGTTCCTCCTACTCATATGTACAAAGGCATGGTTCTGTGGTTTATGATAAAGGAACATGCACAATTTTATTAAACAATTTTAATCTTAAAAAACAGAACTCATGTTTTAACAGTTATAATTGGTATTAGTCATCTATCAATACAACCGTTACCTGAGCCATAATGTCAGCATAAGCCATATAGAGAAAATCTTCTTCCAGTTTACTGCAGAGAATAAATTTAAGAGCGGATTAGCAGATGGCAAATTACGGTACTAACTTCAAGAGAAAAAGAGCACTGGCTTAGGCTATTCCACATATGCCCCATAATAAGACTTGTGAGGGACATAAAGTCCACAAGCTTACAAGAGATTTGGATGAAAAAGAATACTTAGCACATTTAATATCATCAAAATGAATACTAGCGCAGATGCCAAGCCCGAACTGTCCTTCCAACATAAAAGGTGCTATTTTAATGTAAATTTGCATTATATTGTACTAGCCTAACCATCTACCTAGCATAACATAATGGCTTATGAAATAATGAGTTCCTATCTCAGCAATGCCATGGGAGATAGCTGATCATGACAGGTTCTTTCACATGGAACAGATACAAGGATCACAAAGCAAGTAATTATCGGTCATTCTCATATGCTCACATGCTTCTCCGTCATCAACATAGACAAAGGCTTGAAAGCAGATCATCAGCACACTCTCTCAGACTCTCATAGGCTCAATATATACACAAAACTGAACACAATTTTTCAAGAATTAAAAGGCTTCCAAACTGAACACCGCAAATAAATCTAAGTATGAATGAATGAAACTAAAGCACAAACATAAAGTTATTGCAGCAGTATTAATATTAATAAGCATGGAGTGTATTAAAACAGGTCAAAATCTAATTGCTGACATCCATTAAACCCCATTTTTATAAACAGTCCTGGTTCTTGGTAAAAACATCTTCCCCTCAATATTAAAAGCAGCTTTCTACAGGTTACAATCCAGAGAAAATGAAACAAAATACCTAAATCAAACAAATGGGAGTCATGATAACCTCATAAGTGATTGGATTTGTGACGTTTATATTAGGATTTTGAAATAAACTGTTTAAAATATTATTGTAACTTTCTAAAGCAAGAAAATCAGGTCAATCTTCTCTTAAGATGGGTCAGTCATTATAATACAACTTTAACCTCCACTGTTAAGAGCTCTGGGGTGTTACCTTGCCCAAGTGTCACTATATAAATGCAAGTTGTTCATGACAGCTCTTCACACAGAGCTGGTAATACAATAAAATAATTTTTTGCTTCAATATGTTATCGAACAAACTACATTAAATCTCGTCTCCAAGCTGGGGATTTCTACACGATAACTGCACTGACAAAGTGACTACTGACTGCTCGAGTTTGAACAGAGCACTCTCATCATACAGAACCACTGTTCTGTTGCACTTACCATTTCTCAGTCAAAGCCGTGCGACTGAAAAGCAGAATGAGTTGGTGAAGAGGGTCAAGTCGTTTGGTTCCCTCCTCTTCCTCTGCTGGCGCTTTCCCACCTGGTTTCTGAGCAAACAAACAGAGGATTTATACAGACATAGCTTTTCTGCACAAAAAATACTTACTGGAGTTTGCAGCCGAATAATTTAAAATCGTTTGCACCAGTTCATCAGAGAATGCAGAAAAATTTAATATCTGTGAAAACAACATTTATCTCACATCAACTCCATTCAACTGACTAATACAGTATTATCGAATTATAACACGATATTTGCGATCCATAGATTCCTAATGAGGCACATCATTGGGTTTCACTGCATACTGGCTTGGTCGGTTCCTGAGAGTTAACTATTATGAAGTGACGCAGGTGGTATCTTGATTGTCTGGAAGTGGGTTTGGAAGCTAGAATGGCCGACTTACAGGTTGTTACCCACATCACTTCCTGCTTTGCTCATTACAGCAGGAAACGGCAACTTGACTCAGAAGTCAGCAATTTAGTGCAAATGCTGACCAGCAGAAGTGAGTAGGCTGGCTACACCAAGAGTGAGTGGGGCGAAGGGGTTTGGACTGCAGCCATATTATAATCAAACATGTGTTACAAAGTGCATTATAATAATAATCCTTGCATTTGACACAGCACCTTATCACGCCTTTGAGACATCTCAAAACTCTTAACGGAATATACTGGAAAGTGAATTGACCGTATATGTTTGTGGGCGAAACACGGCAACCAATTGCGCACAGCAGTGATCCACAAACAGGCGTGGATTGAGTGACCAAATAGGTAGGGTGGGAGGGTGAGATCATGGGCCAATGGGACTTTTCATCTACAATATGTATATAATATATATATTTTTATAATTAGCTGCACCAGGTGCAGTTTTGCTTGCAACCAAAGGATCCAACTTCGAATGTAGATTGACACACACACAGACACACATTTCATCTTTATCTATACTCATCTGGGAGGAATCCTGTGGGAGGACTTCTTTTGGGAGGATTCGGCGCTTTAAAAATGTAATTTTGTTGTTGTTGCCTCTTGGCTACGTGCAGGATGCTAAAGCGCCACGGTCAGCTGACGCGGCCACGAGGTGCAAGTGCAGTGGGTGCTTACATACGTGCTCTGTGACGCAATATGACACAGCGCCAGCACTTTGCCTCGGCAGCCACCAGGTGTAACTACAGCGAAAAACGCAAAACTGAAAATAACTCACGAACGATAGGAGATACCCAAAAACAAATATGCCCATGTCACTCCCAGTTTCAAGAGCTTTCCGACAAGGTACAAATCATGTCTCAATGTCAACTGGTTATTGAGATCTTTCTTGAAACGCAAACAGAAATTGTTGTTTTACTAGTATAATAAAAAGATAATAATCCTTGCATTTGATATAACACTTTTCACATCTTCTAGACGTCTTAAAGCGCTTCACAGAATATACCGTTAGGTGAATTGACTGTATATTTGTAGGCAAAACTCAGCAGGCAATTGCGCACAGAGGTGTCCCACAAACAGTCATGGAATGAGTGACTAAATTATTATTGTTTTTTTTGAAGGATTATTATCCCCGGAAAAGCGATTCCACAATCGACTAACAACCGGGTTCCTACTTACTGCTGGTAAACAGAGGCATTGGAATAAGGAAACTTGCCCAACATTTCACCCTGCCGGGAATCAAACCCAGGTCCCTTGCTTGCAAGGCAAGTGCTCTAACCACTGAGCTTAAGGACTCCACATCTAAGCCTCTGATGGAGATACACTGAATATGCAGAGTTATTCTATTAACACATCCTAACATAATGTTAAGAAATTGACCAAATTTTATACTAGGGTCATGATGCCATTTCAACCTCTCTGTGTGTTACTGTCTTTCCTATTCACTGAAGATGAGAACAATAGCAAAAACATGAAGTCAAGAAAAGAGAATCAAGGCGGAGGGATTAAGGCATGGGGTTTCAGCGATTCCACAGGTCCACACGGCCTTCAGTGTTGGAGCAGAGGTGGCAATGGATGTGCAGAAGAGAGTACTAAGGTTAATACAATAAAGGTGTTCAAGACAATGAAGTTGTTTCAGAGGATGGATGCTGAGGAACTATTTCTGTTGGTAAGTGATTTGAAGCAAGAGAGCGTGATTTATTATTACTGGGAGCATGAAAGGGAATTTGGGTGAAAAAATAGTAATCTGAAAAAAGCTTGTTGATGGTTAGAAATTTACAGCACAGAAGACAGCGATTTGGCCCATCATGTTGTTGCTGGCTCTTTTAAGACAAATCTCTTCAGTCCCTTTTTCCTGCACTTTCCTTATACCCCTGTACATTAATATGAGGAATAGTTCGCCCAGTGGTAAAGTGAAAGCATTGGCATCAAGTCAAAAAATAGTTCCCTATGATACGCCTATAGTTTTTCTCTTGGTCAAATACACAACAGGAGAACCCATTATAAATCACCATTTGAAGCCATAAACCCAAACATCATATTATAACAGGGCATGAAACAAAAATGGCCACCACTGGCATCACTTCCTGCATGGCAGATGGCTTTCTCTGCGAGTCCAACAGGTAGGAAAGCTTCCAACAGATGAGGTGCATTATTGTAGGATTGTCCAGTATTAAGTTTTACCGAACAAACAGCTGAGTGCAACTCACAGCTATATCTTCTATCAGCTTGTCTTCAAAATAGTGATCCTCAGTCTCAATCCAGGATTTCTCATAGCCTTGAAGGAAGAGATTGACAGCTCGGTGCCTGAAGACAAGATACATGAATGACATTCAGAACAAATTTATTAGCTTTGTTCATTATAGCCCACAACCAGCATAATGTTGTGTTACATCCAGCATAATGTTAAACTAGTTAGGCAAATGAAATGTTGCTATGTGGAGCTGAGCTATAGCCTTGTCAGAGTCCCTGCTATCTGCTTTAATAATATCTCATATAATTTCTTACCTCAGGGAAGCATCTTATCTGCCTCAACCTGATTTGGGCCTTTTTAATAATAAAATGGCAATTTTTTAACACCAGAATAGATTGGCTACGAGGCTCAAGTTTAAATTTATGTTAATACATGCATGTGTTTATCATTTCCACATTCATTTTTATAAGAACGTTGTTCAGCATAGAAACTTTCAACCCGTCTTACCTTTTAGTTTGGTCAGCCGGGTGCCTGAAACAGAAATCCATCACCACGTTTACGAGTACCCAAACCACACAGAGTTCCATGCATGGTACATGCATGGAAATTCCTGTGTAATGGAGTGTGCACTCTCTCCCAAGAGGGACACCCTCTGCTTACCTAATTCCAGAGAGTATGAGGCACAGGTTGGCAAGTTGGGGTACTAGTGGAATTATCCAGCTAAAACCACATAACTTGCTATTGAGAGCACTGGCTGGTAAGCTTCCTGCTAATTGTCCAACTGGGTCCACCTGCCCATGAGGGCTTTGGCTTGCAGAATTAACAGGAACAGAGTGGGAAGAATCCCTGCCCACTGACTAATCTGACCCTCCAAGTCCTACCGATGAGCCAGGTTGGTTGTTTTGTCATCAGCAGTGCCCTGGAGTACCACAGACCCACTTGGCTCAGGAACCAAACTACCAAGACCACCACAGAGGGTTGAATCAATGATTCTCTGTCCTTAAGATAGGTCTTAAGACAAGTTTTACAGGTGGAGAGGAAGGTACAGCAAATTAGAGGCATTCCACAATGGAGTTCAAGAGAGCGAAGACAGAATGGTTGAAAGGTCACCTGTCGATGGTGGAATGGATCAAACGGAGGACGTGAAGCAGGCCAGTATTTGGTGAGAGAAGGGAGGGGCCTGGAGGGGAGGTAGAATTGCAGATACTGTACTTCCAAATTTTTGTGTATTACAATTGGCCTCATAGAAAATGACATTCCTCCCAAAAATCATTCAGTTCACCATTAGATATCAGAATCAAAGAATTTGTGCCAATTTTTAAAGTTGCTACATTTAGAATACTGTGTTTCTCATCCCATTCATGCTTCCTTGTCATTTTGTTTCTTGTTGAAACTTCAATGAAATGTGCTGGCTGTGATCTGCACACATTAGAGTTGTGACTACCGAGGAAGAAGGCTGTCCTTTGTGGGGTATGGAAAACATTCTTTCTTGGTGCTTTGTTAGCAACGCTGCATATTTAGTGGCTGTGCTCAGGAGTACTAAGTACATATCACATTATAATTATACCACTAATAATCATTGCATTTGATATCGCACCTTTCACGTCAGGTCAACATGTCAAAGTGCTTCACAGGATTTTACCGGAAAGCGCAGTTATTGTATTTTGAGACAACCAATTTGCATATGGCAATCTCCCCAAAACAGCCTTGAAGTGAATAACTGATTATTGGTCAATGTACACGGCTGATTTCTAACTGCTAATGTGAGGCTGAGGAAGGAAAACTATGGAGTTCATACCGTGGCAGGTTGTACAGTGGTGCCATCCTGAAGCAGGCAACCACTGCTCGCTTCCTCTGCTTGGATAGTAGCTTATGCCACACAGCTTTCTTAGATCTCTGAGGATGTTCAACCTAAACCAAGGAATATGGATGGAACAGACAGCTTTATCGTTGTAATTCTTGTGAGTTTCTTTTGACTGAAAATCCAATCATTTGAAATGTGAATTTCCCCCTCCTCTCTCGCAGTGCTGAATCATGTTAGAATAGTCTTTCATGGATGCTGACTGCCCTCTGATAGCTTGTTCAAATGGTCATTATTCCTCTGCGAGCCTCAACATTGCGTGTTGAGCTACTTGACATGAGGAAGACATTAGCTGTGATTCCAATTCCAGCCACAGTTCACGGACACACATACACTTTCTTGCAAGATTTCTAGATAGAGATGAAGAGTAGGAACACTGGTGGATTTTCCCTTCCCTATCCCACGGCTTGAAGGTCGGTTATCAAATTCCCCTTATGACTGATCCAGCTGAAATTAGCTAACTCTGTACGGTATATTAAACAAACTGGGACATCCTGACCCAATGGCATTAACCAACTGAGTCACCAAGGCGATCCCATCTGCAGATATTGCCTAATTCAGGAGGTGTATTTAGCCCATTAAAATCAGACTGAGTCCACATAAGACAATGAACTCTGAGATTACCATCAAAAGGCTCAAAGCTAGAATTCACAATGCATATTTGGCTCATATCTTTAGTTTAACTCTGCACTGAATCTCCATTGGAAATTTAGCTTCTTAATTTTAATTAAACAAACTGTTTAATTTTCCTAAAGTACTTCCTTTAGATTAACAATTATCTATTTTTCTACTGACGTTAAGCCCTGTATTACTGCTGCACTAGCATATCTGACTAAAATTAGAGAAAGAACAAGTGAGTATGAATTAAACTCTCTCTTGACTTAAAGGAACCTCACAATTCCAATTCCCCAGTAACTCAGAGAAGGACAACAAAACAAGACAGTGTAACTGAAGTCGAGAAGCATGTGGCTCTGGGAAGAGAGTGGATTTGAGAATGTGGTGAGAAGTCAAGTAGCTGGGGTTACGATACATTAAATAACAACAACAAAATTACATTTTTTTAAAGCGCCTTTCATATCAGGAGGGCGTCCCAAGGCGCTGGATAGACAGAGTTACGGACCCGAGGGTCCTGGGTGGGGGGAGGGCAGAGGGGGAAGCAAGGAGATCGAAAGCATGGTCGAAGAGGAGGGTCTTCAGGTGGGTCTTGAAGGTGGCAAGGGAGGGGGCAAGAGGGAGGAACTGCGGGATGGAGTTCCAGAGAGTTGGTGCAGAGTGGCGGAAGGCCCACCTGCCGATAGTGGGACAAGCAAGGCGGGGGACGTGAAGCAGGCCGGAGCCCGCTGAGCGGAGGGAGCGAACAGGGTGTTAGGGGGATAGGAGGTCGGAGAGGTAGAGGGGAGCAAGACCGTGGAGGACTTTGAAGGTGAGGACCAGGATCTTGAACTGTATACTCTGTGTGATAGGAAGTCAGTGGAGTTGGGTGAGGATGGGAGTGATAGGGTCGCGGAGCCTAGTGCGGGAGAGGACACAGGCTGCAGAGTTCTGGATGATCTGCAGCCTGTGGAGGGAGGAGTTGGGGAGGCCGACAAGCACTGAGTTTGCATAGTCGAGCCTCGATGTAATGAAGGCATGTATGAGGGTTTCAGCGGCCTGCGGTGTGAGACAGTGGTGGAGCCGGGCGATGGTACAGAGGTGGGGGAAGGCAGAACGGGTCATGGCGCAGATGTGGGGTAGAAAAGATAGTTGAGGGTCAAACAAGACGCCAAGGTTCTGGACTGGCTTAGTAAGGTGGAGTGTGCAACCATGGACGGTGATGCTGTCAGCACCTGAGGTGTGGAGGCGCTGACGGGAGCCAATCAGGAGGGCCTCGGTCTTGTTGACGTTCAAATGAAGAAATAAGCTTCAACTTGTTGAATGTAATGACCTTCTCCAATCCTATGAATATATATTCTCAAAGTAAAGAACACTAACCTGTTCCAAGTGAAAAACTACATTGGAAATATCTAGCACTCGCTCCACTGTTTTCCCAGGATCGGACGAGTCTTCACTTCTGTTCGGCAGGTCTTTATATAGAGCCATCTGCCACCTAATGGCAGGATCTTCCAACTGCAGGTTGGGATTCGTATTAGTTATCAGTCAACAGGATCCACAAGATACCATAAATTACTTATCAGATGACATAATAAATGCTGACTTTTAGCTCTACTCTGCTTAAAGTTGCACCTCTAAATCGACAACCAATACATGTTTTCAGCCTTGCACTAACTCACCCTTTTGAGGTTAATGTCCAGGCATCTCAGAAGTTTGTACAATTTAAATCTGGGATTGTAGATCAGAATGGTAGGAGGGAATAGATAGCTTTGCTTTTGAATTAAGGGCACTGAAAATTGCTGATGACATTATGTACTACTGTCTACAATGTAGAGTGGTGAATTCCTTGGAATATCTGTTCAGACTGTAATTTACTCCCATCTATCCACCTCTTCGATCATGCTTATAGTCACCTCACTCTCTCTCCAGGTTAGTGTCAAGCTCGACCACTGTTAAGTGCTCCAAGATGCTGCCCCACATGAAGGACACTGTATGAATGCAAGTTGTTGTTGTTTACTTCAAGGATTCAGGTGACATTTTAGGAGTTAAGTGAATTTGTTTTAATGTTACTTTCAATAAAACTTTTAATAAGTGTTAATGATTTAAGACTTTACAGAGAATGATACGTCACAGAAACAGACCAATCGGCCCAACTTGCCTGTGTCGGAATTTGATTATAGCAAGATATATTCTTTTTTCATGCATTTATTCATTCAACAAAGCAGCCACAGGAATCAACAACAACAAAATTACATTTGTATAGCGTCTTTTATGTCGGGAGGACATCCCAAGGCGCTGGATAATCAGTGTTTCGGACCCGAGCTGGGGGTCGGGATCAGGGAGGGTGGAGGGTGACCGAAGGCACAGTCGAAGAGAAGGGTCTTGAGACATGTCTTGAAGACGGCAAGGGAGGGGACGAGGTGGAGGGACTGCGGGGTGGAGTTCCAGAGGATGGGGACAGCGTGGCTGAAGACCCGCCCACCAATGGTGGGGTGGGCCAGGAAGGGTATGTGAAGCATGCTGGAGCCCGCTGAGTGGAAGGTGCGGGCAGGTTGGTCGGGGGTTAGGCGGTCGCAGAGGTAGGGGGCAGCAAGGCAATGGAGGTGAGGACCAGGATCTTCAACTGTATGCTCTGTGTGATGGGAAGCCAGTGAAGTCAGTCAATCAAACCTGGATCAACAGCATACTGGCCGAGAACAAGAGCAAGGGCAAGAGTCACAAACAAAAATTGCACAATCAGTATACACCATGAGAAGGGCTCTTATGCAATTTTGAAAGATGTACATTACAGTTATAATGTACCTCTCTAGGGCATGGGTGCCCTTCTAATGTGGATGTCCTGCGGATCCACAGTTACCACATGTAGGATGCACTTCAGACTTTCAACATGGATTAGTTGGCTTCCCACATTAATAAATTCCAACTTCCAGAACATCAGGTTGCTGCCAATGCCACTTCTTGCACTCTGCAAATGTGAACTATACACAGCAATCATTTTGCATTGGCATCCCTTTATGAAGGCAGCAACTGCAGAAGCACTTCTTGTAATGTTATGCACAATTGATGGGAAGTCACATCAGTAGCGATCTGACGACCTGAAAATCAGCCATTTTTTCATGCTCTGTTACAATGTGTCTGCTGAAATACTGGACCCAGATGACCACGTTTCAATGGGCCTGCTTTGTGTTTGTAAGTAAGTTAGAATTGAAGCACAAACTGTATTGGAATGACAGGCATTAAGGCTGCAGAAAGGCAACTGATCTATCTGGAATACTGAAAATGCAATCTTTTGACAGCCTGCATCAGCTTAAGACAATTAGGAGAAGGGATCTAGTAACTAAACTAAAGTTCCACTATTGTATTGAAATCTATTTGCGTACAATAAAATACAAAACAAGCAGAAAAAGAAAGTTTCCCATCGTATATGTGCATTCTTATTTATTCTTTTAAAGATTGATAGCTCTTGAAGCAGCGTAGATTGATCAAACGCTTCAGGATAGTTATGCCATTTATCAATCTACAGAGTTTGAGCTGTGAACGACAATTGTGAAAATGCTCAAAATGTTAAAATATCAATTACGAAAGCACCTTTTGCTAAAATGATTTTCTCTAAACACAAGGAATAAGCGCAATTCTATCCCATACCAAAATCAAAACAATACAGAATCATCATACGATGGGTATCCTCTTGCTTCAAAACCACAGCAAGTTATTCAGACTTACATGACCACTCTGCATATCTAGAAACAGGCTGTTACACCCAAGCAAACCATGCACGGTTGTAGTCCCATCCTCTTTCAGGCCTTTCCTGGGCTTACTAACCATCAGCTCAAATGGCCTTGACAGGACCTTTGAGTGTTGCGCCACAGACACATGGTGAATTGAAGAGGATTTTTTAAGTGCCAAAACAATCTTGTGATTTTTTGATCTTGTAAGTGTAGAGAAGAGGAGTTTTTTGAACTCTGGGAATAATGTCTAGAATAACAGAGTGTTTTTGCACGGTCAATTTTTTATGGCTGTAAGTGCCTGAAAAATCTGAGCCAGAGTTATTGGGCCTGGAAGCGGATTTGGGTGGTCTGTTCTTCATCCATTTCATAATTATGATGAGTCTCTTCACCAGTTTCTTGAAATGAAATACTCGATACTGATAGACGGCATGCAGGCATGCAAGGAAAGAGACACAGACATGTGTGAAATGAACAGGTACAAGATCTCAGAAGAGCGACAACGCTGAACAGAATTCATGCTTCAACATAGCAGTGCAATTTATAGAAAGCAGTTACCATCCACTCTAAAAACAACATAAATTGTTTAACACTTGGACACCATCAACCTACTTTGCCCTGAAGATGAAGATTATTGCGAATTATTTCTCTAACTTCAGCCTCCGTGTCTTTCTGCGTCAAAGGGGGGGAAAAGTTAAGTTTCAGAAAACTATCTCCAAGAGAATTACAAAATTTCTACCCACTTAAGCTCTCGCACTTTAACAGTCAAGTGATAATAAAAGTGCTAACATAAAGGGCAAAATTTTGTTTCTCAATGGAATCTTGAAATTGTTTTTCGCAAAAATCACTGTATCATTTGGAGTCACTCAGATCTAGCCGTTGCTGACGTCAAGGCTAACAGAACAACTGTCTGGAATGGTACGGCACGGAAAGAAATCAATCAGCCCAACTAGAGTCTTTCTCATACAAACACACACCATCATGTACAATTGTGTCTTTGCATGAGAAAGAAACCTGGGCAAATAACATCTAAAGAATGGTATACAGCACTCCAAGACATTACTCCATGTGAAGGGGGCTGTATAAATGCAAGTTGTGTTGTTGTACCTACCAGGCTAAACCGATTTTTCGCCAATGAAATTAGTTCCTGGTCACCAGGCGCACAGATGTTTAATCCAATTGGAAGTAGTCTCTTTAGTGCTGCGACAATGAGTGACGTTTGAAGAGAATATCGGTCTCCCTTCCTCTTTGACTTCTTCCTCTCTTGATCGGAAACACACCCCTGGGGAAAGCAGCAGAGAAATGTATTCGCTATTGTTACAGTACAGATATATTCTGTGCACAAAACACACAGTTGCATCATTTTACAGTGCATCCTCTGAAGCACTTTGAGATGTCTTTATTCTCAATCATCAACAATCTATCACCCATTTCAGATTGTCATGGGGGTGGGGGGGTGAGATCATTTCTGATCCATGTCTTTACCTGTATCTTTGGTTCAACATTTAATGAACAAACACCACCGTTGGCAGATATTCCAGATTAAAAATTCAGAACTGCACATCTGTCAGGTATGAATTCGGGGCATACCTTTGACATCTTAGATTTTGTGTCAGTGATGAGGAACGACATGTTATTGATTTCGTTCTGCACCACAAAGTTCTGCTCCTCCCTCTTGAAATTCTGCAAAATTAACATTCACAATCATTGATACGGAAAAGATTTTAGAAGGGTATCACTCAGTCATCATCTTTAGTAACTCAATGATTTTACACACTGGGTTCTCGACTATACTTTTGCTCACGTGAGATTTCGCCCAGTAAATAAACACTTCAGCCACCATTCGGAACAGTTCTTCAGCCTCAGGATTTGGTTCTTTGAGCCATTTGGCACTGCAATAAAACAGAAAGGTATTTCAGACAGAAATCTGCAGATGTTTTGAAAGGAGTGAGCTATTTAATGAGTAAAATATTGGTTAAATTTGAGTTAATATGGATAGCATCAAAAGGGAGCTTTTCTCGTTTCTGAAACCAAATTTAGGACCTTTGTTCTCCAGTCTTGGTAAGTTGGGAGCTGCAGGGTAACATCTACTTACCAGGGCGAGCTCAGTATGATGATATGAGACCTTGTGAAATCCAGGCCACAATTTAGTACCAGTGTTTGTTAGCCTTCGGCACCCACTTGGCAAGTATTGATCAGCAGAAGCAATAGACTATACTTGCAGGAATCGTCATTAAACCACTGCAAGTTTACAATAGCTACAGGTCATCCTGCTGTGTCAGGTCAATCAGTTCAGGGTACAAAAGAAACCCATTCCCCACACCAAAGAGCCACAATAATAAATTGGTCACTTCAATCCAAGACTGTTTGTGGCACACTGCTGTGTGCAATTGGCTGCCGCGTTTTGCCCACAAATATACAGTCAATTCACTTTACAGTCTATTCTGTGAAGCACTTTGAGACATCGAGATAACGTGAAAAGCGCTATATCAAATGCAAGGATTATTATTATTATAATAATATTCAAACCCAGGGTTACACAGTGAAATTCATTTTCCTCAGTTAACTATTGAAGTGTATCTTTGCCAGCTTTCTCAACAAAAGCGAACTCTATAAATTATAATAGCAGGTATTTCCCGATTAAGATTACTTTGCCATTCAGTATGCGGTGGACCCCTTGATAGAACATATTGATCTTGGGAAGGGGATAAAAAGCAAGAAGCCATTCCGCCCGCTGCTATCACAACCATGATGATGCACTTTGATTTGATTTGCGTCATGGTGCTATATTCTTGTAAACAAACGAACACAGCTCTGCTGCCTCTTTAAGCAAGTGAGACAAATGAGTCAGGGCATTCATAGATCTTAAGGGGATCATTTTGAGAGTAAAATAAATTACCGGTTATAATCCACAAATCGAATTAGCAACGGGTAGAAAGCGTACAGGTCCCGGGCCAGCACAGTGAATTCATCCAGGATGAGGAGCTCAGCCTCAGACATGTCCCCTCTGCCCTCCGCTTTCAGGTGATCCTCCTCCACCACCACTGTGGCCACTTTCTTTTTCAGCTTCTCCATGAGGGGCAGGAAGTGTGTCTTCAGGAGCTGGGCTTTCACCTTGCTGATAATGGGCTGTGAAAATACTGTTCCAAAGCAAAACGTTTGGAGATGGCATATACAGATGCATATGTGTGTATGTGTGTGTGTATATATAGTATAGAGAGATATTAATCTGTTTTTTAAGCAATAAGGAAGCCAAGATGGAGATACTTCCAGGGCATTAGGTTGCTGGTGATGTCACTTCCTGGACACAAAGAAATCAACATCCAGAACGTGATATCCACGTCAGTGGCAAAAGCTAATGGCCTGGAAGTTAGCTGTTTTGACCTGCTCTCACTGGCTATTGTTATGAAGCAGCAATGGAGTAGACTTTTGGAATGTTTGGGTTAGTAAATATAAGGGTCCACACCCCAATATAAGCAAAATCGTATTCCAACAAATCGCTATATAACAGGTGCAAGTTGCCCCCTGCTGATCAGACAGTACCTGCTAATCTCTTCATCCAAGCTCCTTCGTCAATGCCCAGGTTGTTTGATATAATCTTCAGAATGTTGCCCAGCAAAGTGTTCATGTGCTCGGAGGTGAGAGCAGTACAGCACAACTCTGCCTTCTCAGGGTTATTCTCTGGCCCGTGTTCCCACCAGTGAGACATGTAATTGCACAGCATGGGCAGGATAACTTCCATTATATGGGGCATCTGGGTGTAACGTATCCCAGATTCTGCCAGCTCCATTATCTCTTCCATCAGACTTTCCAGGGAAGGAATATTGGGACACATCTCTTCCACTCTGGCTGGCAAATTCAGAGCTGAGGCAGGTTTATTTGAAAAGGTACATGTAAAAAAAAAGTTACTACAATAAATAAACAAAAAATTGTAAAATTGTGTAGTTTAATGCAAGCTGTAAAGTTCTGATGAATGCTCTGGGAAAAAAAACAATATACTTTTGATGGTGTCTCATTTCCTCAACAATACCTGGTGATGTGCAGCAATTTCTAACAAGATACTTTAATAAGGAATAGGGATAAAGCGTAAATATTCCTTCAGGTAATGGTCAAATGTTCTTCAACCCATAAAAATTCCTCTCCAAAGGTAAATAGCATTTAGTTCTGTCCAAGTAAGTCTGTGTAACAAATATCTGGTTTGTTTATTGAAGAATCCAGGTAGAAATCACTGTATATTAGATCCCTTAACCTTTATGATGTTTATTAATAAGCAAAAGATTTGGTCACTCATTCCACCCCTGTTTGTGGGACATGACTGTGCGCAATTGGCTGCGGCGTTTTATCCACAAAATACGCAGTCAATCCACTTTACAATATATACTATGAAGTGCTTTGAGATGCCCCAACAACCTGATAATGTGCTACATCAAATGCAAGTATTATTATTGTAAACAAATTTAAAATCAATCTTGGTTGCTGCAATGTACTTGTTTAGCCGAAACTTGGTTTCATCTAACATTTACTCCTTGGCCGATCTAATTGTCTCTCCACTCTTAACTCTTTTCTAACTTGGTGGAGTCCTCCAATGGGTGACTTGGGTCTTGGTCTTCTGTAGCACAGTACATTACAACCTCAAGATCTTACTCCTCCAATCACGTAATTCTGGCATTTTAGACTCAGCAACACATCAAGTCAATGAACAGCCTGAGGCAAATGGTGTTAGCCTCATGTGGAATCAGTCTACCTGCACGATCCTTTGAAGTCTTAGTGTTGTAGCTCGAGAAAGGATTGTGTTTGTTCAGGTCAGTCTCGAGAAAAGCCACGGGGAAAGCACCCGAAAATGCTGCCAGACACTCCCCTAGAGCTGGCCGCTGCCTGTGTAAGAAAATCACAAACAAGCGATAAAGAGCATCCCTTCTGAGCAAGTCTCACTTTCACAAAGATGTTCAACGTGCTTCTTCATTAATGGAAATCAAATATTTTCCAATTGGTAACATAACATTTGAAAACAGAAGGGAGTTTCTCTCTCCCAGTGTCCTGGCCAACAAATCCCCAAAATAAAATGTCATTCACTCCATAGCTGTTTGTGGGACACTGCTGTGCCTAAAATGGCTGTCGCATTCACCAACAAAATACACAGTCAATCAGTACCACTTTACAGCATATCCTTTTGAAGCACGTTGAGACAACTTGACGCAATAAATCACACATTATTAATGCAAGGATTATTATGATAAGAATGACAAGATACCACTGGAGAAAAGAGACTAGCTTCAGGATTCTGATACATGGGCATTATTCTCTTCCGTTTATTAGAGGGGAAGATCTGACCATTCAGATTCCCATGTCTACCCAAGCTCTCTCTTTCTGATATAATCGGTATTATGAAATGCAGCACTGGGTGCTCAGCTACAGATCGGGGCCCCTGAGAGCTTCTGGCTGGTTTCAGGCCCAACCATCATGTTCCAGTCTGGGGAGGGGAGGGAGTGGATTTCACCCTGGCAGGCATTTGATAATTATCCTTCAGTTTGACTGTAATTCTACTCAATGTGAGAATTATCATCTCTGTTGATTATCATTTTCACCCACTTAATACACAGAAAAATCCAATTACAGTTTATACTGTGAAGCACTTTGAGATGTCTCAACAACAGTATAAGGCGCTATACCAAATGGAAAGATTATTGTCATATTGTTCGGTGCATTTTGCATTCTTTTGTGCTTTCTGATAAAGTGAAGCAACAGCTGTCTACCACCACCTAGTGCTAACTTGTTCTTGTAAGTAAATCTCATGGAGGAGTAACAGGGAAGTGACCCTCCTCTCATTTTAGTGACATGAAGCTCAGAGGCTGAAAAAAATATCTTATTACACAATAAATGGGAAGCCTCTCAGTGAATTGCATGAAGAATAGCAGAGTTCTGGAGACTGATTAATCGGCTACAAAAAACTGAGAGAGTTCACACACTGTGAGAAAGCATAAGAGCTAAGCCTTGGTAGTATGTAACCATCAATAAATGACAGGATTACAGCTTCAAAATCACTCCCAGGCAGCTACCATTTTTAATAATGTTCAGCATTCATCACTGCTAATTCCAACACCAGGGATTGGACAAACCAGTAATCCTACCAACCAAAATCGTCACAATATATCATGTCTTTCTCTCCTTTTATGATCCCTCACTCCGATTTTACACCCCCCCCCCACCCCACCCACATCTCCTCCCTCCCACTTGTATCCTTTGCTTATTGCTGATCCTAATCAAAAAAACTACTAATCCTTTACAGGGATGTGTCTTTGTTTTGGATGTGAGAGTTGGAATGGATGGAACTCTCCTCCAGCTGCACAACTGGGAGAAGAGAATTGTTACAATGGGAATAGGAGATGGTATGTGGTGACGATATTTACCATGCTGCAGTACTAACAGGTTATTTTTGATAGTTAACTACAGGGACCTTCACTACTACATCCAGATTACCTTGGTTCTTTGCTCCGAATAATCACAAACGTATTCTGAAATATAAGGTGTCTGCATTCATTTTCCATTCATACAGCTCCTCCTTACCTTTCCACGTAGATGCTTTTACCAGTACCCAGCGCGTATAAGCTACTTAGTATCCTGTAGCCAGAGACCTGGACATCATCCACTGCAAAGGAAAATTTACATCAGCATTTTAGCATCTTAAATACGTAGTGCATGAGAAATCAGAACATATGCCTCTCCCTATACATCCTATCTCAAAGGCAAGGGTATGCTGTCTATTCCAGACAGACATTTCCATGTGTAGATGGCATAAATTTGTGGAACTCTCAGTACGGTGACAGGTTTTCGCATCTGTCAGACACCCGACTGACCAAAAATAATACTCTCCCTGGTTAAAATGTGGAGTTTGAAGATCAGCGGTGATCACCATTGACTCAGCTACTGCAGAAGGCTTGTGCTCAGACTCAGAGGACCAAGAATAATAGCTGCCAGCTGGCAGGCAGGAATGAAAAGGACACCAATCTTCATTGCTTCAATGATCCAGACAGGCCAAGCCTGGGCTCTTGTACTCTTGGATCTTTCTGGACCCGAAATGTCTCATCACGAGTGCAAACAGTGAACCCACTCCTCCCGGTGACTTCAGTGTCTGGGAGGAGTTAGTACTGACAGCACAAATACACAAAGTGGGAGTCATGAACAGAGGGAGTCATTACAGAGAGGGAAACTCAAGATAAAGTACTTTCTGCATTCATCTACCTAGAGCTCAAACTCCACATACTGGTGTTAAAGCACATACATTGAGAATTATCACCAGAAAAAGAAAATGGTGAGATTGGAAGAATTATTTTTACCCAGAGTTTGTTAGAATATGGAATACTTTACAACAAATGGTTGTTCAAGCTGAGTCCTAAACAGTATTTAAAAAGGGAATTGGATAAATACTTGCAGGAAAAATAATGCTACAGGTTATAGGGAGAGCAGAGGAACAGGATTAAAGCAGATAGCTCCAATGGGGGAGCAAGCACCTGAACAGAATGATGGGCGGTAAAGAAATACTGATCCCAAACTACTTAAGATAGGAGCCTGAATTATAGTATCTTGTAATCTTTCACACGACCAGTAGAGGTCACATTCTCTCCACGTTCAGCAATTCTGCATCAGCTGCTGATGTTAAAATCACACAACAGCAGCACACATTGGATTGCAAGCCAGAATTGAGCTTGCCTGTGATACTCCCTGTGGTAAAATTGGTTGAGTTGCCCCAACACTCACCATCTGGGCTCTCACATGAGAGGTTGCGGAGTGCAACACAGAAAAGTCCACAGAGAAGAGTGAAGTCTGAATAACATGCTGCTCAAATAAAATTGACAGGGGAAGTACAGGTACTTAGTGGTACTGTTTCTTAACAACAATGAAAAAGAATGACAGAATCACACCTCATCCTTTTTATTTGTTAATATTTGTGTAGTTATGGACGTCTGTACTTTCTTCTGTAAACAGTTACACATTATACTAATAACTTGGAAATAGAATCTGGGCGGAGGGGGAAGATAACATTGGATACAGATCACATTTATCATGCAATTTTTTTTAAAATTAATTTTTTAGATTTTTTAAAAAAGAATAAAGCCATACAGATGAGGTCTTCTCCAAACTGGTGCTGGGCAATGTGTTCAAACAGTGATGATAAGACTGGCAGCAAGGCCACAGTCGTGTAATTGATGATCTGCGTCACTCCTTTAGGCTGTGTCCTGGTGTGAGTGAACTGCCCCAGTTTAAGATTCTCAATAGTTTTCTCCAAATCCTCTGCTGCATTTTCAAAGAACGCTCGTAAGGCCAGCTTAACTGATTCCAGACCTGTCTTCATCACAGTCCTGAACAGACAAGACAATCCTTTAGAGTCAACAACAATTTGCATTTGTATAGCACCTTTCACATCAGGAGGACGTCCCAAAGCACTGGACAATCAGTGTTTCAGACCCAAACTGGGGATCTGGGAAGGTGGAGGGCATGGGGGGGGGGGGGGGGAAGGAGGGTGACCGAAGGCATGGTCAAACAGGAGGGTCTTGAGACGGATCTTGAAGGAGGCAAGGGTGGAGGCGAGGCAGAGGGACTGCAGGATGGAGTTCCAGAGGGTTGCAGAGTGACCACCCGATAATGGTGGAGCGGGTGAGCCGGGGACACGAAGCAGGCTGGAGCCCACTGAGCAGGCAGGTTGGTAAGGGGTTAAAAGGTCGCAGAGATATGGGGGAGCAAGGTTGTGGAGGGCTTTGAAGGTGAGGACCAAGATCTTGAACTGTATTCTCTGTGTGATGGGAAGCGAGTGGAGTCGGGGGAGGATGCGGGTGATAGGGTGGCGAAGCCTGGTGCTGGAGAGGACTCGGGCTGCAGAGCTCTGGATGATCTGGAGTCAGGTGAAGTACAGGCAGCCTGAGGATCATGGACCTTTAATAAATGCTCTTGTTACAATTATTTAAAAATCATTTTCTTTTATGAAATAAAAGCTTCCATACATGCTCTGATTGGATGCGGGTTCGCACCGCACAATGTTGTGATTTCTTCACTGAAAAGGGGAATCTTGAAACTCAAATCTTCTTTTATGTGGGTTTCCATTTATAGAGCCAGGCTGCAGGGTTCCTCTTCCACACCTTAATCTTGTGCATCTTTCCACAATGGATGCAAATTGTGCCAAATTTCAAATGGGGTTTCTTACTAAAGACAAAGACTTGCAGATGGGGATTCCTTTTGTTATCTGGCAGGAAGACCCACAGGTGTGCAGTGCCTCTGCTCTGACTTGACTTACAGATACAGTCCCTACACTCTATATTAAATACTATGAAATGTTTTGAGACGTCTCTACAGCATGATAAGGCACTATATCAAATGCAAGGCATCATCATTATTATTCTTACAATAATACTCTCAGAACACAGGTGGACATGACTTCCAGTATTTCTGGTTACTGGAAGGAATTTCCAATTGTGAGTAGGATTCCTTAGCAGGAATTTCCATTTCCACAAATGTTTGTCACTACACTTCACAGTATGAAGTACTTTGAGACTTTGAAGCACTTTGAGACATCGCAATGACGTGATAAGGTGTTATATCAAATGCAAGGAGTATTCTTATTTGAAATTGCTCCCTTTTAGCACCCAATGAATTGATGAAAGAGTGCACACAACTGATTACCTGGCATCCAAAGTCTGGCCCAATATGTGCAGACAGTTTACTATTGATGTGGCATCGCTTCCTGTATTGGAATAGAAAAAAGGAACATGGATTATCGCAACAGTAAAGAAAACCAGGCACTTGAAAGGAAACATCCCAAATTAACACTGATTCTGGTGACAGCTCTGGAAGAGGGGGCTGGAGACTGGCACCAATGAAGAGTTTGCATTTATAAATTACAAATGTTCTCTCATTGAAGACAATATGCATTATGTCTGCCTTTGCACTGTTGCACCACCATCGACCAGTGTCTAATTTTGAATGTCCTTCCTTAGAGATCAGGAAAAGAGCTCTCATCAGGCACTGCTCTTGGCTTGTGCTATTTGATTCAACACTTGAATCCAACCAAAGAAAACCCATGGCCCATGTCAGAAATACATTGGTATAATTCTAGCAGTTAGTTCACAAAAGACATTTCAGGACAACTTGAAGTGAAAACATGTCAATGTCTTGTGCCTTTTATGGCAGTCCGTCTCATGACTCACTTCAAGTGCTCCATTCATCAAAAAAAACTATTACAAGCGGGTTTACTGATAACGGGATACTGAGCCTAATATATAACACTTGCCAATGGATATTTTATAATAAAAAAACCCAAGTGTGACTCCTTCCAGTAACCAGAAGCACATCATGCCAACCTGTGGGAACTCCAATCTGAAAATGAGTGGTGTTCCCGCGAGTCAATGAGACATCAATTTCCTCTATTGTGCTGAGCAATTGTTTCCTCTCAACAACTTTCAATTCTTTACATACTGGGGCTGCTTCCATATTCAGCACTTCTCCTATACTCCTTGCTAGGTTCCAAACAACAGGCTTGTCCTCCGACAGATGAAGATCCTTTTCTCGCTTTTGTTCCTTTGTAACATTTTGTATCTCTTTTCTGCCTCACTGTCATTAGGGAATACCACTCCAACGCATAACCTACTTCAGACTGAGTTCACACAGATTTGCGTGAATCCTAGAAATTTACAGCACAGAAGAAGGCTTTTTGGATTTATCACATCTATGCTGGCTCTTTGAAAGAGCAATCTATTCAGTCCTATTTACCTGCCTTTTCCTCAACCTCCTACACATTATTGGGACTCATAGGGTGTACTTCTGGTTACTGGAAAGGGTTCATTCAATCCCATATAAAGAAATCCCATTAGAAAGCACAGCATATCAGGTCCCAATGACAATAATACTACCCCGTGCACTTTATTATGCCTACATGAAGTGATATGAAACAGAAACAAGAGGACTGGTATCCCCTAAAGGAAATTCAGCCCCTGCTAACCAGCCATGCAAGAGAGCAAAGCACAAGATCACCACATGCCACAGCATAGCCCCATGCTCTCCTTACCAAACAGTGATATCCTATGTCTGACAAGTACTCCGAGTTTGCAGAACAGGCTGAGGTGGAGAGAAGAAAGAAAAGGGAAGGGAGAAAAAACACAAAAGAAGGAAACAGCTGAGATAAAAGCCTGCAGAGTAATGACGGCATCACGCAGGAAGACCCCTGGATCTCCTCTCAGAGCTGAACAGAAGGAGATATCCACAGACATGTTATGTAATGATAAGTCTAACACCAAAAGCTTTTATTCAGATGATACAAGCATATGTTAATAAATTAAAGTTAAAGAGGAGCACCTGTTATTGAGCGGAACGGGCACTTATTACTTGACTGAAAGGTTTAATTTCACACAAAAAGCACAGGGAAATATAATCAACAAAAAGCATCTCGGGGCCAGCTGGAAGCAGTTTTACAATCAGGTCTAAAATGCCATATTCGTCCCAGCAAGTCGGCAATAGTGCCTCCTGCTGGTAACTGAAGTAAGTCACACCTATTCCACAGGACCACCACTCCAGAGTAAAGCTCTCATAACTCAGCGGGATACATAACATAATGGGACATATATGTGGATATTAAGACCAGGTTTGTAACTTACTGTTGCAAGTACCAGGCTTTCCCCACCAATGTAGCTTTTCATTCTCCATTCCATACTTTCTTCACTTTCTTACAACAACTTGCACTTATATAGCGTCCTACATGCAGGACAGCTTCTCAGAGCGCTTAACAATGGCGGAGCCTGACTCCAAGGACTCCACTTTCTTAACCCTTTTCTTGCTTTCTGGCTCTCTTCATGTATCATTGCATGCTATGACAGGAGAGGTCTTCTCTGAGAGTGCTCTGGCCATTGTGATCTAAAACCAGCTGCTGGATTGCACCTGGTGCACAGGTAGCTCGTGGTCTGATTTTATACCCTGGCAAAACACCCACGCTCTGCTCCAAATCTCTCTCCAATTTCCTAGCCAGGAAAGCACACTGGCTTGCTGTGCAGGTATGATTCCAGGTCACAGGCTGTTTGTTGAGCAGCATGTAGGAATGCTGCAAAACAGTACTGCTGGGAGCTCTCCTTTACTTTTACAATAAGTGTGAACTAAGTGAATTGTATCCTAATGTATATTTGTAGCACATTTGTAACCTTCTCCTTTTGATTTGCAGTGCGTGGCCCCATTGCAAAATTCAGACCCTGCCATTGTCAATCTAGCAGGGGACACGAGTAACAACGTTCAAGTGCACGACCAGCATTTAAAATAGTTTTCTTTTAAAGCAGCAAGGAATTTTTTTTACACAAACGTAGGCTGTAACTTACAAATGTAATCTTAAATGCTAAATTACAGGCTAAAGAGATGCACATGTCTTCCCTTTCGTCCACCTCAGCAGTGCAAGATCTAACATTTACCAAACAGTGACAATAGTTGGCAGGCAAATGCAGACATGGTTAATTGAGAGCATAGGTAAACAGGAAGAAGCCATTCAGTCCATCGATCCTGTTTCACTCATGTATTAAATCTTGGCGCGTCTTTTAATTCCAATCCTCTGCCCTTGTGCCATATCCCCTATTATCGCTAATTAAATCTGTCTGTCTCACTTAGAAACATCCCTATTGATTCCACCCCTATAATTTTGGATCACAGCATTCCACATCTTCATAACCTTGTGACAGAGATGGAAATATTTTTTCTTCTTTTGCATATGTATCCAGAGCCAAACCCAAACCTCAACAATGTCCACATTAAAACAACATCCAGCAGGGAGAACAGTACAGCACAGAAACGGGCCATTTGGCCCAGTCAGTCTGTGCTGGTGTTTTTCTCCACCTGAACCACTTTTCTCCACTTTATCCAACTCTCCTTCTCACTCTCCATAATCTTTAATTCTCCTCTTTTTCAAGCATCTAATTACTTTTTAAAATCTGGAAAGGACTCACCTCCAACAACGAGCTGAAGAAGAGAACTCCACATTCCAAATGTTATTCACAATTTCCATTCTCTACCCTTTTATGTTCGGCACACACACACACACAGAATTGGACTCTCTCTGCATAGGTCTTTCACTAAGGCTGGGTTGGCCATTATGCTTTGTTTGTTCAGTTAGCACAAATATGATACATCTGTCTGAATTTGTGGATGAAAACACAATGCCAAACCATGTACAGTTTTGTCCCATTAACCCACTCACTCACCCTGTTATAAGGTGATAATTGCACTGTGGGAGATGAAGCTGCAACAGGGGATACTGAGAAATAGATTTCCTGTTATCCCCGAACACTATCAATGTGCACTGTACTCTGAGGTGTCTGGACCCTAAACGTGAAAACCTCACATCCAAACGCACACTGAAAAGAGCGCTCGATGTTACCTTGTTACCATTTCCTTCTCCTTGTTCGAGGCGTGGCCCCCACTACTGAGAGGTCTACTTGCAGTGGACAAGAAGTAAAGGCGATGATTCTTAAAGTATTGATCGGTTAGAGGAAGAACAACCTGTGGAAATGAAATGAAATTCAAGCTGGTGCATTTCTGGAAATAAATGTACATCCACTGTGGCTAAAGCAGCAATATTCCAAAATTACAACACACTGAAGGAGTATGGGGAGGAACAGGATTATATAATATCGAGAATGCAAATTTTCCATGAGAAGGAAGCATCTTACAGCTTCAGGATGTTCTGCTGCCATCAGTGTTGGTGTAAACCCAAGAGAAGATAATGGTTTTCAAACATACATGGTGTATTATTATAAAGGGACACATCTTTATAATTATAGCCATCCTGATTTATATTTTCCTTTCAGTCCAAATTTACCCCCAAATTCAAATGAATTGGCTGCTCATCTTTTTTCTGCTTATAGGGTACTGCTGGCACACATCAACTGCCAAAAACAACATTCCCTTTCATTTCAAATCAGTAAAATACTTCAAGACGATTAATTTAATGTGAAAGGCAGCATTAATTTAAACTATTATGTTATATTAGTAATTTGTTAACAATAATAACATTACAAATAATCATTATCAAAAACAGCAGCTGGAAGGCAGGCAGCCTATTCTCAACGACAGGGAAGACATGAGTGTCAGTTTCACTCCCGTTAACGCCACACACAAGTGAATCTGATCTGACAGAATCAAACTACGTCATGTGCCGTTAGCATGTAAACAGCAGCAAAATAGTTTAAACATTTTATTCATGAAGACAGCTCCAAGGTGTGCTCGTGTTTATTAAAAAACATGTGAACACAATGATGCACATCGCCACGTTGTCCTGAAAAAGATACACAATTGGACCACCCTCCACACAATGATCAAGGCAAGGCTACTCCTGCCCTCAAACGATAATATCCTCTTCGCCTTCACTCCTGAAAATGTCAATTCTTTTCTGGACTACAGAGCTCCAGGCTCCCCATGTTAGTTCACCCAAGTGGCTGTTCTTCACTTGGATTGAGCAGGTGATTTGATCAAGAGAATGGGAAGTATTAGCAACATAGAAAAACAGGAACAGGAGGGAGTCATTCAATCCATTTTGCCTGTGTCACCAGTTTATAAAAGATCTGCCAAGATTTAAATCTCAATACCCCGCTCTTTTGCCTTACCCTTTAATACCACTATAATCCACATATGTGTCTTCTCTCTTTTAAACATCCCTATTGATTCTGTCTCTCGAGCTTTCTGATCCCATCCTTACTTAATGCCCACTGGATTCCCTGGATCCCGTATGGTAATGATGTCCCGAAATCCCAGGATTACAACCCCTAGTTCCAGTATTAGCAATGAAGGACTTATCTGTGCTCAGCGGATAATGGAATTTTCGAGCTAAACTCCTGATATGCAGTTAGAACCATATTTCCTGTATTTGCGTTCCCACTAGCACTGGGAAGTTCAATGGGAAGGACTGGGGAGGGAGGCTGGCCCTAGCCAGCTGGGTACAAGTAAGTCCTTCATTAAGAACATTAGTACTAATTTATGAACAAGAAGAAATGTGTTGCTTTTCCTTATCTTATTCTTGGGCAAATAAGAATGGGCTAAGAAATGATTCCAAATAGTATCCCCATAGTTCTAAAACTTTCTACCTTGGCAAAGAACTTGACTTCCTGTTCATGAGGGAACCTTTCTCCTTTACCTCTGGAACAAACATCTGGAAACAGGGACAAAAAGAGGACAGATTTACAAATAATTCAATGCCTCTCAAAGTCTAACCACTGAAGTTGCTACAATCTATAAAATATGCAATTTTTTAAAAATGCAGGATTTAAAAAGCAACATTTGGAAATTTGGAAGAAATCAGCTAAGATATTGATGATGCCAAACTTGTGGGAACAGGGTTAACTTGAGTCGGGAGTGATATCCCTGATGCAGTTCCAAGTACTGGAATAAGTAACCCCTCACATCCTTGATAAAGGAACACCGCGAATATTGACCGCAATATCATCAAATAAAGGAACATGGTTTACACTATTCTTCAATTAATGGATAATGTTCTCAACAGTGCAAATGGAACTCAGAATTCTATATTAAACATAATTTGATAATCTGGAAACAAGAACAGGTTTAAAAAATAAAACATATTTTTAAGTAGACTTTTCATACCCCCATTCCTCACCTCAGGTCAACTCAACCCCATACGCTTATTAATAATAATAATCCTTGCATTTGATATAGCCATATCACTTTGTTGAGACGTTCGAAAATGATTCAAAGCATATACTGTCATGTGAATTGACTGTGTATTTTGTGGGTGAACTGCAGTAGCCAGTTTCGCACAACAGTGTCTCACAAACAGCCATGGAATGATCAATTACAGATGTGCAGGTGACCTGCACTGAGACCACCAACAGCCACTCCATGATAAACAGCTTGTGCTGGCTTGTGATCAAGGGTGAACTGTAGTCCGATCTTGCCTTTCTTCATGAGGGGAACAAATTTCCTCCACACATTACTTTTGCCCAACAGAGTGGCTGAGAGTGGAGGCTTCCTGTGTGAGAACAGTGGGTGTGATCCTACATAAGGTGGCAAAAACACTTTGGGAATCCCAGCACCGTCCCTCCAAAAGCAATATTCTGCTTTGCATGTTCACGAATTGTTTTTTTTACCATCTTTGTTTTCGCCCACAAAATACACCGTATATTCTATGAAGCACTTTGAGATGTGTCTCAACACTTTGAGACATCTCAAAGACATGATAAGACGGTGTATCAAATGCAAGGATTATTATTTTTATTTTGACTCATGTTGAGTAAATAGTTGTTATTGCAAGGACCTGCCATCGCTGGCATTCAAGCCACTGTAATGACCCTGGAAGAAGGCCATTTGACCCATCGTATCTGTGCTGGCTCTTTTAAGAGCAATCCCTTCAGCATCAATACCACCTGGGATTGACTGCCATTGTGTGGATGAAGGAAAGCTCTACAGTCTGCTGTTGTCTCGCAGTCTATTCAAAATCAGAGCTCAACAAGCAGTGTAGCCTATTTTACATTAAATTAATCATTCTATTTCATAATCGGGTGGCTGTTTTGAAAACTGGTTAAAAAAAATGGGGTGGGGGTGTTTGGGGGCGGTGAAGAGAGAAGAAATATGCCATGTAACATTAAAATCATTGAACACTGACCAGGGTGGGGGATGAGAGAGAAGAGGAAGCAGTTAATATAATCCATTTTTCTGCATAACAAAAAAAATTGTTACATATTATGTTGCATTCTGCTGGTTTATTAAGAATATATATTGGAGCTGAACAGTCAGTCTGATGAACTTTGCATTCCAAGTGCTTTAGGTTCAAAGTGATGTTAATGTGCAAGGACTTTACCAAACTGCAGAATGTATTCATGAGCCTGATCCACGTATTTGATGAGCTGCTGAAGGAAGCTGTAGGCAAATCTCTTTTCAATTGAAGGTGTATCCAACTCCATGTCCTTTAATCCCCTGGGGACAAAACAAATGGCTAACATCAGAATTGTTCTCCTTTATTCCAATGGTACTTGTAATTTTCTTTTCTTGCTATTTCCTCTTCTGCCTTATAGATACCGTTCTATGGGCTCCGTGAGTACCTTACCCAAATGCAAATTTTTCATGCCTGGTTCCAGACATCAAGTGTCAGCAGGCTGTTTAACAGCAGAGAGTATCAAAGCCAAGACAATTTAACTATAGCTGGTGTTCTATGAAGTGACACTTCAGGAATCTTCAGATTGGCCTCTGATCTGATCAAGATGCCAAAGTCAGGGGGGAAGGAAATTCATGCCCAAATTCAGTCCTTAATAACAGATTGGAAACTGTAATTTTGTTTTGCAATGTGACAATATCATTTGAAATGTGGTACCTGGATTGGGTAAATGTGCCTTGCAACAGAGAATATTACCTTGAGACTGCGTAGCCATTGATCTGAAGAAACTTGAGAATTTCCTGTGCTTTCTCCCTGTCTCGGGATTTCTCCTTGGCTGTGAGTGTATCGTATGGCACCAACAGAGGATGGTTTCCTCCTCCTTTGAGGAACAACAGTAAGCAGAAACAGCAGCAAGAATCAGTTCCCTCCCATCACAATCCTTATTTCTCCTCTAGATGAACCCTCAAAGGAGGGTATGTGCCAGTGACTGCGCAGCTAATCTCATCCAGGGCATTGAGAAGGAGAGAGGAAGGGTGGGGTGTGGGGTAGTAGGAAGGCACTTGTTAGGTAGATCAATGATTCCCAATAGGAGGGAGGGAACATCAGCAAGTAAGTTAGGTTGCCCTGCTCTCACATATCTTTCTTTGATCTTGCAATGGGAAAACAATAGGTTGGGTATTCTGGAAGGATGAAATCAATGGGCTGATGGACCTTCTACATCCATATCTCTCATGTGATCTTGTGTGAAGTCCTAAGTGCAGATTATAGAATGAGGGGTTAGCGATGATCTGATCTTACACCGACCAACTGAAATGGATTATGCTACAGTGGGACTCGAAAGGGGGAATTGAGAAGGATGAATAACAAAATAAAGCTACATAGCAGATGTCACGTGCTCTGATTAGGAGTCCTCTAGGATGCTTGTTGTTAGAGGAGAAACAATTAAAGAGGCTTAAACTGGTCAGACTGCAAACCTTAAAGCAACTAACAACTGCCAAAATAAAAGCTACTTGAGGAATGGCACTTTTACCTTCATCAATAGCAAACGTGCCATTTCCTATACAGAGGAGGTGAACATCGAAGGAAAAAAAATAGAAAATGAACAATGCATCCATCTGTCAGTGTCTTATTGTATTGAAATGTCTCAAAGTGCTTCACACAATTAATTACTTTGAAACCTAATCACAATCATTATGCTGGCAAACACTGCAGTAGCCATTTCCAATAAACAGCAAGAGGAAGAATGACCAAGCAATTAACTGACTCAGTTGGTAGCACTCTCAACACTGAATCAGCAGATTGTGCGCTCAAACCCTATGTCAGCACTTGGAATGACATAGTCTCAGGTGACACTCCAGTGCGGTGCTGGGGTAGTGCAGCACTATTGGTGGTGCCGTCCTTCGGAGAGTCATAAAACTGAGGTCCTGTCTGCTTTTCAGGTGGACAATAAAGATCCCCTGGTGCAATTCAAAAAGAGAAGGTTACTCCCGGTGCCCTTTCCAACAATCCCTCAAATACAATTGGTCATTCACTTCATGGCTGCTTTTGGGACATTGCTGTGCACAAAATTGGCTGATGAGTTTGCCCACTAAACACACAGTCATTCCACTTTAGAATAAATCCTGTGAAGTGCTTCGAGACTCCTCCCAACATGAAAGGCCCTCTACAAAATATAAGGATTATGGGATATGCAATATTCGCCCAAACCATCAGAACAGAGAGAAGGGAACTTGGTTTAACAGCTTATCCAATGGACAGCACCTCTGACAATGCAGTGTTCCCTAAGTACTGTACATGAAGAGTCAGGCTGTACTTGTGAAGTTGGTCTCAAACCCATGATATAGAAGTAAGAGTTTTACCAAATGAGCCAGACATACACACTGAAATTTAAAACCTAGTGCGTGAACAATGACAAATATATTCAACAACAACAAGATTACATTTTTATAGCACCTTTCACGTCGGGAGGACATCCCAAGGCACTGGACAGTGTACAATATTTCAGACCCGAGCTGGGGTCAGGGAGGAAGAAAGTAGGGGAGGGGAAGGGGGGGTGGCCGCTTATTCATTATTAATATTCATTACAGAATTGAAACCAATTCAATTTGTTGCAGCCAAATGCTCGAAAGAGCTATTTTAAACAACAAAATGGCTTTTGTCGTTTAATAATTAAATTGGAACTCAACACAAAATTAAAAATAGCTCTCTCTTTGTAACATGAAGCAGATTAACTGCATCTTGAAATTTCTTTCAAAACTGCATTTTTCTTGAAAGGTAATTATTAAGTCAAGGTGGTTGACCCACTTATTTTCTTACAGATTGCTACTGTGATTTGTCTTCTCCTCTCTATATACAGAGGAGACACAATGGGGAACTGCAGGACACTAAAGGAATTGTAAGTGAGTCATAACAATGCAACATTAGTAGCTCCAGTGGAGATGTACATACAAAAGACTGATCCAATATTTCTAGCAAAATAAATTTACCTCCGTTTGTGTCTGATAATCACACATCTGCAGACAGTGGATAGAAGCGTCATGCAAATATTACAGAGTTAATGTGTGTTGAAATCAGTACACAAAGAGTTACTGGAAATCGACAGCAAAGACAGGGCACAGATTTGATTCTGTTCATTTTGATCAGCAAAAGAGCTGGGGCGAAAAATTCTTCTCATCACTAAAGGTTTTAGCTATACTCTTCTGAAGCTAAAATCGCACAGTTGACTCACATCAATATCACTACACTTAATGACAGGAATTCCTCAGTGAGGCATGAAAGTTATTTCCACTGGAGAAGGGACAATATATATCATAAAGATATCATAACGTTATTTTGTCAATCTGAAAACAGCAAGGCAGTGCAGCACTGGTGCATTGTACCATAGAGTAACTGATCATGGGTACATTCCTATTACCGTACACTCGCTCAGTAATTGAACCTCCGCATGGATAATACAAGGATGTATATAAATTGAATGACCAACATAAAGTGGAACCTAACAATAATATTTTTTACATTGGTGTAGCTTCTTTCACACCGGGAGGATGTCTCAAAGCACTTCACAAGGCGAAACCTTGGGCAAGTTTCCTTACTCCACACGCCTAATAATAATCCCTCCAAAACCAAAAACAATAATAAATTGGTAATTTTCAATCCACGACTGTTTGTGGGACATTGCTGTGCGCAATTGGCTGCCGCGTTCACCCACAAATATACAGTCAATTCACTTTACAGTATATTCTGTGAAGCGCTTTGGGACGTCCTCCCGACGTGAAAAGCGCTATATCAAATGCAAGGATTATTATTATTATTATTATTATATACTGTAATGTGTAGTGACTGTGTTTGTAGGCGAATGTCCAATGTCCAAGATGGACCATTGCACGGCTGCACCATATAAAACCTGGTGGCTCAGCAGAGAAGCACCAGTCTGTCAATGCAAGCAAGCAATGTGCAAAGATAAATCAATGCACATACAGAAATCCTCTCAGAACTGGAGTTCAGACCTCAGCCACCAAAGCACCAGGAGTACATGAAATCCAACTGACTAAAACCCAACTGGAAACAGCAATATACTGGATTACAATGCAACATACTTCATTACCTTTAACTTCCAGCTCAGTTTTCTTCTTCTTGGCCCAGATGTTGTGATAGTTCTCAGCTAGGAGCTCTGCCATGGCCTGCAATCCACCATAAGAACATATGCTCAATTACTTAAAAACAGTTAAAATCCTGTGGGGCATAATTTGTGGAAATGGGGAAAATTACAATCCACAAAGCAACATCCCATTTATAACAGAGTTCAGCATTAAAATCACAAGAGAGGAGAAGGTGATATCCTATTTTGATCCTTATAGTTCTGGCTGCTGCACACCAAACAGGTCACCCAGAAGTAATGCAGATTAGAATAACAATGATGATCCCCAGTTTTACATGGATAAGCTATGAAGAATGACTAAATAAACCAGGACTCTCTAGCCTTGAAGAAATGTTTGAGTAGACCAGCAATATCACTGTCCAAACTCTCACATGAAAAATGCCCCCTTGGGCAGGGCATCATTGCCTGTTGAACCATACCATGGCACAAGGGACTGCTTTATACTTATATAGTGTCTTTCTCATTAAGAGAATGTCTCAAAGTGCCAAGCACTGCTGTGTGGGCACCCAAGCCGGGGCGAACATCTCAAAACCTTTCAGTTTCTATAAAGTGTAGTGATTATGTATTGGTAGGTGAAAACAGCAGTCAATTTATGCACAGCATGTCCCACAAACAGCCATAAAGTGAACCACCAACTTTATTTAGGGGATCATTGATCAAGCCATGGGGAGAAACTTCCCTCTCTTATCGAATAGCGCCATGGGGTTTTAAATGATCACTTGGTCAAACAGGCCTTGGTTTATCATCTCATCTGATCCATGGCACCAACGACAATGTACAGGAGCGGCATCTAAGACAAAGTTCAAAGGTCTGATGTGGAACCGAAACCCATAATTTTCTGGTGAAAGTCCAGGTCTGGTGACTTACTGGAACTGAGCCAGGTTGACAGCAAAATAATAACACAAAGTGCAGTGATAGGTTACTGGGAGCAAGGCGTCTGCTCAGCTGTGGGCTGTGTGTGAGAGAAGCTAGACTGTGGGAAAAGATTCACTCTGGGTTGCTGGTAACAATCAATCTCACAACTACAATCCTTTTGGGAGTATGCAATCACCATCTGATGCAGCAGAAGAGAATGCAGCTCCTTCTTTCGAATAGAAACCATCGTTGAATTACTCTGCGAGGTGATGTTAAGAATGTAGCACCTTCAGCTTGATCTGGCAGTTTGTTGTAACTGGACACACTACGGTCTCAATTCCAAGTGATCAGTCAATAACATTCACTTAGCCGACACTGGGTACAGTGACATTAGGGTTGCACTGAAAAAATGGTTTCAACTTCTAAAGGCTTTTCATGACAACTCAACAATTACTTTCAACCACAGGTCACGCGCTCACTCACATAGAATGCAGGCAGAACACATGTCTTTGATAGCAATAGAGACAACTTACATGCAGGTCTCTGGAAAGTGTGACATTGCTCATGTCGATGGGTCGTGGGCTGTAGCCATGTGCAGAATCAACAGAAACCTGAATGACACATGCAAAGACAGTTTTAATGCCGGTCGGTAACAGAGGCACAATTTCCTTTTGGACCAATTTGAATAAAAATTACACCATATACTGCAGAAAGAGCCAGCAAAGCAGCATTCAGTAAAACAAAACAGGAAGGGAAATCTTACATCCACAAAATAACTTAATTTTGAAAGTATGGTATTTATTATTTTCTCCTCAAGCCTCAGAATATCTATTCTGTGTTACTGTGAGGTGAACCTTTGCCGGATCTCAAACAAAATAACCATAACTGTAGCCTGGCCTACCTATTACTACCTCTCCACATTGGCATAGCTAAGGTCAGAATTTCCCGCATGGGGGAAATCATGAGCGTAAACTTGCATCTTTCTACACTGCGCTGCAAGAAAGTGAAGTGACTGTACCAAACCATCCTTGAAAACATTGCTCCAATATTGTAGATTGGCCATAAATTTGATACACCCTTTGAAAGAAAATTTCCAGTAACCATGGTGTCCATTAACTGGTGAAAATGGCAAGTGACATGGCAGGTTTAACAATGAGTAACTATTGAACACACACATATACACACACACTGGACTGCTTTTGTGCTCAAAATCAGGCATCATCACTTTCTAAATCTCTCGGAAGCCATATTTATGCAAAATTTTCAAATAATAAGTTAGCTAGGATTCAGATTGTTTGGATTGAAAACCAATAAAACTCAGCTCACACCGATTCCAATTGCATGGAGCTCAAAGTGTAACACTTGTTAAATTTAACTTGACTTTTTTCTTGCTTTTATTGCCTCGCATTCTTTTTGATTTAGCCAAATGCAAGAGAATAATATTATCTGGAGACCAATTTAGACCAGTCTGTTTAATTGAACAAATCAATACAATTTGCATGTACATAATGCCTTTCAGTTGGGAAGATGTCTCAAAGCCCTTTATAGAGTTGGCTGGGCACCCAAGTTAGGGTGAGGAGGGATCTGAAGAGGGGAGGGGGAAAGATGACCGAATGCACAGTAAAAGAGGTAAACCTTAAACTGAGCTTTAAAAGAGGGAGGGAGGGAGCAAGTCGGAGTAACATCAGGAAGGAGTTCCAGAGAACAGAGGCAAAACAGCTGAAAACTCATCCAATGATACTGTGTGCCCTTGATTACAATTATACAAGGGAGGCAAGGTACTCTGATGACCAAGCTTAACATGTAAAGCTGTGAGCTTCCTCCCTACACTGCAATACAACCCATTTAAAAGGAGAAACTAATTTAAACATAGAGCTGCAAGAATATATTTTAAAATATCTACACACTGCTATCGGGGTCTATTATAATGCATCATATGTAAAGCACAAATTACAGTGCCTTTAAATAATTAATGACCAATGAAAAGAATTGGCAGTCAATTACATAATTTAAAGGCACTTGTAATGCCTTTAAATTATGTAAAAATGTACATGGTTTACTCATGGCACAAAAGAGGTCCCATTTTATTTCAATTAGAATTCACTTCTTGTCAATCTACATCTAATATTTTATGTGCAAGATACGAGACATCAGAGCTAAAGTCATTAATTTTAGACAACAGGCAAATTAAAGTGATGAGCTTTTGTTTAAAATGACATGGCACAAAAGCAGCTTAAGGTTAGCAGAACAGATGCTTATATCAGATGGAAACAAAATATAATAATAATCATCCTTGCATTTAATATAGCTCTTTTCACGTCTTCTAGACGTCTCAAAGCGCTTCACAGAATATACTGTAAAGTGAATTGACTGTATATTTGTGGGCAAAACGCAGCAGCCAATTGCGCATAGCAGTGTCCTACAAACAGTCGTGGATTGAGTGACCAAATTATTATTCTTTTTTTTGAGGGATTATTATCAGGCATATGGAGTAAGGAAACTTGCCCAAGGGTTTCGCCCTACCGGGAATCAAGCCCAGGTCTCTCGATTGCAATATATCAGCAACTGGGGGAGTAACATTTCAGGAGAAAATGAGACAAGTCACTGGGTAAAGCAAAGTTGCCCAAGGATCTGCTACTCAGGGATTAAGAATTGGGAGTAGATTGTGAAATTTTTTCATTCTATCCACGATCCACACCATAACATTTGGCACATCTTATGGAGTTTATTTAACAATTTGGAGTTTTCCCAATTTTAAGTTTAACTTGCTGGTATTTTGTCCATTGGGTTTGTCAGAAGGGATCAATGCATCTAATAATTAATTCTGCAATAAACACTGGGATTGGAATGGCATGCAGAAAGGATGTACAGAACACAATGAATAAAAGGTAATGCTGTGTATGTAATGGAGAAATAGAGAGCGAAGCTTTGTTACTGGCACTTCATACAGATGTTGTTGAATCAATGTTTGAAGTAGTCTCAATTTCTGCAAGTACAGTTTTTTTACTGTCAAATAGGACAACTGCACAGTGATAGAAATGCTAGGGAAATGCAGTTATATAAATCAATGCACATCAACCATATAACCATGTCCTTGACACACATTGGCGTTACCTTTTACACTGTGTGTGTTATCCTGCAGTTGAAATGTATCAGTTTATTATCCTCTTGAGCTTCTAGCATTTACAACAGGAAATATGTTCTAGATACATTTCCAAAAATCCTGTGTCAAGCATTTTCAGAGGTAGTATGGGAAAGCTTCTGAACAAGTGGTGACTAATCAACAGGATCTGTATACTACTGTTCCTCACACGTACCCATCTTCTATACTTGAACTAATGCCGAGTGATGTGAAAGCAAATAAAAAATGTCAAATGTTAGAAAAGCGCAGAACAAACTGTCCAACAGGCAACCGCGATCACTGAGAAATACAGAACCATAGAATTGTACAACACAGAAGGAGGCCATTCGGCACATCGTGTGTGCCGGCTCTTTGAAAAGAGCTATCCAATTCAATCCCATGCCCCCGCTCTCTCCCCATAGCCCTGCAAACTTGTCCTCCGAAAATAATTATCTACTTCTCTCTTAAAAGCTATTATCGAATCGGCTTCCACCACCCTTTCAGGCGATGCATTCCAGATCCGAACAACTTGCTGTGTAAACTCTCCTCACCTCTGTTTCTTTTAACAACTATTCTAAATCGGTGTCCTCTGGTTACCGACCCACCCATCAGTGGAAATAGTTTCTCCTTGTTCTCCTATCGAATACCCTCATAATTTTGAAACTTCTATTAAGTCTCCTCTTAACCTTTTGTGCTCCCAGGAGAATAATTCCAGCTTCTCTCGCCTCTCCTCATAACTGAAGTCCCTCATTCCTGGTACCATCCCGGTAAGTCTCCTTTGCATCCTCTCCAATGCCTCGACATCCTTCCTAAGGTGTGGTGCCCAGAACTGAACACAGTCTCTAACTGAGGCCTAAACAGTGTCTTATAAAGGTTCATCATAACTTCCCGACTTTTGTATTCTATGCCCCTATTTATAAAGCCTAGTATCCCATATGCTTTTTTAACAGCTTTATCTACCTGTCCTGCCACCTCCAAAGATTTACTTATATGAACCCCCAGGTCTCTCTGTTCCTTCACCCTGTTTAAGATTGTACCATCAGCTTATATTGGGTCTCCTCATTCTTCCTCCCAAAATGCATCACTTTGCATTTCTCCACATTAAACTTCTGCCATGTGTCTGCCCATTTACCAGTCTGTCTATGTCCATTTGCAATCTGCTACTATCCTCCTCACTGTTTACTGCTTTTCCTAGCCTAGTATCATCTGCAAATTTGGAAATTGTACTCCCTATACCCAAGTCCAGGTCATTTATATAAATCAAAAACAGCAGTGGTCGCAATACTGATCCTTTGGGGGACACCACTGCACACTTCCCTCCAGTCAGAAAAACAACCGTTCACCACCACTCTCTGCTTTCTGTCTTCCGAACAGTTCTCTATCCATGCTGCCACTGTCCCTTTAATACCGTGGGCTTCTATTTTCCTTACAAGTCTCTTATGGTGCACTTTATCAAACGCCTTTTGAAAATCCATATAAACAAGCTGTCAGGCCTCCTCACGCTGCTGGGCTCTCTGCTCAGGTCTTCAAAAAAAAATTCTAAATGGATCAGACAGCATAACAACAAAGTGCAAATAGAGATAACTGGCACAACCCAATCTGCTGGTTGCTGGGAGCAATGGAATACTTGGAAAAGTTATATTAAAGTAATAGAGAGTAATGAATCCCCATTGCCTGATGCATGCTGTAGAAACTTCAATCCAGCAAGTTATGGTGGTCAAATCTACCTTTTAACTGTATCAAACTAGCTGTAACATCATCAGTGTTAGTGAAAAATAGAGAGCAAAGCTTTGTTACTAGCACTTCATACAGATGTTGTCAATGCTTGAACGGTCGTGGAACAACTATAAGAGGTTTGTCCCAATAAACTGCAGATGTTCCACCACACCAGTCAGAACCTGACAAGGCGCAGACAGCTCAGTCAGATCACTTCATTGTCAGAGAGAACCACCACACGAGTGTGATACCCTGAAGCCTGAAATCAAGACTTATCACTAACAGACCAGCAACAACAACAAAACTTGCACTTATATCGTGCCCTTCATGCAGGGTATAGTCTCGGAGCACTGAATGGAAAGGGGGAGAGAGAGAGAGAGAAAAGAATAACAGACACAGCCTAGAAAGAGAGCAGTGCTGACATGCCCGCTGGATAATAACAGAATTAAAGGAGAGGTTAGATACAAATGCCTTTACACAGAAAGTGGCTGCAATTCTCTGCCACTAACCACAGTTGAAGCGAAGTCCATAAATTATCATAAAAGGGAAATAGAAGAGGAAGAAGATTAAAGGGTTAGCGAGCCAGCAGGAGAGTAGGATAAGATTAGGTGACTCATGTGGAGATAAACACAAGTGCAGGCCTGACAGCTTGTTTCTGTACTGTAATATTCTATGAAACAAAATGACCTATTGGGTCAAGGAAGAGGGGAATAAATAGCTCAGTGCCACCATTAAACAACAACATCATTATCTTGCATTTATACAGTCCTTCACGCAAGATAGTGTCTTGGAACACCTCACATTGGCAGGGTTGCTGAGCAAGGAAGAAGGAGGAAAGGAAGATGACTATAGGCACAGATGAAGCGGTAGATGTTCAGATGGATTTAGAGACATATAAAGAAGGGGCAAAACAAATGGGCAAGGAGTCCCAGAGATTAGGGACAAAGTGGCTGAAGTCACTCGTGTAGCAGGTCAGTGTCAGCTGAGCGAAGGGGGCGAGTTTCGTGCAGCTTCCTGCTGTTCTGGAACAAAGAAGCAAGATTACCAACCAGTGGCAAATACAACCAAAGTCTTCATTTAGACTTTACCTGGCTTGACTGAGATATTCTACGTGTCCTGTTATGTAGAGCCATGGTTTCTCCATCTCGTGTCCTCTCGATTGTCCAGCCCCAAGCCACCATTGTTTTCAGGGATTCCTTTATCGGCCAACGATACACTTCCTTGTCCTGTGATTTACAATACATATTATATATATTATACACACTGTATATTCCTTCAATGGTATTCCAGTGAAAATGGTACAAGTTATAAATAAATAAATCTTTGAATATTAGACAAAGAACTTATCCTATTACTAATTTTAAAACCATGCAAATAAAATTTCACCCAATTACAATGTTCTGCAGGTTTTTTTTAATATATCGATGACTTATTTGAAAGCAGAGCGAGGGATGAAGGCAGTTTTACAAATGAGCTCCAGAGATGGGAGCAAAGTGGCAGAAATCTATCTTCTGAAGAAGGAGCAGAAGGAATGGGCCCCTAGATGCAAACTGATGTTACCAAAGTGTGGACTGGTATCCGGAGAGAAGATAGGTTAGACTGAGTGGAAATCTACCAGTTTTCCATTAACATTACAAATTCACCTGATAGTCAGATGACACTTAGCAAAACAATATGCATACACAGAGCTCTGCTTTGCCATAGCTGACAGTGACTAAGGTTTAAGGGGCTCAGTTTCTCCCCCCCATCGCCCACCCAAAAAAAAACATTTTTAGGTGTTTATTTTTAAAACTGGAAAAGGCAAAAGATGTCAAAACTAAAAAGGGAAGAGACCTAAAATAAAAGGATGAAGTAGAATAGTTTAAAAGAGATCACTGTATGAGAATGCCAGAACCTGCAATAAGTGATTAAAGTATTAATTGAAAGCTAGCAGCTAACCCTGAGATCTCCGAGATTAATCCTGATATGAACTGCAGAAGGCCTTTCTTTTGAGTTGACGTCTGCGCCATGCTTCAAATTAATCCAGGTGAACTCAAAATTCTGATATAAATTTATGTACGCGTGAGTGGGAGGGAGAAAGAAGTCAGGACTTTTCTCCAATTTGGATTAGATTCAGATCAGCCCTGGATCTAAACTTCCCAGGATTCACATTGTGGGATCTAAAATACGGGAAGCGTAACATTGATTTGCAAAGGATTTGTATTATTTGATTTCTACCAGTAACCAGATGAGCATCACCCCATCTCAGAGGAACTGCACTGCAATGCAGTCACCCTCTAGGGATATTGAGTGGTGTTTACAGAAAGCATACCTGGTTACTAGCATGATTCAATATTTACAAATCCTTTGTGAATCCAGGATATGACTGACTCATGCATTTAGGTCACCTTTCATACACAAGAGTGACCATCTGTTACTTTGTCTGACACGTATACACCTGCATTGCAACAGATCTACAGTAAGTCTTCATAGGTCTGCATTTTCCTTAAGAACTATCACAAGATACGGGAATGAAAAATAGCCGTTCTTCCCCATTCAACCCATTCCTTCCACAAATGGTGTGCAATGCATTCCATTGAATGCATCTTGGATTCTATCCAATCTCTTTAATTTGAACATTTCTCATCAATCCACTTTCTTTCCCATGTAACCTGAACATAACAAAATATCCGCATCAGAGCCCTCACTCACTTGGCCTGCCCTCACTTCTGCAACATCACCCGACGCATTTACATCTTCAACACGTTCAAGCTTAATCTGAAATCCTGCTTTTTGGACTCCCCAGCTCCTCTCCACATCAGGAACAGACAGACAGAACTCTGCAGCCTGTGTCTTCTGCACAAATTCCACCAGACTATCACACTCTCCTCACACCCACCAAACCCCCCACCACCCCTTGCTCAATTGGCTCCACTAGCTCCCACGCCCCAGAGCTTTCAGTCCTTCTACGCCTTCTCTCTGGAACTCCAGCCCAGAGTTCCTCCACCTCACCGCCGACCTGCCCACCTTTAATGTACCTTTCTTTTTAACTTCTCTTTTCGCCCACCCCACTCAGATCACCCCAACCTCGACTCCCAGTCAGCTGTGTGAAGTTGCTATGAGATGCACCTCCTGACTTGAAAAAGTGCGACATATGAACTGTTGCTGAATCTATCCTTAGAACCGAATTTGCCAGATTTCTTAATAAAAACTGTAATGAGCAAAACATCTAAATTTCCATCTATTGACTTTCAATATTTGAATGCATTTACTGCATTCTTCAGAACATTCAATGTTTTGCAAATTGGATACTTACATATTTCGTATTAAGAAATAATATACAGGGCGAAACCTTGGGAAAGTTTCCTTATGCTACAAACCTGATAATAATCCCTCAAGAAATAAAATGAATAATAATTTGGTCACTCAATCCACAACTGTTTGTGGGACACTGCTGAGCGTAATTGGCAGCCGCGTTTTGCCCACAAATATACAGTCAATTCACTTTACAATATATTCTGTGAAGTGCTTTGAGATGTCTAGAAGACGTGAAAAGCGCTATATCAAATGAAAGGATTATTATTATTTTTTGATATAGCACCGTATCACATCCTTGAGACGTCTCAAATCCAAAACTAATTTCCATCCCACTCATTTTCCACCCTCTGAAACATTGTTAATCACAGAGTTAACAAATATAAATAATTATTACCAGGTTATTGTGTTTTCCATACACAAGGCAACCAACTATTTCTATTTGTAACTCAACCATATGTACATGTGTCCAGTTGCCCTTTTGCTCTTTTTTTCTTCTCTGAAGCATTGTTAATCACGAATCACAACACTCCACAAATATCCTCCGTTGGGTCATCTTAAACAATTACTTTTCCTATAAATAATAATAATCTTTGCATTTGATACAAAGCTCTTCCTGAGTTTAAAACACAAATTATACTCATATCTTTGGAAGCAATGCTCAGTCCAAGTTAAACTAATCTCACTGCAGAGAGAGAAAAACACAATTCCAAGCCCTGGAAGTCTGAGATAAAAGCACAAAAAAAAATTGTTAGTACACAGCAGTCTGAACAGAAAAGACAAATCAATAGAAATATAGAAAATACAGGAGAAGACAATTCTATATGTCTCACTCTCTCTCATAGCCCTCAATGATTTGTTTATTAAATAGAAAGTCAATGTCCCTGGCCACAATGTAAGGTGCTTATAGGCATGAAGTGCTTTAAACTGAACATTGACATTTCATAATCTCTTAAGAAATATGCAAAACAGAAAATATTTATATTGCCAAGTCATTGTGTTTTCCATGCACAAGGCAATCAACTATTTCTATTTGTAACTTAACCACACGTACCTGTGTCCAGCTGCCCTTTTGCATAGTTGGCTACATTCACCTCTCTTATGCCTCCTCTTTTACAATAAAATGCATAGTCAACCCCAGAATCTCTCTCCACTACCCCCACAACCATAATTTGAACAAGTCAACTGCCAATCTGCACTGATACCTGCGCAGAGGATTTACTGACTCAGAACAATATTCTACTTTTTTATATAAAACAACAAGTTACATTTGTATAAACTCTTTCACGTCGGGAGGATGTCCCAAAGCGCTGGACAGTCAAGGATGTGCACCCGAACTGGGGTTTAGGATCAGGAGAGAAGAATGGCAGGGAGGGTAGGAGTAGGAGGGCGCAGTCGAAGAAGACGCTCTTGAGATGGACCTTATAGGAGGCAAGGGGGGAGGGGGGCAAGGTGAAGGGACTGTGGGAGTTCCAAAGGCCCGGCGCAGAACGTCTGAAGGCAGGGCTGAGGACTTGAAGCAGACCAGAGTCCGCTGAGCAGAGGGAGAGGACTGGATGGTCTGGGGTTAGCAGGTCACAGAGGTAGGGAGAAGCAAGGCCATGGAGGGCTTTGAAAACAGCAACGGAGAAACAGGTTTTTTTATGCGCTATTATAAGACTGTAAAACTGTGAAGTGTCTGAGGAGTTACAGAAATATCTGCCCTTGTGATGTCTAGGAGGATCACACTCCTGTCATTGGTATTTTAAGGGAGAATTAGTGGTAATGAAACAGTTAGCAGATCCTTACTTGATGGCTCACTGTTGTATAGATCAGCAGGTGGTTGCTTAAGAGCTACTCTCACTGCCTGGGAGCTGTCCTGCAATCACTTTTCAAATAGCTGGTGCACAAATACGATAAACCCGACCATTTCAATCTGATCACACCAATTCTCACACTCTTTTGAGAACATATTGCATCTGTCTAGTGTAAAGGCTGCTGGAAACAATGGGGAAATCTGATGGCATTCTCCAGGGAAAGTCTAGCAGTCTGCTCCTCCTCAAGTGTACCCTTCAATAAGATTTTGCACAATTCCTGGGTATCCATTATACTCTGCCTACTCGCTATTGTGTAAAGGTAAAACAATAATTGCTTCCCACCTACCTTTTCAGACAGAAGTTTGAACGGTTTTAACAAAGAATGAACCTTGGCAGCCTCACCACATGTTTCACCATAGACCCATCCATTAGCAAACTGGAAAAAGAATGCAACCCAACACAATGTTAATCTGACGTAATTGGGATATGGGCATCAGCCAAGGTCGATCATTTCTGTTTATGCAATGCATTAAAGATATCTACTGGATTATTGAAAATGGCACACTGGTATAATGTGCTTTAATTTTGCTGGCCATTAGAAAGGTAAGAGAAAGGTTAAGGGACAAAATTTTAATAATAATAATCCTTGCATTTGATATAGCGCCTTATCACATCTTTGAGACGTCTCAAAGCGCTTCACAGAATATACTGTGAAGTGAATTTACCGTGTATTTTGCAAGCAAAACGCAGCAACTAACTGCGCACAACAGTGTCCCACAACCTGTCGTGGATTGAAATTGTCCAGGTGGCAAGTTCTCAATTGTGGGATTGATGTCGGTGGTAGGGTGGGGTGAGGGCATGGGGGGGCGGGTACTAGGTGCCTTCTGCAAGAAGGTACGGAGATGTGGACGACAGTTTCACTTGGAGACCTTGTGTGTCTCATTCTGGTTTACTCAGCAATCCAAAACTGGATGCAGCTTACTGACAGTAAGCTGCATCCTTACCATCTCAGACAGGGGGAGGGAAGACCAAGAGATGTAAAGAAAACAAAAGCAAGGCAGATAAGACAACAGAAAAAAAGAATCATTTTCACAAAGAGAAATATACCAAAATTAACATCATGATAATTGAGGGAATATGTTAATAAATCTTATTTGTAGGCTTCACTATATTTTTTAAAACGATGTAGCACTATTGGGAGTATATTAGTATATTAGCACTACAGTATATTAGCACTGTAGTATATTAGCACTACATCACGGCAATGTTGGCTCCTTGGGTCAGTCCTCATGCCAGTGAATTCCTGATCTCAGTTATGTTACTGTAAGGAGGTGCTGAGCACAAATGAAGCATCTCTCCACAGCTCCTCAAATTATTCTAATGTCACTTGCTGTCTGAATCATAGTAGCATTGTTCGAGGCCTGGAAACAGATTGCCCTTTCAGTCTCAATTGGTGAGATCCCCCAAGGAGCTGAGAAGAATTGGAAAGAAAATCAGGGGAATTCACATCTGCTTTAAAACCCAAACATCTTACCTTTTCCATTGTCCATTTGTCATGACTGTGTTCTGCATATTTGTTGATAAAATAATCTAACTTTTCTGGAAGAGTCGTACTGGAAGGGGAAGGGAGGAAGAAAATGTACATTTAACAACTGTAATACAGCAATTTGTTATAGAAATGAGCTGGAATTTCCACTTGCTGATGACAAAGACCAGACAGTATGAGTGTTGACAATATATTTTCTTCATCATTTCTGATGACTTTGTGGTAAACTGAATTTCAGGTTTCAAACCAACTCTTTTGAGTAACACTAAAATGTATCACCAAATCTTCACATGAGGTATTAATTGTAAGATTCACAACTCCAGACCTTATAGGTACTCTTAGCAATTCAGATTTGGAAGAAATAACAAAAGAGGTGTTCTTTCCCCAGCCTATAGAAATTACTTATTCTAAAAAGGGAAACAGAGGATAAGATCAAATTGGATCCAGGCAAATGCATCACTGGCACATCAAGAGCTACATGAGTATTACAGGTTGTACACTGGACCTTGAGGAGGTCTCTTTCATCATTTTGGTGTTAAATACGATGGAGGCTCCCACTGTCTATTGTTATTCTACTCCACAATCTTGTTAGTTCTGCTTGATTCTTATCCTATTCTTCATTTAAAGGCTATCTATGAGCTTACCCCTTGGCCTATTTCTTGTCATCAATAGTCTAAGTGTTGATGGTGAAGAACATCCTAAACAAAGCTGATAGCACTTGTTTTTTTAATACAGGTAATAAAGATGTGATACAATGAATTATAAACAGAAACATCCACACTGCTGTCTTTGCAAAGTGTTCAGAAAGTCTCAAGTTATACCTTGAGGTGTCTACAGGTTGTGGATTGAAATTTCCCTCCGTATCCACTGAGGACTGCTTCTCCATCATTGCCACATAGTTGGATTCCATGTAGTCTGGGGGTAAGGCCCCTGCAACTGCACTCAGACAGGGTAGAGCTAACTTAAACAATTCTTGTTCATACTTCTGCAGAAACAACAACAAATTACATTTGTATAGAGCCTTTCACATAGGAGGACATCCCTAGTTAGGCGCTGGACAGTTAGGGAAATACAGCAAATTGCAGTGGAACAACAAGATATCCATTTCATTTCATCAACCAAAACAAATACAACTCATTTCACAATAATTAAAAAAAATTCCCAGGAATCATGAATATGAATATGCAACTGGACCTAAGCATCAAAATTTTTGTTGAGAATGGGGTGTGCGGGGTGATATTTCTGAACGAGAATCCTCAATATGAAATCCAGGTCACACTAATAGGAACTCCTTCCCATAACTAGAAGTACATCATACCAACCAGTGATTTTGCCCACTAACGTTGAACATACTACAATATTGCTAGAAAAAAGCCAAATACAAATGCAATCTTTTGCATTGCACAAGAATATCAGAAAGTTACAGGCAGTGGTGTGTTGCCATTAAAATTGGGAAAATCAAACACTGGCCAAAGTTTGGTTACAAGACTTAAATGTGCTTACATAGCAAACCTCAATCTAAAAAGAAAAATCCTCTTAGGAAAAAATAATATTTACTGTGATAGTGTTCCCTCTCAAACAAGTGAAGTTTGTGCCCTTTCCATAACACAATATATTCAGTAATAAGTGATAGCAATGTGTAGGGATGCTTAATGGTGAGATGATGAATACATCACTGAGAAGGGCAAATAACAGCTCAGCACAGGGAGAAGATTCATGTACAACAGTTTACATCAGGTATTCTATTATATCACAGAATAAAACTTACAATGCAGGAATTTCTATTTTATTTTAAGACTGGTTGATCTGCATTTTGATCAGGGACTGCTATAAAGGAGAAAGGTGCTTTTTACTTTGCACGCCTTTATGTGATATGCCTCTCCATTCCCCAGAGAGAAGATTTATCTGCTGTCTGAAGATCTTATTAAGGGTGAATAAAGTTACAAATTACAGGGCAGACACAGGCCAATACCTGTACATCATAATAACTTAATTAAGTTGCTATCTCCCGGACGTTTTGGAACTCTAAATGTTCTACGAATACAAAGGTACATTAGCAGTGCCAGCGTGTGGACCCACCACTCACCATCAGCAATACATTCCCTGCTTTTGCGGCCCAAATTCAGTTTTAAAATCCATCGTCATTTACAATGTCAATGAGCCACAAAAATAGACAAGCCAATTATCCCAGAGATAAACTGTTAGCTTATACTATTCCAGAGCATTGCAAGGGAATCTGTGGGTAATTCATGTACTCTACCCATTCATCATTTGTGGGATTCGAGCATGATTCATTCCACCAATGTCCACTCCCTCTATTCAGTGGTGATCAATGGCTGTTGATCAGGAGAGGGGACATTGGCTGCTTGTCTAAACTCTTCTAACCCAGGGGATGACATGGCAATCACAGTAACTGACATTTATTGGTACAGCGTTTACTGCTGTTAAGAAATGTAACCAAATTAATAAGGAAATAAAGAAGGGCAATCAGTATTAACAAAACAATGCACTCAAGGTTAGGACATGGTAGAAAGGTTTAAGATCGTGGTTCCTACCTTCTGGGACAGGGCATCAAAAATACCCCAGAACAACTTCCTTGACAAGTGAAGTTCTTCTTCTGAGGATGCTCCAAAGTTCCCCCACCCTCCTGGGAGGCAGTAATATTTCCAACACCTCTCATAGTGGTTGGTTAGTAACTGCAAGGTATTGAGTAATATTTAAGCTAAAAATAAATTCTCATATTTTCAACAAACAAAAATTCTCATTTACATATTTCTGTAGGACCTTTCACGTCAGGATGACGGCAATAAAGCACTTTACACAGCTCATGCTGCTGATTTTCAGAAATCACAAGATGTTTGTTTGCAAATCATACTTTGCAGATATCCCCAAACTCAATTTCACAAGCCATGAACGGAAGGGACAATTATCTCTTATAATATAATAATCTGCATTTGATAGAGCACCTTTCGTGTTAGTAATACATCCCAAAGTGCTTTGTGTTATTTATTGTAAAGTGCAATGACTGTATGTTATGTTGACAAATATGTACAGGGCAATGTCTGACAAACTGCCATGAACTGAATGACCAATTTTATCTGAAGGATTGTGGCCAGGCCACTGGGAGAAACTCGGTTCACTTTCAAACATGCTACAGGATCTTTTACATTCACATGAACAGGCAGACAGGACCTTGGTTTAATGTCTATTCAATGCCTCATGTGAGGGATGACACCTCCAGCAATGCAGCACATCACTCACACTGTATTGGAGTGTCAGCCTAGACAACGGTCAAAGTCCTCATGTGCACTTTGAACCCACAATCTTCTAACTCAGAGGTGAAAATCAGATGAGCCAGGCAGACACATACAACTTCCCATCTTGTAACATATATCGTAAATCAGACCTTGCAAATGAACATCCATGCTATATGCTTTACTTGTTATGCAGAAGAGTCAGCCATGGTTAGAGCTGTAACTCAGAAAAGATGTAAGTAACATGTAAGCAGAATATGATCTTACCTTGAGAGGCATTTTTGCATGTTCATTGAGGAGAGGAACATCGAACACTAGTCTCCTCAACAGGTGCTGCATCATGGATGGTCGTAATTGACTGTGCAGAAATGGAGGGTCTCAGAGTGAGTATCATTCATTCTTAAAACCCACAGAAAAACAATTCTTCACTGCTTTTGTGACAAATTAAATATTGCATTTATGCCCCTGATCTTAAGTAGCAATGATGATTTTAAAAATCCCAAAGAGAATAAGTTGAAAACAAAATCGAGACAGAAACAGAGATATTTCCCCCCCACCCCCTAGATTGTGCCTATACTCCTCACTGGAGGGACTTGTACCTGACAGAACAAATTTCACACTAGCTTCTTTATTTAAAGTCAGCTTATCTGACACCCATGGAAACTCATCACCACGCTCAAGAGTATCCAAACCAAACTACCAAGAGTTTGATATGTGCATGGAAATTACTCTCCGTCTTGAATGGAATGCACAATCTCTCTGGAGGGATGTGTCCTGTTTACCTAATCCTGGAAACATTTAATCGCAAAGCCAAAGCTTGGGGATCCCAGAGTGTGCATTGGGTACAGCAGGAAGTGTAATCAGTTTTAAAACAAAGTAGCTGGGGAGTCATGAATGAGATAGCAAACCTCAATCAGCACTTGCTTTTTTAAAGCACCTTTCACGTCGGGAGGACGTCCAAAGGTGCTGAATCAGTCCTTTTGTGATTATTGCAAATTAGACCTCAATGTTGTTACACCACAGGCATACATATCTGGAACTCAGTAATCCCCATTTCACTGGTAACCCTAATCAAAACTTTTGACATACCTACAGATTGCAAGCAAGCATTCTTCAATTGCATCTCTCTGAGCCTTCGTGAGAGAGCATCCCTTCGACAGTCTGTACACAGTGTGCAGCAAAGAATCGATAAGGGAGGCATGGTGTTCCGTGCCAGCAAAGAGTGGGGCACACTTAGTTAACAGCGGCAAAACAGCAGTACATAAATATCGATTCAGTGCCAATGCCATGTCTGTAGCACTCAGGGCAGCCTAAAGACAAAAGAGTGGAAAAAGAATGGTTATGTTTCCAGTGACAACATTAGGTTTCTGTAGTACTCCTGCAGACAGACCTCTGATCTTTCCAAAGTCCTGTCCAGTAATTCATCCTTATTCACTATTCTTTCCCACACTATTATCTGTTCCTTTTCAAATTCTTTTCAATCATTGTCCTGATCCCCGACTGTTCAGCACCTTTCGACGCCCTTCCAATGTGAAAGGTGCTTTACAAATGTAATTTTGCTGTTGTTGTTATAGTCTTGGTGCAAAAATTACACGTTCTGATGTCCATCTGTGGGAAAAAGATATTTTCTGACCTCCCCCTTAATGACAAGCCTGAGTGTGTACCCTCTTGATTCATATATTGGTACAATAGTCTGCTGGGGTCATCAGGAAAGACTGAAAAGCAGTTGGCTCCCCAGGGCAGATGGACATGAGATAGGTTAATGTGTGGAGATTTATGAGGTCAGTACACTGTTGGCAGGGGTCACTTGAAAGGGAAGGAAAGTTTGAGCAAGTAGAGATGGGGATCACAGTAGAAGGTTAAAGAGGCAACTGACCAGGACAAAGTTAAACATGCTAAGAGTTTCTGGAGGGTTTAAGGAAGAGTATTTACTTCGGTAAAATATATTTATCCTTTAGGATTATCAGGGCAGGACAACCGGAAGAGTACAATTCAGAGGTGTCGAGATATGAGGGGAAGGATTCCCAGCTAGATACATTGGAATATTAAAGGTTCTATGGACTTAATGCATTTGGCTTTGATGTCCAAAATGTTGTGACATGGATTCCAAATCCAAATATTAAGAACACAAAGTTCAGTTAAAAATGGTCACAGTTTTTACCCCTGCCTCTCTGAAAACCCTCCAGAATCATTGTTACTAGAAAACTGCACAGTAGATGGAATAATGTTTCCATAATCAGGTCAGCTTTAGCACAATGTGCACTGTAGATTGGGTTTATATGAAGACAACTGGCTTCCTGGGTTGAGTTGAAGCTCTGTAAATGCTTCTTTAACAAACGTTGAACAATTAACCTGACTGAGTGTGTACAGGAGGGATGGAAGCATATAGGAGAGGGGAAATGGGTGGGAATGGGAGCTTGTGTGGAATACAAACACCAGCACAGACTGGATGTGACAAATGGCCTGTTTCCATGCCGTATCACTCTGTGTGAAAAAAGATAAAGGTTTCGAAATGGAAACTGCCACCAATGCCTGAGGCAGCCTGAGCTTTTGATACACAACAGGGACAGTGTAGAACACAACAGCAAGCAGGTAGTGAGAAATGTTGTTATTTCAAAGAACAACCAGGAAAAGCTGGTATTGATTTTCTTTGTTTAGAATTTGGATTGTGGCATCAGCCACATAACTGAAGTATATTTCCAGTATAACCAGCAGTATAACAGTGCAGGTCCCATAGTGTTTATGTAGGATACAATGTCAATGTTTGCATGGTGTGCACAGGATAATGGTGGCCAGTTTACCCTATCAGCCAAAACTGCTTGCAATTTTTAAAAAGGTAATTATGAAGCACACAGGCATTTGGCCATCACTTTTCTGGCAGTTTATGCGACACAAGCTAATTCAGACTGAGCCACATCAGCTGGTGCAAATCGTCCATACAAATAAAAGCATACAATTCAGCTAGGCTTATGTTATGATGAACTCGGAATTATTATGCAGGAGTAAGAACCTATCCAACCTGAACCTTATTACTACAAATTGAAGCCTGCAGTAAAGTACAGCAGGCTACATTTACCCATCCACTGCTAAACATGTTTTTTCACTGTTGCCCATGTACCTTTGGAAGTCTATTAAATGATATCTTCACTACAGCTACGCATCAAGGATGTATAGCAGCAAGACGTTGAAACTACTGCAATTGACACTGACTTTATTTATTTGAATCCACCATCTGGTGTGCCTGCTAGTGCTGCAGTCAAGATGTTTTACTTTCAGGGACGTGGCTGGATTGACAAATCACCCTTACACTTGTAGCGCATTGATTTAAACAGCAGAGACATGACACCAATTAATTCTCAGCAGCCTTTCAATCACCCACCGTGTCCAGTGAGGCTGCAGCACGGAGGTCTGGCAGGAAGCCAACCTCTAGCAGATGTAGAAGAAATTCCTGATCTTCGATTCCGTACACCCTGTCCAGGAACAAAACCATGGCTGCCTTGTGATCAGGGCAGAATCCTGCCGACATGTCCGGCTCTACCACCGTCCCATCTAGAAAGAAAGGAAGAGATGTTATTCATAAAATCATAGCATCTTTCAGCACAGAAGAAGGTCTTTTATGTACTTATTGATTCTCTGTAAGAGTTAGCTATTTAGCCTTTTCCCTCAAACCCTTGTCCAGAGGGTTCAAACACCTCTCCGGGATAAGCATGAGGAAAGTTTCATGGAATGTACTCTCAAAATAAAACTTTTACACGGTATGTAACACTCTACTTTCTGATGTACCCAGGCCATGTATATACACAGCCAGCCCGTGAGAGGTGTATTTGTGTGTCCTGATGAAGTCAGATAGTCTTTGTGATTTTACCTTCCCTGGGAGTTAGCACTCAGCTCTCATTTGGCAGCCCCTCGCAATAATTGAGCAGAGATCCAAACGCAGATAGACTGAGGGGGAAAACAATCAGACAACTCTCACTGCTCTAAATCACTGCAGTCCTCCCCGCAACAAAAATACACAAACCCAATACAACTATCTGCAAAGCACCGAGAGAAATGGAACAAAGGGGAGAAACTTTTATTCATTAATCTGGGATTAATAAAAAAAATCAGTTTTATTCAACATATATAAGGCAACATTATATAATATTTGTGTAGTGTACTATTTAAAAGTACTGTATGCACGAATGTGGTAAATGTCAAATGTCTATGAATTGTGTTTTCATCATATTATCTCCCACAAGTGTTGAATAAGTATTGATGTGTTATGCACTGCAATCAAATGCATCTTATTGTTCTGATAATCTCCCTGTGCTCGTGGAGCAAATTATAATCAGCAGTGCTTTTCTGCAGTGTATCAATGAAAAGCGCATCTAAGAGAACTAATAAATATGTAAGCATCGTTTCACTGCAGCAGTTCATGTAAACAAGTCAGTTAAGATTTCTCACCTGCAATCCAATGATATGTCATTGCTTTAAAATAGAAATATCAAGTTTAATGTTCTACACAACCTGAACCCAAAGATGATCATTTATTTTAGCGCGAGAGGCTTGTTTCTCATGGTGATTTCTTCCTATGGTTGTTATATTGCAGCTAAGTACCTGCTCAATAGAATCCAACCTACATTGTTCAGGTTTAATCAGAATAATTTAACTATTCTGGGTGGGGGGAGAAGAGCAGGTAAGTGAACTCCTTGGGGCTGAGTTGGTTCCAGGGTGGCGTGCTTGGCAGGGAATATTGGAATCTAGTCCATGTTTTCTGGTGGTCTCAAAAGTTCCTGAACTTAGGCGGGTCAGCAGTATTTCAGGTCACTGCTGATGACAGACCAGCCAGCCTGACTCATTAGCAGGACTTGGAAGGGCAGACTGGGGGTAGGGATTCTTTCCACTTGGATCCTGGTAAACCTGCAAGTCAGATAAGGTGGTTCTAGCTGGACAAGAAGTGAGAAGTTTTCAAGACAGGCCTCACGATTGCAGACTTATAGTTTTAGCTGGTTAAACTCCATCAGTTCCCTGACAAATATTCTGGAGACCACATGAGTTGCTTCTTGCCAACCTGCACCTTATACTCTCCGGCATTAGGTAGGCAGGATGCCTTCCTCCAGGGAGAGTGCACATTCCATTTCAGACACAGGGAAATTTCCATGTGTAGGTGGTGTGCACATGTGGAACTCTCGGTCTGGTTTGGATATTCTTAAATGTGATAATGAGTATCAGACAACCCAACAGACCAAAATTAATAAGTAAATAAAAATAATTGTGAAACCTATTGATATTGCTGACTTTGAAAGCTAGAGTTTGAAATAAGTCCTTAAGATAAAATCTGAGCAGACTTTGTTACTCTTTGTTACTCAACATCTTATATTGCTTCTCACAGTGTGTGGGTTGAGAGAAGCAAGTCTGAAAAGCCTGAGGCAATTCTTGCAAAGTCCCTGATCATTCTTTATAGGCTAATATTCACTACTTGCAGCTCATGTGTCCTGTATATTTGTTCTTTTACAGAGAAATGCAAGTGAATTTCACCAGTTGAAACTCAAGACTTGATGGAACTGAAACAGTTTCCTGACTGTTCACGAGATTAGTTTGGATGACCAAAGCCTTTTGGCCCATCTGATCTCATCCCACTAGAATAACCGCCCTACCATTTTCCCATCACAGCATTGAGCTGCTTTTTAAATAAGTCCAGGCCTTTGTTGTTGCGTGTTCACCTGCAAAATTTACAGTCGCTCTATTTTACAGTAAATCAGGTGAAGAGCTAAAGGACGTCCTCCTGATGTGAAAGGCACTCGATCAAATGTAAGCATTATTATTTAGCTTTTCTCAATGGCCTCTCACTCACCATAATAACATGATTTTACCAACACTGATCTGCTATCAAAGTTTTATCTTTAACTCTCAGATTTATTTTTCATCCATTGTAAAATACAGTACAAAGTTGATCAATATGGTAAACTCACCCTTAGCAATGGTTGGCATCTGGAAAGGAATGCTGATAACTCCCTCCAAGTCTTCCAGGGGAATCAGTGAGCGAAGGATGGCTTTAATTCGGATTGCCTCACCTTTACCAGCGTTAATGAGCTATTACCATTGAAAGAAAAATGTAAAAGTCAAATTATTGTGAATAATAATTTTCATTTTCTTAAAGACAGCAAATTCTATTTCACTGTTTTCAGCCACTTCTGCTACCTTGCCCGGTGACCTCTGCTACTTTGCCCAGTGACCATTCCCCAGCCTGAGCAAGATGGATCAGCAAGCTATTCAACCACAAGAAGAATCACAAGCAGACTTCTTTGCATCCTCTCCTAAGCTAAAATCTACACATTTGCATTTTGTGGACAGTAGACAGCAATCAGGTCCACAAATGCAGACTGATTTTTTTCCTTGTTCAAGGTGATTTATATCAGATTTGATGTATTTACCTATTATATAAGAGCTAAATACATCACATAAATTACCACTTTTTTTTAAAACAAGTACTGTTGGGCCTGTAGATCAGTCTACTGTGGATACCTTTAAAACCAGGGCTTAATTGGATAATCAACTCTGAAACACTAATAGTGCTGTATGCCAGAACTATACCTTGTGTTTTTAACCAGAAATTAAACTCGCTAAAAATCCACTGTGGGTCCAACAACGTCCAAAAGAGAAAGCCTGTACATGGTAACTAGCAAGCTCATGTTTAGGAATTCAAATTGAGTACAAACGGTATTTTTCACAGAGGGCTGGTAGAATGTGAGATACTTCACCGCAAATGAATGCTGATGCCAAGCACATCACAACCTTTAAAAGGCATTTGGAATAAATACACAAGAAAAAATATTTAACAAGACGAAAGGTCATCGGGCAGAAAAGCAATTTTAGGGCAGATAGCAGGAGGTGTCTTTACACAGCAGGTAAATGGCTTAGAAGGAAAGGACGTCAAGACCAGGATGTTGGACCAACTTAAGAAACAGTATAATGTGTAATGGGAATGGATAAGAGCTGGAAGTCTGGTGGGACACAATCAATTAGACCAAAGGGTTGTCTTCACTTGAACCTTTCTTGTGATTACTGCTGACACAATTGTATATTTCAGCTGTGAAACACATAAACCTTTTGTGTGTGTTTTTTTTAAAGTGTTCCCCAGTGATATTTGGTAGGAAATTCCAGTCACTTGCAACTTATCACAGGGTCGTAGGTCAAGTTTTTTTCCAAGCTACCAGCTGTTTTGAAGCAGCTGACTATCTTTAGCAAGCCATTTAAATTGGCAGTGCAAGCGACTGAGGAGTGGTCCAGTAATTGGAGGCAACAAGAACAGCAACAAAATTACATTTGTAAAGCGCTTTTAACATCGGGAGGGTGTCCCAAGACGCTGGACAGACAGAGTTTCAGATCCGAGCTGAGGGTCCGGGTGGAGGAGGGTGGAGGGCAGCAGGGGAAGCAGGGAGATCAAAAGCATGGTCGATGAGGAGGGTCTTGATTTGGGTCTTGAAGGTGGGAAGGGAGAGGGCGAGGCGGAGGGATTGCGCAGAGGTAGGAAGAAACAAGACCATGGAGGGCTTTGAAGATGAGGACCAGGATCTTGAACAGAAGCCAGTGGAGTTAGGCAAGGATGGGGTGATAGGGTCGTGGAGCCTAGTGCAATGTTTACACAGTCGCACAATGTGCCTCTCCATTTCATCCTCAGCCTATGAAAAGAGCCCTTAAATAATTATGTACTTTAATAATTTGGTAGAAAAGAAACATGCAGTTATGTATGGCGAGTTGCATGTGAGCTGTAACACTCAGCACTTGGTGTCTCTGATGCATCAAAATGTGATTTTTAACAAATGGGCTAAAAGAATGTTTAAACAGAAATGAAACTTCCAGTAGGAATTAAACCAGTTAATGCAGAATGACTTCTGTTGTGTCTGGGCTTAAGATGAACTGCCTGTACCTTTACTATCAGAGTTTCTTTTTTAAATGTCAAAACCTTTGTAATGTTTTGTCACTCTTTGCCTTCATTCGTCAAGTCTTGACAGTAGACAAATGATATTTTGCTTTCAGTTTTACTCTGGGGAAGGGCTGGACCCTGACAAGATCACGACATCGAACAGAGAAGATGAACTTGTCATTCCACGTCTGAAGAGATGGTAATTGTCAGTCGTCAATAACGTGCTGAGGGGCTGTTGCTGGATACAGGTGCTACAATTCAGGTCAGTTCCTGCATTGCGCACACTGGATACATGATCCACAACACACCTATTACAACAGGAACAATATGTATATGTATTGGCTGCCCCGTTTACTTCCAACAACTTACAACTGAATGCCACAGTTACCACGTTTCTTTCCAGGATAGTATTAACAATTATTTGTATTATTAGCATCCTGCTCCAGTGCTGCAACCTTGTAAGTACAATGGGCGCAGTGGGCCAGCTTCAAGCAGGCTCAACCACTGTGATGGATTTGGACTGGTGGTCACACCAGTGGATCAGTGACTAAATAAATATCGACACATTGACACGCCAGAATTTTCAATGATGTTACAGTAACACAACTTAAAATACCTGCTAGACCATCCAACTTTAAAATGTTAGCAACATTGACCTTTATCATTTCAATCATTTAAATTGAATTGCTACTCACGTGGATCTCTGGAGCACAACGCCCTAATAAGTCAATCAAAGCAGAGTAGAAGGTCATTATGGCATTCCCCATATGAATGGTGTCATCTTCCTCTTCCTCAATATCCCTATTAATCAAATGTATTCAAACAATATTCCTCAATTGTGAATAACTTAATAAGACTGTATGGCTGGTTACACAGCAAATTCAATTCAACACTTAATGTTGTAAACATTAACAAAATGTCGGCTAACACTCCAATGCAGTGCTGGAGTGTGTTGCATTGACAGAGGTGCCGCCTTTCAGATGAGATGTTAAATCGAGGCCACGAATGCCTATTCAGGTGGACATTAAAAGATCCTATGGGACTACTTGAAAAAAGGCAGTTATTCCCGATGTTCTAGACAAGAATCCAATCCCCAATACAAAAAGTGGTAATTCACTTTATGGTTGCTTTTGGGACATTGCCATATATAAATTGCTGCATTTGCCTATAAAATATACAGTCTCTCCACATTGCAGTATATCCTGTGAAGTGCTTTGAGATGTCCTCCCAATGCGAAAGGCCCAATATCAAATGTAAGGGATATTATTTAGCTTCTCCCCAATAGCCTCTGGAATTATTCAAAAGGAGAAACATCTGTACAGTAAAATTAGGAGTGTGAAGAAAGAGCTGGAGAAAGGGGTAAGTAAATTAAGATAGTGACTTCGTAATAGCGAACTCTATGTTGAAAGTGTCTCTGTTTCATCTTTCTATACGTGTGCTGTGAAATGGAACATGCTTCCGCTCTGTGAACTCAGTGTCTGAATCAGGCAGTGCTCGGTCAGGTACAGCACAGCGAGAACAACACTCCCTACCTACATAACCCAGTCAATGAGTCTCAGTGAACCCCAATGGAGAATCTCCTGCTGAACTTTTATGGTACTTTGAATTGTCCACTTAAGCCATCCTGCGGCCCATTTGACTGAATGCCAAATTAAGGGTCCATGTTGTATTATAACTCTTATTATCAATAATAAAATTCTTGCATTTGAGCTGACACCTGTAATGTCAAAATATCTCAAAGCACTTCACAGTTAATTGCTGAAAATTGCTGTAAACCTGTAGACAAATTTGTGAACAGCAATGTCTCACCAACCGCCATGAAGCAAAATGGTCAATTTATCACACAACAAAAGACAGAAAACTTTCATCTGTCAGTTTGGATAGCAATGTCACGCTGCTGGTTTAAGCAATAAACCACAATAACCATGAGGAGCAAATGTCTCAAATGGGCCCCAACAACAACCACCTGCATTTATATATGACAGGATAGTCTCTTGGAGAGCTCAGAGACAACACTCTGCCAAGGAGTTGGACTTACAGGCTTCTAATGAAGTCATCAGTTGGTGAAGGGCCATCCCTCGCTGGATCTTCAGAGATCTTTATTGCTTCCTCCATGGCAGCTAGAAGCCCATCTCCACCTTCTCCTCGCAGGGCTGGTCCAAAGCACTCAGGGCGACGAATCAGCAGCCTCACTACCTCATTGGCATTCTCTTCCACACTCTCACCTGTAGATTCAAGCAACACCATGAATCCAAAACAGAAGCTGAAAATAGCACTTCCCAATCTTTATCCGAAGATCGCAAATTTGACCCCCTTTTGCAACATTGCACATCAGTCTTCCATTGCTGGCTTGAATGTTTCATACAGAAATCACCCTTATATCAATCAGATTGTTCTGGACAACTTACACTAAAAAGTTTTTTTTTTTACAGATTCAACAAAGTCCATGTAGCTTGTTTCCTTTCATCTCAGGGATCGAATTAAACAAGCATTTTTATTTTAACAAGTCAGCAAAAGGAAATTTTTAATGACAAGTTGTGCCAATTATTCCCAGCCTCCCTCCTCACCAATTTTCTCCTTAGAACTAAGACAGAACTAAGGTCTGGAAGGATTTCTTCACACAGAGATGTGGATTGCTCTGCCCCAGGAAGCTGTAGAGGGGGAATCAATGGGGACCTCTTAAAGAGACAGAAATTTGGGTAGTAGTGATATCAAGGGATATGGCAGAAAGGCAGGGCATGAGGATTAAAAGATCTGCCAAGATCTAATAAGTTGGTAGTACAGGTTCATTGGCTAAACAAGCTCCTCCTGTTCCTGTTTTCCTATGTTCCGAAAGCAGCAATTCATCCTGGAAATCCTCTGAGCCATTTAGCAGCTCTTGAAACAGCAGTGAATGGCAGAAAGGCTTGTAGAAATATCCAGGACATCAAAAATAATATTCCACTCTTTGAATCGTGTGATTCATACACAACTTCCAGAAAATATGTATTTTGGTCCCTCACGAGAATTGCAGCACTTCTGACAAATTACATGAGTACTATCAAGGAGAAAATTTCCCCCTTCACATATTTTGCTCAGTTCTCCTGTGGCGAGAGACATACCATTACAAAAGACAGCAAACCGAAGAAAATCCAAGTAGCGTTCCCCTTCCACAGGATTCCAGCCAATATCCGGGTATCCCTTGAAAACCAACATGCCACAGCTCTGCAGGCCACACCCAGCCAAGTACTGAACAACCTGTAAAACAAAACAGCAAAATATCTAACGCATCTTTGGGCTGCAATGGGAATTATCTGGCTTTATGTCCATTCAATTATCAGATAAATATCTAAGTCACATCCAGTAAAGAAACCACATCATACGTCAGCCGAGTCTTGAGCAAGATCAAGATTCTTAGCGACTGGTTCATGAAATAGCCTTTGACACAATTCTCTTTTTGTTAGAACAACATTATTGCATTGAAGCACATTATCCCATCACTTACAGAAAATTTCACCGCAATAATTAGTTGCTTCCCCCCAAATACTGACATGCATTTTTCCAGGAAGTAATGCCCCTTTGAACAACAACAACATTTTACATTTATATGGTGTGTTTCATATCAGGAGGATGTCCCAAAGTGCTTGTACTGTTACTGTGTCATTCTCCTTTCATGTGGGGGGGCTCAAGAAGAAAGTTTGGGGTATCTACAATGGTGAAATCATTTCCAGAACAGTTTTATCCATTTGAAATATTTCAAAGATATTATGCTGAAAATGTGTCAAACTATTCAAAAACACATTGTAAAAAGCGATTCGAAGCTAACATGCACTTTTCCTTTAAATAAGTTGACATGTCTTCACAGGTCATAAGTATAAATATAAGTCATATATTTGAGCTGAAGCTCTATGAAAACCTACTATTTTAATCAAAATGATACCCTATCACCTAATTTTAACTCACTGAGCACAACTTCAGGAGCTATGTGCTGACATCAACCTGTTGGTGTAGTTCAAATATTAATTTTCAACAATCATGCCATGCAAGGCATGATCAGATATACATGAAGCATGTTAAAAACGTCACAAGCTGTAAGATATACAATGTTGGAACATGTGAAGAAAAGCCACAGCGTGTTCTGTCACCATGCTGATATTTACTTTTTCTAAGTCAGGCTCTCGTAATGCTAAAGCAAGTTCATTGTTGTCCATCACAGATGCTGCAGCAACATCCAAAGGCGTGGAGCCTCGCATTGAAGGAGATGCTGTTAAGAAAACAAAAGGGCACATTTAGCAAATAACGTCAGGAGTGCTGTTTGGATTCATGCAGCAAACAAAATCATTTGTATGGAATTCCCCCTTCCATTCGTAATAAGCAATCCAAACTTTGGCTTTGCTGATACAACTAATGGAGGAATCTCACAGTTCAGTTTTAATTACATCTTTTATGAATTTTGCAATTTTTAATAAACATTCCCCCCCACCACCACCCCCGATCTCCTCCATCCAATAGAAAATTTAAGTTTTACAAAAATAGTTCTTTTCAAAAGCCTAAGTAAAATCCAGAATTAGGTTGCATGATTTTCACTTGTTATTGCTTAATGCTGTGTTATCAAATGTCTGTGTATCATACAATCTCTAAAGCCTGCTTAATTGCTTCAAAGCTATCTCACCAAGAATCATCTGAAGCTTTTGGGGTTTCTTTTAGGAATAATAATAATAAATAATAATAATCCTTACATTGGATATTGCGCTTTTCACGTCTTCGAGACGTCTCAAAGCGCTTCACAGAATATATTATAATGTCAATTGACTGTATATTCGTGGCAGCCAATTACGCATTGCAGTGTCCCACAGTCTTGGATTGAGTGACTAAATTATTATTGTTTTTTTTCTTGAGGGATTATTTAAACAGAAGTTAAAAATTTCCCGTGTGAAATAATAATAATAATCACATAATCAAAACTTCTCAAAGCATTTTCCAGCATTTTTATTGTGAAGGGTATTGAAAGGCGCTCTATAAATGAAATCTTGTTGTTGTAGTGACTGTGTAGTTATAGGCCAAATGCAACTTTATGTCATCAATTCAATACTATTCCCAAATTCAAATCTTATGTTAGGTCTGGGCCCTGTGCCAGAACTAAAGCCTCACTGCCCCACTGTGACATTTCCATCCTCCACACCAGTCTCCTTGTGGCATTTGGATTCTAACTTGTGCCAAATTGTGTGCTGTTGATTTGAATCCAGTTGAAACTGTTGAGACTCATTTCTTGTAGGACTCTTAATGCCAGCGAGAGGATCAGTAAGTCCATCAAGCTGAATATTGATCAAACCAAAATCTCTTGAGTTGAAAATATGTTCCAATCCATTAACCTCCCCAGATCTAATTCTATTTAATATTAACCACTATTATCAAAATGTTAAACAAAAGTTCTAAAAAAGCCTATATAATAACAAACAGTGTTACACATTACACTCAGTGCTAAAAGAAATCAATGAAAATCCCATACTTGGAGGAATAATAATAATAATCCTTGCATTTGATATAGCGCTTTTCACGTCTTCTAGATAAATAACTGCATCATCAGCAATTCACTAGTTTTTGACAGAAGTAAATATATTACATTACTTCAACAAGAACATGCAGTTGCATAACACTCTTCACATAGGATGAACACTTTCAAGCACTTATTTTAAATGTTCGTGATTTACATAATTTATTAACTCTAATTTATGATTCCTTCAGATTTATTTTCAAGGACGTTTCATGGTGTGAGCATCTGTTAATTCTTAATAAAACAGCAGGATCTTAGATAGCTTCCACATCTGACTGCTTACCTAGTCCAACGCTGCTGTTTTCCAATAAATAGCTTAAGTGGTCGAACATAGCTTTCTGATTTTGTCGACTAATTCGGCAGAAGTAGCACAGGAAACGACAACAGTTGGCCACCATCTTTGGGAAGATGATTTCCTGAACAAACAAAAAAAAAGTCAGTGTATTTTAGAAAGTCTTTTCCGAGTTACAAGACATTGTATCTCACATTCCAACTAATCGCTGCAAGATATGTATCTTAAGTCCTACTTAAACACAAAACATTATATTTTGAATTGCAGAAAGTCATATCAAATAATTCAATTTATTTTATATTTTGCAATATCTTATTTTCTAAGCCTTATAGTTTTAACCAGTTTTATTCAGACATTGTTTTCTTTCGATTTAACAAGAAGAAATAGAAAGGTTGTTTCACAATATAATGTCCCTATATCCAATTGGTCAATACTATCACCGAGTATTTTTGAAACAAGAATTATATTGTTTTGTCTCTTTCTAAGGCACATCCTGAATACTGAACTGCATAATTTCTTAATTGGGCAAATTTTAATCTACCTTTATATTTTTTTAACTCAAATCACATTTGCTTATTTTATACATACAGTGAATATAGTAATTAATCCAGCCATGTCTACCTTTGATTCTCCTGCTCCGAGCACATTGACCATAACCTCCATCACGGTCTCATGCATCCCCAGGGCCCTCATTAGATTGGGATGTTGGTAGAAAACTTTATTATTCATTATGTCCCTAGATGAAAAAACAGCTTGATTATAACACATGTATTAGCAGAATGTTTCACTAGCAAGGGATGGTTAGGGTTACTGAGATAACAGTTAATGGTTAAAGTTGTTGAGACAATAGTTAATGTTATTGAGACAATGGTTAGTGCTGTTGAGTCAATGGTTAGGTTTGTTGAGACAATGATCAAAGTTGTTGAAGCAATGGTAGACTTGTTGAAGCAATGGTTAAGGTGATTGAAGCAATGAGCCAAAAATGCAGCAGTTTGCCTCCAGGTCTGTTCCCACATAACTGATTTTAACGAGGGTAGCAATTGGGTTGCTACAGTTGGCCTTAGCACTCCTGGACTGATGGTTCTTTAAATCAGACAGTATTCCCAATCCAATTGTTATCTGGAGACCGTTGCTGGAAACTGAATGTGTTGTATATCAGCTGAGAATAGGACTAGTTCAACTGTGATACCCTGTTCAGTCAAACAGCAAGTCAAGACTTTCTGCCTCGACACACACATTAAGAATAGCACTTGAACTAGGTACTGGAAAGTTGCCCATTGAATCATATAACAGCATAAGACACTGCCTTCAGGAGCAGAATAAAATGAGGAATAGGAAGCTACTCCTTTCATAACAAATTACAAAAACTTCTGTTTATCGAGGTAGTTTCCCAATTCCCCCACAATCCACAGAGCTGGGAGATGTCTCACACATCTACACGATGTGGAAAATACCTGTCCAGACAGCACACCCCGAATAAGATAGAACTCTATCCAAATGCTTAAATAGTATAATAATAACAATAACAATGAAGTATAGTGCCACAGCAGAGCAAGAGAAAAAAAACAGAATAAATAACAGACAGAAAAAGAGAGGTGGACACAAAGAGGGAGGCGGACACAAAGAGAATGACCGTGTGGAGAAAAGGGCTATGTATAGAGTCCACTGTCTCTATACACGGTAAGAAGGGCTGATACTGTGTGTGTATAACAGTGAAAATATAACTCCTAAAGGAAGGAGGCTCTCTAATGCACAAGTAATTGTTTTTCAATCAGCTCAATAGCTGCACATATTTGAAAACCAATCCAGCTTGGCATATTGTTTTTCTAAATACTGTATTCATTTTCATTCCATATCAACGTTGTACAATTGTCTGAACTATATAAATGATGTTGACTTACCCAAGCCCACAGATCATTAACTTCTCCTCTTCTTTACCCATTCTGACACTCAGTAGGGACCTGATCTGGCCCAGTGAAGCGAGTAAGTTTATTGTATCCTCCACAGACACGCCATTTATTGTATATGACTTTGGTAAAGCACGAACAAGCTCACCAATGCCATCATACTGCCTGTGCAATAAGACAAACATGGCCCTGACCAGCTCCGGGTCTTCAATCACTGACTCCTGGGCCCAACGCACCATGGTCTCGGAGATCAATTGCTGCAGCGTGGCTAAGATTGAAAGATTAAAGTTGGAAGTTAGGTTGAATGCAAATTATATATAAAATCATGATACAAGGTACTTCCCAGATTCAGTGTTTACGACATATACATCCCATAGGAATATATGCCAAGAAACAAATTCCTGAAGTTTCTCCACAACCATGTACCATGCTGAGTGTAACTTGAAGCTTCAATAATGTTTTAAAAATCATTTTTAATCCCTGTACCAAATCCTGTGCTTTATGCCGACAGTGGAGAGTTTTTACAAGTATGCTGTAATACTAACAGCCATTACTTAAGCAAAAATAAACATGGGTGGAACCCAGGGTACTCATTCAAAAGACAAAAGCTTGTGGCTGTAATGAGAGAAACCTGGGTAAATATTCTGAAAGAATAGGACCAAATGAGTTAATGGATCTTCTTCATCCCAACAAATGTTTTTAAATGAAGGAGTAAAATAGCTTCAGAACAGGGGAGAAAGTTGAAAGAGAAAAAANCGGGAGAAACTAGACGGAAAGGATCAAAGTGAAGCGCTAGGCAAAATATAAGGAGACTACACGTTCTTAAAGTTTACATCTGTACATGTCAACACATTTGGGAAACAAATACTGACTGGGATTTTTTGCCTCCTGCTCCACTGGGTTCTCCGTCTGCTTCTTCGTTAAGTACGTCACTTTTTCCACCAGGTTCATGAGTCGGCCTCGAATTGTGGAGTCACTGTCACTGTCACTGGCTTCTTCTTCTTCCAGCTCAATACCTGAAACAGAGTAAATGTCAGGTACATTTAGGACTTAAAATCGCAGCCAAATTAACAGCTAATGGAACACCAACCACAACCGGGGACTCCCGATGTAAGGTTGTTTCAAATGTGCCAATTCTAAGCCATCAGGTCTGTCCACTGTGTTTATTTAAACATGTTCAGCAATTAAATCTTAACAAATAAATTGGCTATTAAAATCCCCCTCCATTTATATGGTAGTGATAACCACTGAAAATACATCCAACATTGTATAATCTTGTTCATTTGTGTGCCTTAGTGAGTTTTTCAATCTTCACATTGATATTTCCAACAATGTCGACTTGGTTTACTTGTGAAAGAACAATGTGCTTGTGGAAGCATTTTCAGTGGGTGTTCCATAATTTGAGATGTGTCTTTTTCTTGTGATATTTACTAAAAGTGCATCCAAAGTCTTTCTCACGATTGGCAGTAATACCCACAAGGTCTACAGTTAAAATACATGTTAAATTAATTCCTCTAAAGCACAGTTCTTTAATAAGTTAGAGCAAGTGAACATTGCATCCATGAGGCAGAAGAAAATAGAGGATTATTGGAGAAGTGATGGGGAGAGGTGGAGTATAAATATGAACTATTTGGGCCAAATGGCCCGTTTCCAAGCTGCATAGTCTGTGTAATTCTATATAATTCATTGCCAATTACTTCCACTGTTATTTCCTTTTTATGCTTAAAAAAAACTATTTCTCATTGTAAAAAAAATTACAGCTCTAATAGATTGGGACACATATCATTCCTGTTACTGTCATCGTATTGGTCAGCCAAAGGGACCGGAAATCGATTTAATGTACATACTTGGAAGCTGAATGCATTCCTGGGTTAACATCACAATGGATTTAGTTAAACTACACATTCGCATGGAAGCAGAATTTATGCAGTATGGTCAGGATAGAGTCAGCAACACACAAAATGCAAGCACTCAATTTCCATTTATCTCTGCTGAGGCAACTAATTTTTTCTTCTGCCCCCCCTGCCATGTCCAACCACCCACCTCCTCTTCCCTCCCTGCCACCCCCCCCACCACCACACACACACGCCTACAATTAAGAAAAATCGTATCAAGATTCCCGTCCACGTATGAAGCAGGAATCCAATTAACGTCTGTGATGTTGAATCAGCACAGCTCTCAGACCAGTGTTCTTACAACTCAGTACTTTGGAGACTACCTACACTCTCTTCTTCCAGACAGCCTAAACAAAGCACTCCAAGACTTTACCCTATGTGAAAAGGCACTATATAAATGCATGTTATTGTTCTATCCTTATACAAGTTAGGTCTCAGTAGTGATCTGTATTTTAATACTCAGCACTGCAAAGTTGCAGAATTTCTTTTCAGACATTCCACACATTCAAAAGAAAAAAATACACATTTTAAAATGCTGAGGGTATTTCAGTTATCATTTTCCAGCACACTGCAATTGTCCTTTGAGCAAGCTAACAATGAAGTGCACTGTGCATTGTTACTTTATTTTTTGCCTGTCATAATTCTACTATAATTAATGAGCTTAATTTGGTTAATCCCTTCAATTCCAGCTGATTCTGTCAATCATCTGCCTCTGTTGTTCTGCATTGATGGCTTATCAATAGTTTCTGTCAGTGTTTTATCATAGTTATCCCATCACAGGTTGGAGTTGCATTAGGGTTGCAATCATTCTTTTCTCACCATTGCACATATAAACAATTACAGATGACAGGGAATTGCATATAAAAATATTATTTCATTTCATTTCACCTCGTGTGAATCCCTTGCATAAATCAGAGACTTATTACGCACTCTTTTCCTTCTGTTCTGAAATTGCATTCTATGTGTTAACATCCCAGGCAGCCCAGTGGGAACAGAAGGTTTTGGATTCAAACTCAAACTTCATGTCTACTCAGGAATTTGATAAAATAATATAATAATCTTTGCATTTGATAAAATGCATTGTCACACTTGAAATTATTCCAGTGTTTTCAGGACATTTTACTGTAGAGTGAAATGACACAGCCATGACCCAAACAGCCATAAAGTGAATTCACCAAGCTCCGTGATCCTATCACCCCCATCCTCGCCAGGCTTCCCTGGCCAGAGGATAGAGCTCAAAATCCTCATCCTCGCTTTCAAAGCCCTTCATGGCCTTGCTCTTCCCTATCTCTGTGACCTCTAACTCCATATAGCCCTGTCCACTCAGAGGGTACTGGCCTGCTCCAGTGGCAGTTGGACCTTCAGCCATTCTGCCCTCACCCTTTCGAACTCCACGCCATAGTCCCTTCACATCATCCTCTCCCTTGCCTCCTTCAGGACCTGTCTCAAATGCAATTTGTTACTGTTGTTGTTTATCTAGGGGATTGTTCCCCAGGACACCAAGAGAAACTCCCTTCTCTTTTTGAATAGTGCATTGGGACATCAAAGAGCACTTGCACAGGCAGACATTTCATCCGAAGGATGATACCTCCAGCTCTCCCCCAGCACTGCACTGGAATGTTGACTTAAACTGTGAGCTCAAAGTCCCAACTTGAGGCTTAAAGCTCGCAATCCTCTGAATCAAAATGAATACCAGGTCTAAAAAAAAATAGGCAGGGTCACACCATTTAGAATTGATTCTCTTGACTATGTATCTCAGTTGCAATAAAGCCATTCCACTGTAAGTACTTGACAAACACCAACCACAATGAGCCATGAGGTCCTCGTGGAAATCCAACAGTTCTTCACGCACATCTTCAGGACAAGGGCACTCTTGTCTGTCACTTTTAAAGTTCAGTAACATGTTAATCTGAAAATCAAATAGTATATATTATTGATTTTTTTTNAGAGATACGGATAGTAGAAGTCCTTCAGCCCATTTGGCTTATTCGCTACAGATAGAAAGATGGTGACAGCACTCTCACACATTTCATGCAGAGCTATGTTGTCCACCAGGTAAGCAAGATGCGTCCCTCCAAGGAGAGTGTGCATTCCATTCCAATAAATATCTCTGGAATTTCCATGTGTAGGTGGGATGAAAGGAACTCTGTTGGTTTGGATAGTCTTAAGCATGGTGATGGGTTTCCGCAAGTGTCAGACACCCAGTTGACCAAAAAAAGGCATACAATAATGGATACTTTGCAGGCATCAATAAAAATATTGTGGGGAAAACAGTGAGAAGCACCAAAAGTTTGTGAGATTTGACAGCTACGTTAGTTGCTATTGAATTAACTCACAAAATAACTGCTCAGGTCTCCCTACCTGCTCCTGTGGTGGAGAACGGAACTCTTTGGTTTTCCTGGCAGTCAGTGCGGCAGACATGTTTAGTGCTTGCATGACTTCATTATATCGGAACCGCTGGTTATCCTGAAGCTTTGCCACAAAGTCATCTGAAAAGGCGACAATGGCTTCAATCCGGTGGCGAAGCTGACAGTCACACAAATACTGCAGCAGGAGGCACATCTTAGGAGAAAATGAGGCAATAATGTTATATGTTCACAGAGCCAATATCTCTTCTCATCAATTAGTCTAAAGTACCTGTAAATCAAAGGATCACTATCTAATCACTTTGTTCATAAGCTATGATAGAAAGGTTACTGTTCTATATAGTGATCTACAGAATTACAGAGCTCTTCAGTCTTGAAAGCACACTTCTCAGAGGGGACCTTACACAAGTATAAAATATTTTAAATGGGATTGAGAAAGTAACCTCAGAGCAATGTACTGAGACGCAGATCAAGAGGACAGAGGATTGGGATTGCAAAGAGCAATTTAAGGACAGTGATCATTTATTTAGAGAGTAATTAACGACCAGAACAGGTTACCAGGAAGGTTGAGGCCAGGACACTGGACTTGTTTAAGAAACAGCTTGATGCTGTGATGAGAGGATGAGAGAGTGAGTATTCTTGAGGGATAAGATCAAATGGACCAAAGGGCCTCTTCGTCTGATCTCTCTCATGATCTTGTGAGTTTTGAAGCTTGACTTGATAAAGTACTATAAAAATGCAAGCTCTTTCTTCTCTTCACTATATTCGTTTGTGGAAATCATCTCTACAAGTGTTGCACATTGAAACATCTTCCCTTTTCAGAAAATCATTATTTTAAAAAAGTGCTCAATTTACAATTACTCTTGGAAATCATTTTGTAAAATTTGTACTGTTTAAAATAAAATTATGACAGAGGCGGATATTTTGAAGGGGTGCAGAGTTTACACACTATACGAACATCCATTCTGCACTGTTTCTCCATGATGATGTGGTTATGATAGGGAATTCACTATGGGTGGGGCTGTGGGGTGGGGGAGAGAAAATTACTGGCACAAGGCACATATCTTCTCACAGTGCACTGAAGCTCAGCACATTCTAGTGCAGAACAGCATATTTTAGAAGACAAATGAGCTTAGGGGCGTGCTCCCGACGTGAAACGCGCTCTATAAATGAAATCTTCTTGTTGTTTTCTTCACTGTCTCCATGCCTGCTGAAAGGCACCATTAGCAGGTGATTGAGCAGTGCAAGGTTCGTGCAGGCAGCCTTGGAATGTGGTAGACTTTTACAGATTAAGTGCAATTAGCTAATACTCAAAAAGGATGGTTTCACCACGAATAGTGGCTAGTCCATTCAGCCATTCGCCCACAAAAATAATTTTTCACTCAAATGTGGACTTTGTTGACATGACATAATGATTTAATGTGCCAAGGGGCACTCGTAATTAATTGCACATGGCTCTTTAAATGGAACACATAGTAGCTACCGGGAAAACAATCTTACGCTGCAACAGCTATAAAATCTATTAACCTTTTGCCCACAAGGTATTTACTTGAGCAGAAAAAGCCACTCACTTGAACTGCAACATTTTGTTTGTTTTGTTTGCTGAGGGCCAAAGGAGCTCAGAGTCGTGCATTTCATTTTAATCAAGACATGCCAATTAATTTCAAGGGTCTGGGCATGAGTACACATTTTCAAACAATAAAAAACTACATCTTAAAGGTCAACAACATTGTCTTTGACTATGAAAAAAAAGATGAATAGGAGATCAGTCTGTGCAAAAATATTAAGGCTGTTCAAAAATACACAAAGATTATGTTCCCAGTTACCAGGAACGTTGACCTTTTTTTTAAAAAAATGCATTTTGCCATGTTTATGCATACTAGAGAATTGGCAGTAACAACTCTACCAAAAAACTGAACTTAAAATAAAAAGAAACACAATGCTCAAACTGTACTACAGTTCAGAATGAAGGGCAAAGGGTTTGCTGTCTAAATTAATCCAATGCAGCCCAATGTAGCTGATATCATCCGAGTGCCATTTTGGCAACCATGTGGCCCATCTCTGCAAAGCTGTGAATTGCTAGTAAATACTTTTATTCAGGCTCTGTCTTAAAGAGAGAGCATATCCCTGTGAAATAAGTGGGGGTCTCCTTGGAGCTGAACTGTCACCAAGGTGACATGCCTGCAACAGAATGGCGGAATCGAGCCAGCCCTCTGTTGCGGTCTTGGTAATCCAGTTCTCAAGACAGGCAGGTCCACAGTATATCAGTTCCCTGCTGATGACAGCACAGCCAACCTGGCACATCGGCAGAACTTGGAAAGGAAGACCAGTCACTGGGGGTAGGGAGTCATCCCACTCAGCTTCTGTTAACCCTGCAAGCCAAAGCCTGGACAGGTAGGATGGTCTTAGCTGGACAAGCAGTGAGAAAGGTTGCCAGAAAGCAACGTACACCCAATACTTTGTGGAATTAGGTAAGCAGAATGCGTTCCTCCAGGGAGAGACTGCACATTCCATTCCAACAATCTCTCTCTGGAATTTCGATGTGAAGGTGGGAAATCTCAGCTTGGTTTGGATACTCTTAAGCATGGTGATGGATTTCCGCAAGGGTCAAAAAAAAAAAATCCTGAGCAATCCAGACCAGATCTCCTTCCATTGATTGACCTTACCTGAAGTTTAACAGGCTCAGGGAGTTTCATCTGTAGTAGCCCCTTGTTGGGAACCTGTTCACCTTTGGCTTCTTCATCTCCCACTTCACTCTTCAGTTCACCTTTGCAGGCTTCTTTTTCAACTGTCGTGCTCTCTTCTGCCTCGATCTCCTCAGCAAACACACGGGCTTCAATCAACTGCAAAATATGCTTCAGATCCTCGTTGCTGAAGATGCCCATTATAAGCAGTGTGTAAAAGAGTTTGATGAGAGGGACGAAGAGGAACTCAGTGGAGCCGCCCACGGGGTCTCGAACATGGAGGCTGCCTTCCTGTACGGCCTCAGTCAGCATTTCAATTGTTTTGGCCTTCAAGATGTCCAAAGGGAACTCAGGGCTGTGGTGAAAGCACTCACTGTTGATGGTGACAAAGCTGGTTGAAGAAAACTGCATCCTAGGCCTTAGAGAGGTAGTGAGGCCTATGCCCGGGACGGAGTGAGTTCGATTGCCGTCCGGGAACAAAGTGATACTCTTGGTCTCGTCCGTCATGGGAACAATGAATTCATTGTTCATCATCAGCCTGGCGGTGGCGTAGGTGCTAAGATGGGTATCGATGAGTAAATCGTAATAACCCGTTCGGAGCAAGCCAGGCATGTATTTGTTCTCTATCGCATACATCAGCTGAGACTCGTCCACATGGCTGCAGAGGGCATGTGCTACCCGGTTGTTACCCAGAGCACAGACCGCAGAATACAGTCGCAAGGTGTGGTAGTGAAACTTCAGCAGCTCCTCATATTCCGTGAGCTCCAGGATATCCACAGACCTAGTGATCACGAAGAATCAAAGCAGAGTTGAGCTGCTTACATTAACAACAACATAAACATTTTCAAAAAAAAGCTACAATGGAGTGAAAGAGATCAGAATGTGGGCCAAGATTTTCTCTTTACACCCAAGGCAGAACGACTTCTGGTTCAGAAGCTGTGGATTCAACCCCCACCTCGGGACATGAGCTCACAGTCCAGGTTGGCACTCTAATGCAATACTTGGGGGAGCATTGCATTGTTGGAGGTGATGTTGTTTAAATGTTTATTCTCCCAATGAGAAAGGTGCTACATAAATATAAATTTGGTGATGGTATTGAGTGATTGAGCCAACAAGGTACCATCTGCCTATTAAGTTGGAGTCCTGTAGCTCAGTGGTTAGAGCACTCGCCTTGGAAAGCGAGAGACCTGGGTTCAATTCCCAGCAGGCTGAAATGTTGGGCAAGTTTTCTTATTCCACACGCCTCTGTTTACCCAGCAATAAGTAGGAACCAGTTGTTAGTCGATTAGCGGATTACTTTTCCGGGGATAATAATCCCTTAAAAAAAAATAATTTGGTCACTCAATCCACAACTCTTTGTGGGTTACTGCTGTGCGCAATTGGCTGCCGCATTTCGCCCACAAAATATACAGCCAATTCACTTTACAGTATATTCTGTGAAGCACTTTGAGACGTCTAAAAGATGTGAAAAGCACAATATCAAATGCAAGGATTATTATTATTCAAGTGGATGTTAAAGATCATGTCACAATTTCAAAGAAACCAAGTTCTCTCGCTGTCCGAGTCAATGCTGCCTCCTCACCTAAAATTTTCTTTTAAATACCGTAAATAAACAAATAATTGCCAATCCTCTCATTGCTGTTTGTGGGACGCTGCTAATCCAGATTAACCACTGTGTTCTTTGCTCAGAAATGTCAAGGTGTAAACATATTTCTACTTTTGGTAGAAAAATCATCGACATTAGACACTGACAGGTCAGGCTGGGCAGGCAGAATAAATGTCCCTCTGCTCCTCCACAGTGTGTCTTGCTTCAATGCAGTATTAGAGCATCCCCTAGTGCATCAATGTGCTCTTCTGTTTCTACATTTATCATCCTGGACTTTTCTCAAACAGAATTAGTCCTACATTACAGGGAATTATGTGTTGTAGTTTTGTTTGAACAAAGAATTGGCTGAGGTTGCCTGAACTGCTGGCAAAGCCTGGAGACTTCCAGACCGTCAGTGAGCCAAATTGCCAGTTCTTAAGCAGAATGGAGGGGGGGTTGTGAAAAGCCAGTTTGCTTATCTATTATGCTCACTCCTGCAATGAGGAATTGTTGCCTGTGGCAACTTTTTTGCATTAAGTGTGATAGATGTCTCCTGCAGAAACTTTAGATAATGCTAAAAAGTAATTGAAGGGGAGGTTGAAAAAACTATGCGTCACATAGAGGTTGGCCAGAATGTGGAATTCTCTGCCACAAACTGTTGTTGAGTTCTTAAACTATTTTAAAGAAAGTCAGGCAGATGCTTGAGAAGGAAGAACATGTTTTTGGGAGTAGCCGCAGAGTGAAATTAAATTGGTGGCGTGTGTGGAGAAAAAACATCAGCACAGACGTGTTGGGCCTCGACCCTATCACCCCCATCCTTACCCAACTCCACTGGCTTCCCATCACACAGAGGATACAGTTCAAGATCCTGGTCCTCACCTTCAAAGCCCTCCACGGTCTTGCTCCCTCCTACCATTCTGTTCGCTCCCTCCACTCAACGGGCTCCGGCCTGCTTCACATCCCCCGCCTCACTCGCCCCACTATCGGCGGGCGGGCCTTCCGCCACTCTGCACCCACCCTCTGGAACTCCATCCCGCAGTCCCTCCACCTCATCCCCTCCCTTGCGAATTTCAAGACCCATCCCAAGACCCTCCTCTTCGACCGTGCTTTCGATCTCCTTGCTTCTCCCCCTGCTCAGGTCCGTAACTCCTCCCGACGTGAAAGGCGCTTTACAAATGTAATTTTGTTCTTGTTGTTGCTTCTGTGCCTGCAATAGTGTATGATTTTATGGGTGCAGTTCATGATAGTTTGCAGCAGTGAATCGATATAGATTGCTGCTGTTGGCAGGTATTTGAACACTAACTAACCTGTTCTCCTCAGGAATGTGCAGAGCCATAAACTTTAATGGATCGGCACATTGCACCTGCCAACCGTGGCGGTCACTCACACGCTTGACATCCACCTTTAAGAACTTGTTTGGTACCCTGCTCCAGAGCACGGGGGCGAGGTGTTGAACGTGGAGTCGAGGCGGACACTGTGGGATTGGGTTTCTGCGTTCACTTTTGAACAGTCCTGCTGAGAGAGGCATTACATTCTGAAAAGAAATGAAACATACTCAAGATGTAGTGAAACCTGGTTACAGTATAATGTTTTACCATAAAAATATTTTTGGAATGAAAAAGGCTGCTTATTCCAATCCTATTCCAATTAGTCACAACATTGGTTTGGATGAAGAAAGTTCTTCAGCCCATTTGATCTCATCCTGCCACCTGCCATCACAGAATCTAGCTGTTTTCCAAATGAGTCCAGTGTCCTGGCCTCAACCACCCATCCTCGCAATCTGGTCCAATTGTTAATTACCCTCTTGGTAAAGAACACCTTCCTGGTGTCTGTACCCAAATTGCACTTTGCAACTCTAAACGTATGTCCTCTTGTTATACTGACTTGCTGCATCCTAAAGCATTTTTCTGTTTTTTTTTCAATCACTCTACAAGGTCTTCTCCAAGTGGAGTTCTGCAGCTCAGTGGTTAGAGCACTCGCTTTGCAAGCGAGAGACCTGAGTTCAATTCCAGGCAGGGCGAAACCTTGGGCAAGTTTCCTTACTCCACACGCCTAATAATCCCTTCAAAACCAAAACCAATAATAAATTGGTCATTTTCAATCTACGACTGTTTGTGGGACATTGCTGTGGGCAATTGGCTGCCGCGTTCGCCCACAAATATACAGTCAATTCACTTTACAGTGTGTTCTGTGAAGCGCTTTGGGACGTCCTCCCGACGTGAAAAGCGCTATATCAAATGCAAGGATTATTATTATTAAGTCATCCTCTCTTGAGATTGAAAGCCTTCAGATGTCTCCTGATGTAATACAACTCATCTTAAGTGACATTGTATCAGCTAGAACCTGTTGGAATTATTGCACACGTCACCTTCAGATAACTACAACTATCAGAAACAAAAACAGAAGTCGCTGAGAACACTCAGCATCTATGCAGAAAGGAAACCGAGTCAATATTGTGGGTCCACAACCCTTCATCAGAACTATCAGAACCTGTTACACAGACGGGTGGGATGGCCCCTTTTAGGAAGCTTGTTATTTGTTACCGAGAAGTGAAAAGTCAAAGAAAGGCAGATTGGGTTGGAGGATGGGGAAAAAGAATTTTACAAATAAAGAGAAAACATTTTTTCCACAAACAGTAAAATAATCTATAAACTATTAGCGATTTGCCTAAAGCTTTGAACATTAAAACATTGAGGACTGATAAACATCAAGGTGTTCCTCGTTTCCAAAACCTGCAAAGTACTAGTTAAGGTTGATACATTGATTAGGTAAGGTTGTAACCTTGTTTCTTTGTAAATTTGGTTCAGGCCAGAAGAGTGTAGATAATCTTAGACAATCAGACTTGTGGGAGGATTGTTTGAAAATGCAAAGCCAGTGTTACCACCAGATGGTGCTCAATTTAACTCAATATTCCTCATGTCAGATACCATGTTAAATTGGCTAGTAAATCAAAACAATGATTTGCTGTATGATGTCAATGAACATTATACTTAATCCCATTTCAAAATGTATTGCAAGACTTATCATTAGTAATATTAACACAAGTGTCATGCAAATGAACCACATGACAACTGTTCAATGGTAGGGCACTGCTGGAACGCATTTCAAAAGACAAAATATATTGATCAGAAACATCTACTCTGAAAACTCAACAATCCACAATGTTGATTGACTGGAAATTGCTGTGGAATTCACCAGGCTAGGCTGGAAGCAACTTTTCTATGCTTTCGATTACATTACTGGATTGCTGTTCCTCACCAATCTGGCGCCTCGATTCCTGCTACAACTGAACATCAAAATAGCTTAGAAGGAAAATAATCCTGGAGCTGGAAGAACTCTGAAACTGGAAATAATTAATCTGGCAGTAACGTAAGCAAGGGGTTTGGACAATGCTGTAAACTTTTGGAGAGATGTCAAGCCTAAATTCTCTCCAGGTTATTTTTGTAACATTCACACCTAATTTACGGAGTTTCTTAATGGGATTCTGTCCGAGTCAGGTATAAAAGAATCTTGATACCTAGAAATACATTGAACTGTACTTCCTGCAGACTCGCAGGAATACAAATAGAATTTCTTAATAATAAATATCACAAATTAGATTCTATTTATTTTTAATTTTACAGTTTGGATCAGTTTTGACTATTTTGTGCCGACATGAGCTGGTTGCACGGATATACAGTCAGTATGTTCTGTGCAATTTCATGATCTCTGTGAGAATTTCACATGTATTGAGAACTAATTTTCAGAGATTACAAAGAATTGTGTTTGCCCTTCGCCCTTTCTCTGCTGGCCTCCTCTTGCTGGGGTGCAGTTGCACAGGTACTGATTGCCCTTCAGTACCCTGTCCAATGGACCATTGGTCACATGTGAGTCTCAGCAGTAATTGCTCGCTGACCCCATCCACACCATGGACGCCATCCACACCTGGCTGCCTCACAAATACAATACCAGTAGAGGATGCTACAGAGGGCCCAAATAGCAGGAATTCTGCTGCTTTCCCCCTCCCTAAACTTGGTATTCCCACGCAGCCCACTCCCCCTTTCCTGGCCTTTTCCCTTTACTGAATAAACTGCATGAAAAACATCTCCCTTTGCTCCGAAGGTGAAACACAGACTTGCAAGTCACTTGTTTGAGCTATGAAGCAAATAGCGAACTCCACAAGCATGTCCGGTCTTACCTTAATCCTCCCCAGTTCAAACTGGAACACATTGGGGCTTGTGGCCTGTGCAAACACTGCTGCAAACAGTCTGGTGCTCGGTTCCACCTGAACCCAAAGTAAACATCACATAAGTGCCAAGGGTCAGTTTGGTTACTTTTGAATCCAGTCGCCAAGTAAGGCGATTGATCTACATTTGCTGGAGGTTCACTCTGAGTTCTGAGTTAACTAAAAAACAGTTTCAACCCTCGTGTTCACCTACAAAAACACAAAGTCACTGCCCTTTGCAGTATAACCCATAAGAATTTTGAGACGTCCTCCTAACATGAAAGGCGCCATATCAAGTGTAAGGATTATTATTGTGTTGCACATGGTGTTATAGTGGTTTGTTGATCTTAATCACAGCACTCAAGCAAATACTCAAATTACATTGCAAAGAGATCACATTTTGTAATTCTATTTTCCAAACAATCCTAACTAGAATTGTAAATTCCTGGAGAGCTGCAGATAATGGATAACCCTGAGTAATTTAGAGCACAGTGGTTAGGGGACTGGCTCACTGCCTCTACCTGCTTCACTTGATCGTGTCCTTAATTATAGGCTTCAAAGTAATTCATAACCCAAAAACTTCTTCCAACACAGCCCATTCCCACCTCCTCTGAATAAATGCAGTGAACACATCTACACTGCAGTTGTGTGGGTAAAGTGATGCCTGCTGACAGCTCAAATTCTCAGTTGTAATACTAACCAACTTAAACATAAAAAAGAATCTTAACGATTTAACGCCAACACATTTTCTGTCAAATGTTCTATTTCCTCCTCCCCCACCCCAAATAAAATAAAAACCTGTTGTGTTGAACAAAAATTGATTGCATTTCCCTCTTTCCCGCCCCCGGCCAGGCAGAATAACAACCTGGAGCTTGGCTTGCACTCTGCAGATGTACTAGATAGCTTCCCACATAAAAATAATTCAGCTCATTAAAATCAGAGGAAGAAAGATTTCTTGTGTTTCATTTATTAGCCATATTTCACAGAACCAGAAGACATGTATGATTTTGGTCTGTGAGCAAAATATTGACTTTTATCATACTTTAAGTCAAGCAACTTCCCTTTCAAGCCATCAGAGAAGAGATCTTTGTCTAATGTGTTCCAGTTGGATTTAAACCAGATCCCAGAAGTTAAAGGGCAGTGGATGACTCCCTCCAGTTCTCTGACCAAGCAGTTGGTGATGATTAAAATATTTGAACCAGAGATAAAGATGTCAAACTATGATACCACAGCCTGGAGATGACTTTGTGCTGTGTGGAGCAGGATACACTGTAAACTGTAGTGGCCGTCAATTTTACAGGAAGCCGTAATTTAGTGAGACATATAGTTCAGTGCAGATCTATCTCGCACCACTGGGATGGTAGTAGCTGTAATGTGAATCCTTAATATGAATTTTAAAAAAATCGGTCATTTGAGGCAGTACCAGATAAATGGCCACAATGTTTGTCAATTGTTGTAAAAAAATAACTGGTTCATCAAAGTCCATCAGGGAAGGAAATCTGCCATTCTTACATGATCCGACCTACATCTCCACACTAGGTGGTTGACTTAATGGCAACTGGAGAGGGACAGTAAATTCTGGCGCTCTGGTCTCCCAAGGTGAATTAAAAATTAATGAGTCTCTTACTATCCCCTCCAATTCCTCACATAGTGATATGTGTAAAAGCATCCCCAAATCCCAGATGTATCTCGGCCAACCCTCTGTAACGCTGAATCAGATACTGATTTCAGTTTCAACTTCCCTAAAGTTTGCATACAAGCTGGCTTTCCTCCAGAGGGTCAACCGGTGACAAACCCGTGATTTGCTACCTAGAAATCCTTTTGGAAATCTCCCAAATTGGACCTAATATGAGTTCTTAGACTCCCCGTGGCTGTCTGGGGAGGTGTGGAGAGAAGTAAATGTGCTTTGCTATCAGTAAGAGAAATCAAATTAGTTTGCGTGTGACACTGCTCATTGACCTCTCTCTCTCTCGCTCATCCAATCATTGGGAGAGGTCTAGAAGCAGATTCTCTGCTCATCTTTTCGGTCAGAAATTGACGTGTAAAGCTGTGGCCAAAATAAAATTGAAGTTGACGAACTAACAAAACAAAAAGAAACACCATGGGAATAAAAGTGCTTTTGGTTGCTGACGTACCTGATAATAGGTGTTTAATTCCTTGCCATTGGCGGTGAAAGTCAGAAGGCCACTGGCTGTATCCACCAGGCAGCCAATCTCCAGCCCATTGTTGTTGCGCCCTTGTCCAGGGCTGGTGCTCTCTCCTGCCCACACCATGTAGCAGTTACTGCGTTTGATGCTGAATTCAAAGAATTATTCATAACAGAAAATTCATCAGATCTCCAATGTAAGACAAACCAAAACCTAGAGTTAAACCAGTGCTAGCTTTGAGGATCTGACGTCCCTGGTTGACAAAAAGCTCAAGGGAGCAGGCGATGAATCAATCGTGGTCATCCATGTGGGAAGAAATAACAGATAGAAGTAGACCAGAAGACCTACATGCTAAACTCAGGGCAGGGGCAGACCAATGTGTGGCTAAGGCATGTGTGGAGGGAATCAGGTTTCAGGTTCCTCAGACAGTGGGACACCTTTTGGAATAGGGGGCACTTATACAGACCACATGGGTTCCACCTGAACAAAAAGAGGTGGGGGGGTGGAGGTGGTGACAGGCAGGATAGATAGTTTGGTAAGGGAGTGTTTACTGTCTGTAACTTGAAAGTCTTTAAAAACGCAAGTTCTAAACCTGAATCGCCTAGCAAATTCTTATATTCTTTAATCTAAAATGCAGCTCCTCTGAGACTAATCACCTCCTCGTCTGTGGCGGTAAAGTATTTTATAATGCTTGTCCACTTTCGAGATCCATAGATTTGACCCATCTTTTTTATGTTATATGCATCTGTTAGCTACAAGGATTATTAACATTACTTTAACAAGAATGGAAATAAAAACAAGTCAGATTATAAATAATGTGTGATTTCATTCAGTCTCTCCTCGCTCCCTCCTCCTTCCCAACTTTTTCTCCCCGTTTAGGTTTCCATCCCTCAAACACTGCAACATGTTCCTCAACTCACACGGCAACCAGACAACCTGTTCCCAAATTTGTTGCTGCTGCTGTGGCCCTGGCTGCCAGGAGGCAAGTGTATTAGTCTGTTGATTTTTCTTGGACAAGAGGCCATTCTACAGTACAATGCAGTGGAGCAATGAAACTTGATGGTTTCCGTATCCTACCTTTCATGGACTTTGCCTTTCTCATCTCCAAGGGTCACAGTCACGGTGCGCACTTTTTCAAGCTCATAGGCAGTGTCATACTGGTGAAAGTCAGAGGTAATCCAACCGACCCAAACATTCGTTGGCTCTTGGCCAGGAAATATTCTTACAGAATAATAATACTGAAAAAGAACAAAGAAGGTTTATCAGCAGGGGGATGCTGGTGATGAGATTCATAAAGTAACAACAACGAGCTTTTATCTATCACCCTTCACATAGGCTAACGTCTCTGAGTGCTGTACAGTGGTGGGGTTGAACGCTGAGCATGGGTGAAGTGGGAGGGGGCCATGGGGTAGTCAAAGAGGTAAGTTTTCAAGTAGGTTTTGAAGATAAAGATAACTCACTGCTCTCAGTTATAAACACAAGTCTTCACTTCTTGCAGTTCTAAGCATAGGTAAGGAAGCAAAAAAAAATGCAAAGGTGACCTCTCGCAACAACCCACTCGCTGCACTCACTCTTCTCCACAGCACCCTCTCTACCACACTTGACGTCCTTGCCTCCTCACCTCCCGAAGTGCCTCCTATTCCCGATCCTCACCCTGGTTCACCAGCCACCTCCGCTCGCTTAAGGGCCAGGTGCGGGCTGGCGAACGCACTTGGCTTAAATCCGGCCTAACGGTCCACCGCCACATCTGGCTGGACCTCATCAAGACCTACCACTCCACTCTCACCTCAGCCAAATCATCCCTCTATTCCAGGTTAATCCTGCAGGCGAAGGGCAACCCCAGGCTCCTGTTCTCCACCACTAACCAGCTCCTCCGCCCTCCCTGATACGCCTCGCAGATACTTTCCTCTGACTCTCACTGCAAAAAAATGCTGGACTTCCTTGAGTCCAAAATCGAGGGAATACGCTCAGCTGCCACTGCCCCCCCAACTTCCACCCCCTCCCTACCCCCACCCCACACAATTACTCATCCCTCCTTCAACACCTTCGAACCTGTCACCACCTCCTCTGTCTTCAACACGGTAACCTCCATGAAGCCCACCACTTGACTCCATCCCCACCCCTCTCCTTAAATCCCAGCTACACCTCCTTGCCCCTCTACTCGCCGACATCATTAACCTCTCCCTGTCATCTGGCACTGTTCCTTCCCCCCTCAAAACAGCCATTATCACCCCTACCCTGAAGAAACCTTCCCTCGACCCATCACAGCTATCCAGCTACCGGTCCATCTCAAATCTCCCCTTCCTTTCCAAGGTCCTTGAGAGAGCTGTTGCCTCCCAGCTTTGCTCTTTCCTCTCCTCTCACTCTCTCCATGAACCCCTCCAATTGGGTTTCCGTGCTGCCCACAGCACAGAAACTGCTCTGGTCAAGGTAACAAATGACATTCTGACCATGTGTGACCAGGGATCCCTCTGCCTCCTCGTCTTCCTTGACCTCTCCACTGCCTTTGACACCTTTGCCAACTCTGGGTGATTACGGGATCTCCCTTCTCATTGGCCTTCTCAACTCTTCCCTTCACAAGCTTCAGATCATCCAAAACTCTGCAGCTTGTGTACTCGCACGCACCAGGCTCCGTGACCCCATCACTCCCACCCTCGCCCAACTCCACTGGCTCCCCATCCCCCAGAGGGTCGAGTTGAAGATCCTCATCCTCACCTTCATGGCCTTGCCCCCTCCTACCTCTCTAACCTGCTGACTCCCTACCAATCTGCCCGCTCCCTCCATTCAGTGGGCTCCAGCCTGCTCCATGTCTCCTGCCCGACCCACCCTACCATCGGTTGCCGGGCTTTCAGCCCCTTTGCCCCACACTCTGTAACACAGTCCCTTCGCCTCACTTCCTCCCTTTCCTCCTTCAAGGCCAGTCTCAAGACCCTTCTCTTCGACCGTGCCTTTGGTCTCCCTCCCACCTCTCTGCCTTCCCTCACCCCTACCCCAGGCTCGGGCTCTGACACCTGACTGTTCAGCACTTTGGGACGTCCTCCCGACATGAAAGGCTCTCTCTAAATGTAATTTTGTTGTCGTTGTATTGCACATTCTCCCACATCTGGTATTGTGGATCTGAGTACAACTCAGACTGGAGGAAAATCCAATTACGTTTGACTGTTACAAAGCCAATGGGAAAACTGTTATGACTATGTCCAACCAGTCAAGCAGGTAAACACAGGCTCTGTCATAAAATGGCCCCAATATGAGGATTCATGCTTCATCTGACTAACCGAGATCAAGAGTTAAGAATCTCGTAAATAAAACCAGACAATGCTAGAAATACTTAGCTGGCCTGTCAGCTGCAAAAATTGAGCAATTTCACAATTTCTCAGTTACAGACTGATCTGCCGTGCATTTGATTTTTCTTGGGTTAGAGGCCTTCATTCTGTGAGTCCTCCTCACCCACTCCCCATATTTCCACACTCTACAGTACAATGCATTGGTTTACTGATACACTACACCTCCTTTCTCGCACTGTTTGTCTTCACTGGAGAGTTCCAGTATTTACAGTTTTTACTTTGTATTTCCATGGAAACTTCTGCTGCAGCCCAAGAGGAGAAGGGGCGAGTGTAGATTTTAAGAATAGGAATAGTTCACAGAAGAAAAGATTCAGAGTGTTTTCTGGTTAATGCCCAGATAAAGAGCAACTAAATTGCTCTCCCAGGAAAAGCAATACCCTAATCGATTTATCAACTAAATGTTGCAGGCATATGTGGCCAACTCCCTTACCTTTTTGAAAAGCACAATGGAATCTTCAACATCCAATTGAATAGATAACACCTTTGATTTAACATCTCTTCCAAAGGATGACATTACCAACAGTGCAACTTTTCCCCAGCACTGCATTGGTGTGTGAGCCTCGACAAGCTCAGAATTCTCCACTCCCCACCCCTTGAGGTGGGTTGATTTAAAACGATAACTCATTGTTTTATCATTCAACAGTTTCCTCTGCCAGTCAAAATTAGGAAAATTCTAAGTACAATTTTATCTCCAATTATCTTATATACGGTTTATATCACAACTTGCTCTGTCATTTTCAGCATAGTTGCACAGATCACAACATATACAGGCTACCATGTCAATGAATAAACTGTGTAAATCAATTGTAATATTAGTATTTGAGAAACTGAACTGCATCCATTAACTTCCTGTGCAGGTTAAGTAATGTTCTGAACAAAATCCAGGACCCATTTAGTAAAATAATAAAAATAATCCTTGCATTTGATACTTTGCTTTATCATATCATCTAAAAAAAAGGACCATAATCAATTGGATGTGAAGATTATTTTCCATTTGAACATTTGAAAGGCACAAGTTACAATCAACTCAACAAAATCCAAAACACAACCTGAAACTTCTAAATGAATTTAAATGGTTCAAACACAATCCTCGAATCTCAATAAACTTACAGTGTTTGTCTGCATCAGGAAGTCATAATCGTCCCGGTCATCGGCCAATACCTCCTCCGTCAGGCGTGTCGAGGAATGAGTCAAGTTGTAATCTGGTTTTGTCCTTCTTAACATAAACCTGAAATGGAGCATTTGATCAGTGTGTCAAAACATTTATTTTGAATTACATTATATGCCGATTCCATCTAATGAAAAAGCATAAGCCTTTCAATACTGTACACCACATCATACCGATAACAAGAGAAGTTGAAGTACAGGTTACATTATGAGTAAATAAATAGCCACCTTCATACCAGTGCTTCTTTTGCATAATGGTTTGTAATGCTACCTTCCAAATAGTGTACATATGAGTACATATATATAATAAATAATAATAATCCTTGCATTTGATATCGCGCTTTTCACGTCTTCTAGACTTCTCAAAGCGCTTCACAGAATATGCTGTAAAGTGAATTGACTGCATATTTATGGGTGAAACCTGGCAGCCAATTGCGCATAGCAATGTCCCACAAACAGACGTGGATTGAAAATGACCAATTTATTACTGTTTTTGTTTTTGTAATTATTATTAGGCTTGTGGAGTAAGGAAACTTGCCCAAGATTTCGCCCTGCCTGGAATTGAACTCAGGTGTCTTGCTTGCAAAGCGAGTGCTCTAACCATTGAGCTACAGGACTCCATATATAGCATCTTTCGTGTAGGAAAATAAAAATAATAATAATCCTTGCATTCGATATAGCGCTTTACGTCTTCAAGTCGCCTCAAAGCGCTTCACTGTAAAGTGAATTGACTATATTTTGTGGGCGTCCAATTGTGCACAGCAGCGTCCCACAAATAGTCTTGGATTGAGTGACCAATTTTTTTTGTTATTACCCCCGGAAAAGAGATCCGGCAATCGGCTAACAACCGGGTTCCTACTTACTGCTAGGTAAACAGAGGTGTGTCGAGTAAAGAAACTTGCCTAACATTTCACCCTGCCAGGAATTGAATCCAGGATTCAATTCCCAGAACGCTTCACAATGATGGAGTCTGATGCCAAGCAAAGGAGAAGGATTAGGGAGAGGTAACCATTGGCATGGTCAAAGAGGTAGGTTTTAAGGTTATATTTAAAAACAGATGGAGAGTGTATCAGATGGAATGGTAGAATGAGGAAGTTCCAGACCTTAGGGGCTTAGTAACTGAATTAAATAATGCGTGTGTATATAATGCAAAAAGGTGTGCGTGAATATATATGTAAATGTTTGTACATACGTAATGTATATACATATACATTCAATGCTCCAAGATGTTACGTTACGTGAAGGCCACTATATAATTGCAAGTTCTGGCCAGACTCCACTGGCTCCCCATCACCAAACGGATCGACTTCAAGATCCTCACACTCTGACTTCAGACATGAGGCTCAAACCTGAGATATCAATGGATGGAGATCAACAAATGTAAACTCCTGATATGACCACCTGAGCTCACTCACCTCTGCTTTAGGCGAGAAGGCTTTTCCTGGTTATAATCCTTGTGGTTGTTGAACTCTGCTTTGGCACCTTCTTTTTCTTTCTCTTTTTCCACAGTGGCCGAGGCAAGATGTCCATGTGCTGTTTTCAGGAGAACCTCAAAGTCAGAGTCGGCATCGAAGTCTTCCAGCTCATTTTTCTGTGGAAGAATATTGGTGTTTGCCAGACCACCAATGGGCATTTTGGAGAACACCTCAGCACATTCAATAGGCATACTTAGCCGGTAGAAAACAATGTCTGTGTTGCTGTTTTGAGATCCGAATGACCTTTGTGTAGCCCTCAAGCATGGGGAGCTATCAGCAGTCCCATCTATTCTTGTCACCTGAGGCAGGAAAGGCAAAGAAGGTTAGCAACATCATAAGACTGATTTGGATGAAATCAGTCTTGTGATCTCTTCATCCCATTCGATCTCATCCTTCCAGAACACCCACCTCTGTCCCTCCGCCACAGTATCAAGCTACTTCGTAAATGAGCTAAGTATCCTGGCTCAACCATTTTTCTTAGCAAATCTCTAATTTTAGTACTGTAATCAAAAGGCATACAGAAAACTGTATCTACACACAAAATATAATTTAAAACTTGTCAGAATGATTGTGCAGTGAAGCCAAAATGTCTGGTTTTAAGAAGGCAGCATTCGCCAACAACAATAGCTTGTGGCAATAAAACATAAGCTTTTTCTTAACTGTGTCATTCATCAGCAATGGACACACATTTCATTTAAGATGTCTCAGTTGGTAGCACTTGCCTCTGAGTCAGTCAGTTGTGGGTTCAAGGGCTGTGTCAGAGCTTTGAACTCATGTTCTCGGGTGACACTCCAGTGCTGTTACATTATTAGTGAGTCTACCCTTCAGATGAGATATTAAACCAGGATAATTTCGGGTTGCTTGGATAGATCAAATAACACTACCCAAAGTGAGAAGGGAATGTTTCCTGCCCAATAATCCCAAAGTAAATTAGTCATTTATTTCATGGCTGCTTGTGGAACACTGCTGTCATGCTTGCCTTCAAATACATAGTCATTTCATTTTACAGCAATTACCTGTGAAGCACTTTGATATAGTTCAACATCATAGATACTGTTATTGTTATAAAATGTATTGTAACCCAAGAGTGCAAACTAAAGCATATTACTAAATGAAGTTCTCTAAAAGTGCACCAAATGAAAGACAGCAATTGGCCAACAATTTACAGAATATCGGAATCAAGTCCACCCTCTGTGGGGGTCTCAGATATACAGTTTCTGAGCTAGGCAGGCCTGCAGGACTCCAGGGCACTGCTTATGACAGCACAGCCACCGTGGCTTATTGTAAGAACTTGGCAGGATAAACTAGTCATTGGGATTCTTCTTACTTAACTACTGTTAAGGCAAAGCCCTAACAGGTAGGATTGACCTTGCTGAAAAAGCAGCAGGATAACTTGCCTGAATCATAGCTATTCTACAACACACTGTAAATCTAATCACAAGGATGAACTCTGCAATAGATTACCGTCTCTCTTTGATCATCTGCTTTATCTTTCTTTTCAATAATAGTAAAGAAATAAACTGATAATCACAGTGACTGGATATGTCTGACACTGACTCACGGGAAGGCCATTCTTAAACAAATCCACTTCGAAGGTGCACTAACAGCAGAATGGACAGGTGCAACGTACATTTGGTTACAGACAAAACCCGATATTTCTGATCGTCTACAAATCCAGGTTGTTACTCATGCATTTTCACCCAACGTGTCCAATTTGGACACTCTTCATTCCACAGGTACAGTTAGAATCTTAGCTGTTCATTGGACACCTTTGTGACGAATAATACAGTTGTGCAGGAATAATCAATTTGCTCTGACTGGAATCTACTGGATAATCCAAAGAGCAGGCACACATTTCGTCAGCTTGACTTTTTGTCATCTTTTCAATGGACATCATTACTTTACGTGCAAAAAACTTTGGTAGGCACCAAACACTCAAATAACTTGGTACCCAACAAAGAGAAAGATGCAATTTGTTTTGAAACTTTTCATTGTTTCCCATGTCCAGAAAATCATGGATCAATGGTGTCAACTATTCTGGTATTTCCCATTTCCCGTTATCAAAAGACATGCTTATTTCAAGTGAACAGAACCGGGGATACTGTCCTGCCTACCTCAATGTGCTCATGGTTTGGTGGCACAGGTAAAAACTGAGGCAGTCGCTTGCTGAACCACATTGTAATGTCCCTGTTCATGTTCACAGCAAAAGGCTCATAGCCTTCTTGTAATCCACAAATGGTGAAGTATTTCAATGTGCCAACCTCCTTTCCGAAATTCATCCTGCCAACTTGAGACACTCCGAACGTACAGACCGGAATAAAGCCTGTGGAGAAAAACAGAGAAAATGGCATTACAATACTATAACATTCTAGATCATGCAAGATGTCATATTTTTGCCGACACACATCAAATGCAAATGAACAACAACAACCTGGATTTATATAGCGCCCTCTATGCCGGACGGCGTCGCAGAGCGCTTTACAGTTTCGGATCCCGGGACCGAGCCAGGGGGAGGGGAGGGAAGGTGACCAAAGGCACGGTTGAAAAGAAAGGTCTTCAACAAAGACGTAAAAATGGGAAGAGATGGAGCGAGACGAAGGGAGTGAGGAAGACAGTTCCAGAGCCTCGGGGAATAGTGGCTGAAGGCACGGCCGCCGAGGGTGGAGCGGAGGACTCGGGGGATGAGGAGGAGGCCAGACCCGGAGGAACGAAGGCAACGGTTACTGTTTTGAGGAGAGAGGAGGTCAGAGAGGTAGGGGGGTGCAGAGGAGTGCAGGGACTTGAATACGAGGGTGAGGATCTTGAAGTCAATCCTCACTGGGATAGGCAGCCAGTGCAGTCTGGCAAGGACTGGGGTGATCAGGGAGCGGAGTTTTGTGCGGGTGAGGATGCGGACGGCAGAGTTCTGATGAACATTTTGACGTCTCGTCAAAACAGCTCATACAGGGGGAGAAATTCCACCTGGATCTACCATTAAAATAATTTGCAGAAAGCAGCATCCGAATTAAGGTTTTATTTAAGACACTGATAATTTCTGGTTGCTCTGAAAGGCTGAGAAAAGAGTAGATCAAGGACCAGTGAAATATCTACCCTATAATTTTGCATATGCAAGTCATTGCACCATCTTGCTCATTCATGTCCCCACAGCTCCCAAACACTGTGAAAGCATCAATATGAGATATTACAAAATATTGAATAGATACATATATTTGCACTGCAATGACAATAACCATACAATTTGCCGTGATTTTACAAACCAAAGAAAATGGACTGGATCGAAATTTGCCTGCAAAGCAGTGTAACTCAAACTACGGAACATGCAAATATAAGGATTTGCTGAGCACCTAATGAAAGAAAGCATTAACCGTTTTAGGTTGGAAAAGAGTGAATTGAATAGCGTTACAGATTGAACAGGAAATATTTTTAATTTGAAAATCAATGGGGAGACATACCACCTGGGTCTATTCTGTTAATGTATTGTTTTGGAGAGTGCAGTATTTGACAAATTGTTGAATTCAGTTTTAAAGTTGAAATTGTTTTTCTGTAGTTCTTAAAAGAACGTACAAAAAGTGTTGTATTTTTTAAAAATATCTGTATTTAAGAATTCGTAAAATTTTAGGCGCTCTGAAATAATAATCCTTGCATTTCTCTGCACTCTCAAGTACTTTAAAATAACACAATATGTGGATGTAATATCAGTAAGGAAACTGACCTCAATAGTGTATTGGGCAGGTCAGAAAGATAAGCTATTGGAAGGCAGGTGACTCATGTTTCAGCTGATCTGAAATTTGCATATCCATCAAAACTAAAAGGTGATGCTTATTCCTTTGCAAATGTAAACACTTAAACTCCTATACTTAGGTTGAAACCACCAAGCCCTGATATACACCATCAAAGACTGTAGATGATTGCTCCTCGCAGACCCCCAGGAACAAATCTGTGTGCACCCAGGTCTCCAAGTCTCGCGTGTTCCTCACAGCCTTTCTTTTCTACATTAAACAATGTCTTAAAACTACTGTGGTATTGTGCAACTCCAGGGGCAGATATGTGCCAAGTGCTCTGCTAATCACTAAAATGAAAGAAATTTTATTGTTCAATGTGGCAAAGAGGTATTAAGATGCTTTATCAAATGCAAGGATTATAATAATATTACAGTAATAAAGATACCCTAATGGCAGGAATAGCTTTATTACTGTTATATTGAGCATATACGACTAAAATTAAGTACTTAGATACAAGTTCAATCAAACTATTCATACAACATTAAAAAGTTTCCATTATTTATTAACCACTTTCCATTAGTTAATAAATAGTTTGCTCATCCATAGTATTCCAAAGTTCAGAATAATTTTTTTCTTTAAAAGGTTATTTTTATAGTGTGGGGTTAACAAATCTTGCATCAAACACACTCCAAATGTTTGGAGTAGCAATAATAGTGCACTGTTACAAGATCACAGTATAGTTGCTGAAAACTTTGACAGATGGCAAAGTGAGCTTCTTCTTCTCCCATGGGACTGTCAGCTCTCTGAAGGTTAATGAATTAAAGCACCTTACATCTGTATGACAGAATTAAACTACCACATAGAGCTGCAAGCCTATAGGAGGATAGCATATCCTGCACTTTCTCTCTGTGTGACCTGCCCACTTCAACCAATATTCTTGTGCACCTCAAGGCTTTGCAGCTTCAAGTGTCGAAACTTACAATATTTTCTTAAATTAGTCTTCACAAATTATACATTGATGATTCAGTCATAATGCAGTCTATTCATGCTTGGATTGAGTTGGCTGCTGGGATATAGTTATATTTTCATTTGAATTACCCAGAGTTACAAACTCTATACTCATCAAGGTCAATTTTTCTGTCATTACTGAAAATCTTCAGTGTCCCACAGGATTGCGGAATTCATGTCAATTTCGAGAGCAGTTGACAGTAAACAAGTGTTGTATATTATTGAGATATACGCACAATATCAAACATGAGAGTGTAGATTGGGACTGAAAGAATTTTCCTCAGGAAAGCGGGAGTATTAATGGGACCTGACCAGCAGAAAAAGAGTCTTACGATTTTAATAGCATTTTCTACATGTATGTTACACTGACACACGAGACCTTGGCTCCAATGTGGCCACCAGTCGGAGCTGATGCTTCATGAATCAATGCGAAGTGCAAGAAATTCTCTGCAGTAAACAGAGGTGATTTCTTAAGGCACCTTTTCCAGTGGCAAGGTATCAGTTGTCACTTTCCTGAGAAGTGCTTTTACAACTTCAATGCATTGGATAATATATAATTAGACACACAATCAGTGCAGTGCAGTGATATTTTCATAAAAGCAGTATTTTATACCAGCCAATAGGATTCAAGATTAATAGCGTGTAGGTGTAATCTATATATACACACATCATCGTATTATCAGGTCAGCAAAGTCTCTCATGCAATAAGCTATTTAAAATGAACAAGCTGATTATGTTCCTGGACAGGAGGCTAAACTCACTATGCAGGAGGTCACATGAAAATGGGTCAGACATTTCCATACACTTAGGTATTAGGGGTGAAACTTATTGGTATGACAATGACCTGAACTGGTGACATGTTTGGCAATGGAATGTGAGAATTGAGCCAGCACTCTGTGGTGGTCTCAGTAGTTCAGTTCATGAGCTTGGCGGGTCTGCAGTAATCCAGGGCACTGCTGATGATAGCCCAGCCAGGCTGGCTCAACAAGAGGACTTGGAAGGGCAGACCAGTCACTGGGGGCAGGGAATACTCCCATTAAGCTCCTGTTAACCCTGCAAGCCAAAGCCATAATGAGGTAAGGTAGCCCTACCCTGGGGAGAAGCAGTGGGAAAGCTTGCCAGACAATGCTTTCAATGGCAATCTATGCATTTTTAGCTGATTAGACTCCAGCAGTACCCCAACGCACACTCTGGGTTCCTCAAACCCTGGCACTTGCCAACCTGTGCTTAATATTCTCCACAATTGGGTAAGCAGGATGCATAATAACTCCACACTTGGGTTTTAGACACCTGGAGAGTTAGAGGAGTGAGGATGGCTGTTGGAGGTAAGGAGATCCGCAGCCTCAACATCTACTTCTCTACCACGTTTTCGATCATTTTTCCCTTATTCATGCTCCTCAGCTTTCACCCCCAGCTCGGGTACCAAGTCAGCATTAAGTTCATTGTCAGTGTGAAAGAAATGATATAAATGTTAAATTTGTAATGCAGTTTTTTGTGGTGTTGGGAAAGAAAACATTGGAGAAGGTGGTGAGCTGAGTTTTCAACAATTAGATTGCCGGGAGGAGGGAAAGGACAACATATCTGGAGTTCAGAAAACGTGAGAGAAGCTTGGAGACGGAAATATCTATCACCTTGGTAAAACAGGAAACAGTGTGCTTGAAAGAGGTGGCTGGTGGTGGCCAGAGGTGAAAGGAGATGGTGTTGGTAAAACAGTTGTATTATTCATTGTAATGAAATTTATACAACTGTAATGCAACTGTTCGAGAATTATTGGAGAAAAGAAATATTTGCAAATCAGCAATGTTCTTTTTTGATGTCTTAAAACGGCCACTGTAGAAATGGCCTCTATGTTCTGAACGCACAATCTAACACCATATCTATCTGACAGAAATACAATTCCAATGCAGTGATAGAAAATATATCAAATGTACAGCAATAGTTTAGGTGCTTTAAAGATTTTGTGCAATTTCTTTCAAAAGGGTCTCTTCTTTTTTCCTCTGGTATTCCCATGCCACCCACCATTCGCACAAAAAAACACCACAAATACCATGGGGATGGTAAATCTTGGGCAATATCCTCTCCTCCATTACTTTCCTTTTTCTGCCCATTGGGACTCAGTTCCTCTCACTATAGCGTGGGTGAAATCAGAATCCAATGTGACATGAACTGCTGCTGAAGAGCTAGTTGTAACCATAGAATCGTAGAATCCTATAGCACAGAAGGAGGCCATTCGGCCCATCATGTCTGTGCCGGCTCTTTGAAAGAGCTATCCGTTTCATCCTACTCCCTTACTCTTCCCCCATACCCTTGCAAGTGTTTTTCTTTTCAAGTAAATAACGAATTCCCTTTTGAAAGCTATTATTAAATCTGCTTGCATAAAATGATCTTTGAGCTATAGAAATTATAGAGTAGGAGGAAGCCATTCAGTCCATCAAACCTATAATGCAGTTAACTCCTCCACTGTAGGTGACTACTGTAATCTAATTTCTCTGCTCTGTCCCCTACCTCAAAATGTTATCCAATTTCCTCTTAAATTATGTTATGGTCTCAACCTCAATAGCTTCTTGTGGCAAAGCATTCTCTGTTCTAAGATACATTCCCAGAGCCATGACATCAGTAGCTGAGTCAGTGCAGCAGAGGCTGGCCTCAAACAATGTAATTTGTCAGTCAGAAGGAAGGGGAGATGTAATTAGAAAATAAAGTAATTAGAAAATGCAACACTGCTACATGCTGCACTGGAGTGCTTAGCATTTAATGGTCTCTGAACAGAACCTGATGCCCCCATTACGGACCATGCCAAAAGTGACATTGTCTTCCCTCACAAACAAGCTTGTCATTTGGCAGCACTGTGCTCAATCACAAGAGAAATGCTTAGCAATATGTGATTTTATTGGGTAGGATATTTAAAAGGGAATCTGTTTCTTAATGCGTTTTCAGAGCAGTGACTGACACGTTATTGAGATTGCCAGATTTCTGGGATCGAAGGAGGGCTGTGCACTTGGAGGGGTTTGGTCCTCAAAAGCCAGACAGTAAGTCATTTACATCTCACTTGTAAGCTGTAACAATTCTCAACACGTTCATTCCCTCCTGCTCTCCAGATTGTCCCACCATTTCAGCAGCGATGAGTACCTCATGCTGCTCTATAGCAGCTTAAATCAACAATCAGATATTACTGTCAACTGAACAGTCAACCTTTGGAACAGATTGCCAATGGATCTCAACTTCAATGCACCTCCATTAGTTAATTCTTTTATGATTCATGTCCTAGGGAATTGGCACCGCTGCCAAGTCATGACTCACTGCAGTAATTTAACATCATCATCCATTTCTCCATTTGTTCTCTCAGTTGGAAAAGCGTCAGAACACAAATCAGGGAATTTTTGCAACATTGCCAAACATAACTGTAACTGGCAGTATTGCACAGGCTAAAGCATCATCGAAAGTATTTCTGGACTGAAATTGATCATGGTATCTATTTTAAGATTATTGTTTTAAAATTTATGTTCCTGCAAAATTTGGGAAAATTCTTAAATTAAGTCTCATTTTGGAAGCTGGTTTTCCACAATTCTTAAACATTTGAGAATTCAAGAATTTACAAAATTTTTATAATTTTAGATTTTTTTCGGGGTGAGGGGGGAGCAGGGGTCAGCTAGGTGTCTGCCACAGGTTATCTAAACCAGGCAGAGCTCCACGTTTGTATTCAGCCTTTGTCTTTGCTTTCTTTTTACGCCCCTCGAAATGGCACTGAAGCATCCTTGCCACCATGGGCTAACCTGTGATGGAAATGTAGTGGATTATTTTGAAGAGCTTGTCGCTCAACACATTCAGGCCGAGAATGCCTCTTTACTCGCCAAAGGGCAATACTCCCAGTGACCAAACAAACTAAACATTAACAGAACAGGGAGAAATGGTCAGGGAGTGAAGACGCTTTACATTCTGATGTTGATTCCAGTCAGTCACTGCCACTGTTATTTGATTGGGAAAATCGATACTGCAAAGCACATGTCACCAGGTATGTGGCTCATTAATTTCATACATCAAACAATAACGTGTAAACAACATGAATTTTAACTGTAAAGGAGAGGACTGTAGTAGCAGCACAGTCACGTGTCAGAGCCACCACTAGTGTATTAATCACAGTGCAATTAGAGACCCAGTGTAAAAGAACCATCAGTCGCAGTATTAGTAACAACAAGGTACGAGGTTGATAAGTCATTGTTTTTTGCTGAAGGGTCAGTAAGCACAGCAGAAGTTTCAATTGTGTTTCCAATATATCCATTTTGCATGCCTACAGGGGACACTGATATCAATTTCATTGATCCCAAATTCTTTCCAAAAGCACAGTCAGATGTTGTTAGTGCACACTTTAATTAGGTCCATCAGCAAATCCTCCAGTGAACATCTGGTGTCAAATAATTAGTGTCTAGCAAGCAAATAGACAACATCTCAATACGTATGCAAACAACTTGAAGTATCAAAGTTTAAAAATTCTGTAAAAAGCAGATATTGATGCGCAATTCAATAAATGGCCTGTTACAGTTCTGCTCTAATTCTTATTTTAATTTCCCAGGATTCAATATTAGCCATGTTTGCTGGCAGCCTTAGCCTAATAATCCTGCACACGACACATCCTCAATCACCCGGCTGACCGCTCTAAAATTGGCAGTCAGAAAACACGGCACTGCTTGCCTCTGATAAAACCCAGTACCTCCAGAAGCAGCAGCGAGTTTATAACTTTACAGCAGTGCTATCAGCAGTCACATTGTCCGACAAATGTTTTAAGGTAAGGTATGATGAGACTCAATATCTCTTCCAAGCCAAATGTTAAAATTAATCCTCTTGTGCAGTAATTACAACATTTGATATAGCATCTTTCAAATCAGGAGAATGTCTCAAAGCGTTTCACAGGATTTCCTGTAAAGTGTAGTGACTGTGTTCCTAATGGTGAACACTGCAGCCAAATTACATGCAGAAATATCCCACAAACAGTTATGGAGTGAGTAATCGATTTTACTTGAGGGATTGTTGGCCAGGATACTGGAAGAAACTCCCTTCACTGGTTTGACTTGTGAGCTAAAAACTAAGCTAAACTTAATTTTTTTCTTAAAATGATTGGCAGCAACTTACCATCTGTAACTTCAAAGTCCTTAAATGCAAGCTCTGAACCCGAATCATCCAGCAGGACCTCTCCATTGAGAGTGAACGTCATGGTAGTCTCGTTCACGTCCACAAGGCAGCCGACTACATCCCCTGCCTGCCAGCATCGGCCAAAGTGCTCATTACCCTGGTGCCACCGTTGAGCCTGCAGCATACATCACAGATGACAGTGGGGGCAAGGAACAGTGACTCACTTTCAGATTTAGCATTAAAACAGTGTGAAAATCCCAAACAATCTGTGCCAGGACAGGACCAGTCTGGGAAAAGTGCATGAAAAATTCTACACATATGATGGCATCAATATTCGCAACCAAACCTATGGTTTGTGAATGTCACCTGACATTTACTGGGGATTCTTCCCACTCAGTTACTGTTATCTCTGTGAGCGAAAGCACTACAGGTAACGCTGTCTTAGGTGGACAAGCAATAGGAAGCTTACCAGACAGTGCTGTCAATGGCAAGGTATACAGATTTAGATGATTAAACTCCAGAAATAAAAACAAATTTATATTTATATAGCACTGTAAATTTGTGGAAATTAGTATCTGATTCGGATATATCCAAGCATGGTGATGGCTTTCTGCAGGTATCAGATACCTGGCTGATCAACAAAAAGTTGCCCAATTGCCATAAGCCCAAATTGGCAAAGTCCAAGAAAAAACAGAGAGCAAAGTGCTGATAGGTGTGTTTTTTTTTCCTACTGGTCTGTTTTTTCAGACTTGCTACACTGGGATTCAAGATTGTGTTGTGAATCTCACAATCTGACATTCGTAAGCTGGAGGTTATAATTAGAGATTCAAATCAGTCTGTGAATATTGCATTTCTTGACCCCAATGTGAATTTTGCTTTGTAGTAAAAAAACAATATATATGGTGAGGTGTATTGGCACTCTCTGCAATACATTATTACAAATATTTACTGTCAATTCAAATCAAGCAGAATTCATATACTTCACCTTAAGGTCTGCAAAAGCAATGCGTGGCAACAGGTGCTCTAATATTACAGCAAATAGGTGTGAAAATATTCCCTGCCACTGAGTTTTGGGTATATAGGTTTGCCATTGTATGTTGCCAATACAGAGAATTCCCAATCTTAGACATTCTGTCAAACAAAGTGCAGAGTGAAGAACGTGAACTTCCTCCACAGAAAGGGAGAAAGAACTGATTGGAGCAGGAATCAGCTCTGGATCATTCTTTTGCATCTCTGATCATCTGGCTCAAGAAGAGCCATTGATTGAGACCTGGGAGGAAACTGTATGACTTCTGTTTGTCAATCAATAATAATAATAATTCTTGCATTCGATTTTGCGTCTTTGCACGTCTCGAGACGTCTCAAAGCGTTTCACATAATATATTGTAAAGTGAATTGACTGTATATTTTGTGGGTGAAATGCAGCAGCCAATTGCATACAGCTGTATCCCACAAGCAGTCATGGATTGAGTGACCAAATTATTATTTATTTATTTATTTGAAAGTATTATTATCCCAGAAATGGTGGGTTAGAACAGAATGCTCCAGAGCAGTGCTGGCCAACCTTTTTGGTCGGCGAACCAGATAAACTTTCTCGATGGAATATTTCTTGATTTATGGCCACACCATGAGATTGCTGCTCGGAAACTACTGGAAGCAAGGCAATGATTTGGAGTGGGCTCTCTTGCACTTGTGCAAATGTTCGGTGGGCCACTGCTTGACAGTCCTGCGAGCCGCAAGTAGTCTGTGGGCCATGTGTTAGCCACCAGTACTCTAAAGAGAGGGACAGGAAATACAATTCAAATAGAAAAGGATAAATGGTGAAAAATTAGATTAACCCAATCCCTTTTTCGTACAGCTATATTTGCAAAAAATAAAATATATTCAATAATATTCCAGGATTAAAACAATTTGGATGATACATCAGTTCGTCTGCTGTTATCTACCAGAATCTATTGCTGCTCCCATTGTCTTGGGCAGGTTCATGGTTAAGCCTTGTTCATGGGTGCGTTGTACCCGTTTTGATGAATACGTACTTTGAATCCATCAAAAACAAAGGACTGGTCGTCCGTCCCAAGCTCCTGGTCTGGGCGGCAGCTGGGTCTGATCCAACCCACACGCATGTCTCCAGAGGTCACGACTTCAAACTCAAAGTACCACTTCCCCGTCTTGACTGCGTAGGTCTTCTCAGCACGGAAAATGCGGAACCGCTCTGTTGCGTTGTTAAACAGGTCGGATCTGGTGGCTGGAACATTTTGAAAATGTCATGCATACCAAGAAACACACACAAAGCACCCAGACACCTCACACAGACAAACACAACTTAATTTCCTTCAATTAATTTTATCCTTTCTCAATAAGAAGGATGTAACCATTGAATACAATTTACGGTAGATTTGTTAACAGCCATGCCGAGTGCAGGTAATAAAGTATAAAATAAAAAAAACATGCATTTGAAACAGCATCTTTTCAGGTCACCGAAAGGTCTCAAGCACATCACAAGATTTATAAAAGTATAGTCATTAGATAGTAAATCCTGTGAAGCACTTTAAGATGTCTAACTGACACGAAAGGTACTATAAATTAATTATAATCATTGCACTTGAAATGGCACTTTTCAAAATGGGAGGATGCCTCAAAGCACTTCAGAGAATTTTACTGCAATGTGCAGCGAATGAGGGATCTTTAAACACTCACCTGAACAAGCAAATGTTATATCCAAAGAACAGCACCTCAAACAATGCAGCACAACCCCAGCACTGCATTGGAGCGTAAGTCTATACTATTAGAGTTCAAAGACTCTGTGTCAGACTTGAATCCACAACCTTCTGTTCAGAGGTGAGAGTGCTGACACTGAACTAGACTGATACTATATCAGTGACTATTTGTAGATAAATGCCTACATAAAATCTGCAAATTCCACAATAGTCAAATCAAAATCCAGTTCAATTTTTATGAATAATAATGATCACTTCCAAACATTTGATTCAGGAGCAATGCAACAAGATCTAATCCAGAAAGAACTTGTGTGCATACTCTGCGTGTGTGTGTGTGTGTGTGTGTGCATGCAGAAATAGAGAGAGATTTAAGAGAGAAAAGCTGACAGTTCAAAATTAGATCTACATTGATGAACCCTCAGAAAACTAGAACTGGAAGTCATCTGTTTTAATTACAAACAGATGAAATGTATGGTATGTGCAGGAATTCCTGTACAGTCTGTGTGAAGCTGTGTACACAACATCCAAGACTACAGCAGCGCTATGCAACTTAGCATGTGCTTACATAGCATCTCTCATTTATGGCAGCATCTCAAAGCCTTTTACAGAGATTGTATTGAAAACCAAGCAGGGACCTTAGGCATTGTTGAAGAGGGGATTTAAAGACAGAGCAGAAATATTTAGGGACTGAGTTCCAGAGGTTGGGGGCTGAAAGCTCAGCAAGGGCATGTGGGTTTGTATGTGTGAGTAAAGATGTTGAAGTTGTTCCACTGGGAGACAGAGGAGTCTCAAAGCTTTAAATTTGACAGCCCTGATAGAAATCCCTTTGAAACTCTCTTCCATATGTACACACGATATGCAGCAATGCAACTGAATGGCTGTGCTGCTTACATATGGTGATTGTCTCGAGTCTTGGGTAATTCTAACACTGACTGTATGAATTGGCTCTTACCCATTGTGAATGTAAAGCACTTTTGCCACTTGAAAGTGATAATCTGTTGTGGAGAGCTGGAGGCCTTTCTGAGTCAGCAGATTCTCAATGTTGCATAGCTTAGGAAGCCAGATTTCAGCTGTGCAAAGCTTTCTGTCAGTTTATATCAAGTTGCAATGAAAACTTCAGCCTTTTGACCTTAACTGAACGACCATTGCTTCACACAGCACCAGTGACCTTGAGTGATGTTCCATTTCCGACAGCCATTAACAAACTGTCGATCCCCTGATAAATTCATTCAAGCACTGCAGAGCCCATTAATACAGCTTCTGCTTCTGGAGATGCACATTAGTTTCAGTTCAGAGAAACGTGTCTGGAGGATACTGGATCGTGATCATTGAGCTACAAGTGCAGCAATTCAGAGGACATGGAAAACTAACAGTACACATTCTGCATCGGCTGATCCCGAGACTGGACTGTTGCCTGAGTGCAGCTTTCGTCAATCTTTGAATCACTTCACGACAAACACGGAGTTCAACATCAGGAGCTTGGGAATTACATCAAAAGTGTCGAGTTCATTTGGTGCAGTGTCGCATGAGAGAGGCCTTCATAGGATATAATTTTTTTTGAACAGTCAATGCTACAGCACCCTCTGCATAATAAACCCCTCCCTTACCTTTATTAACAGTCTCTGTTCCAGTGAATCTGAAGGAGACACCCCAACACTATCTTACCTTCTAACTCGGGAAGATTCCAATTCACAAATTATTGACAGTATTTTTTCAACGGGTGTGGGGGGTTATTATGCAGCAATTTGTAATGTATCAATCAGGAAAGTGCCCAGCCCCTCTGGATGTTTGATGTCCAGCTACAGAGAATCGACTGCCAGTCAGCAGGACAGTGACATTTAAACAAACAATATACTGCCAGCAGTTAAATGTCTTCTTTCAGAAGTCAAAATTATGTCGCTGCTTTAGAGATAACAACAACTTGTATTTATCTGGCATTCTTCACAAGGGGTAGTGTCTCAGAACGCTTCAAAGGCATTGGTATTGGGGGAGGGGAAGAGGTTACTTTCAACATTCAGATACATTTAGAATTGCTACAATTGCAAACAATTTTGTTTAAACTGCATATTGCAGACCAATGTTTTTGATAGGTGGAAAATTATAGTTTCCCTTGAAAAGAAACTAATCAATCACAAGACAAACTCTCTGTAAGAACCTCCCTACAATTCCAACTTCATTCCCAACGGCACCAAGTAATCGTTACATTGTCCCACTCAATGATCAGAAATCACATTAGTGGTACACTGGAGACGATTAGGGCCATAGCTACAGGAGGCCAATCGGCCCATCAAGCTGTTCCGCCAGATTATTAGATCACAGCAGATCTTTAAATCACATTCCTCTCTGCTTTTTGCAAACATCCCGTACTTCCCGAGCATCTATACGATTTTCTGTTAAACAATCTGTTTTAGTCTGCCTCCACAGCCTCGGGGGCAGTGCATTCACATTCTGACACGCCTCCCTGTGAAGAAACGTTTTCAGAACTCACTTCGAACTGTCCTAGACTGAATTCAGATTAGATTTCTTTTGTTCAATGAAGCAATGAAAACAGCAGAAAGAATCACAAAGACATAGTTTGACAGTACGACTAACACTGGAAACCTGCTGAGGATGGCCAGCGTTTTTATGGCTCTTATTCCTTTCAAATTATTTCAGTTTCCTGGAACAGATAGCGCCGAGTGGCTATTCAGTCTGACACCACACTGGGCAGGGATTGTGCAGTTTTATCGATTTTATTATAACATGGTGAGCCAGCCAGTGAGCCAACCATATTGATCCCATATCGAAGAACAAAGGTGTTTAAGCAACACCTCATCCACCACTATTAAGCGCTCTGAGACGCCATCCGGCATGAAGGGCGCTATATAAATGCAAGTTGTTGTTGTTTTACAGGTGTAAGTGGGGCACAGTTTGACCTTCATGCAACATAATTATACTTTGTGTCAGTCTGGTTTGTAAGACTCCCATATCAAAGAATAAAGGTGTTTAAGCAACACCCCATCCACCACAATTAACAATTAAGGACTAATTTATGGGTTGTGCTAACCATGTTTACAGGTGGAATTGCAAATGTCCTCAGTTATGTAATTAACAAACAACGAAAAGGATTGGGGTGAACATAAACCCTGTTACCATGCTCAGTGGTAGCACTCTCGCCTCAGAGACAGAAGGTTGTGGGTTCAAGCCCGATTTGGGGATTTTGAACCCACAGTCTAGGTTGACCCTCCAATGCAGGGCTGGGGGAGGGGCTGCTGCATTGTTGGAGGTGCCGTCCTTTGCTAAACCGAGGTGTGCCTGTTCAGGTGGACATTAAAAATCCCATTGCAATATTCGAAAAGTGAAGGGGGTTTCTCCTAGTGTTCTGGTCAACAATCTCCCAAATAAAATCGATTAATCACTTCACGGCTGTTTGTGGGGAATTGTTCTGTGCAAATTGGCTGCAGGTAAATACAGTCACTGCGCTTTGCAGTAAATCCTGTGAAATATTTTGAGGCGTCCTTCTGATGTGAAAGATCAATCATAAGGATTATTTTATTATTACATGATGAGCCAACCAGTGAGTGGCATTTACTGTGCTAGTAATGGTGAGCATTATTCATAGTTCTGGAACTGCGTACAACGCAACAATTAATAATAATCTTTGCATTTTGCAGAGTCTTATCACCTCGCTGAGACATCTCAAAGCTTCACAGGATTTTACTGTAAAGTGTGGTGGCTGTAATATTTGTAGCAGAATGTGCACAACAATTTCCCACAAACAACCATAATACTAATCATCCTTGATTTGATATAGTGCCTTGTCACATCGTTGAGCTGTCTCAAAGCGCTTCACAGAATAAACTGTAAAGTGCATTGACTGTGTATTTTGTGGGCAAAACATGGCAGCCAATTGCGATTATTACCCCCGGAAAACGATTCACCTATCGACTAAAAAATGAGTTCCTATTTAGTGCTATAAAGTGAATGACCAATTTTATTTTGGGGATTGTTAGCTTGGACACCAGGAGAAACTTCTCTTTTCAAACAGTGCCATGGGATCTTAAATGTCCCCCTGAACAAGCAGATGAAACCTTAGTTTAACTACTTATGCGAAAGATATCACTAGCACCTCAACAATGTAGCACATCCCCGGCATTACATTGGATTGATATCCTAGACTCTGAATTCAAAATCTCCATGTGGGGCCACAACAATTGAGTGGCAGCTAAGTATGCAGCAGCTTCCATTCAGTACCCTGTTAGTTACTGGATATTCATTGTACGTTTGTATCAGCATCAGTTCAGCACTGAGTTGGTAGATGTGAAACCAGTGAAATGGTGCTTTGAAAATGAGTAGCCCTTACACCACCAGCAGTAGCCAGCAGGGGGTGATTGCCACTACAGCGTAATGGCTGGAGTGCACACAGAGCATCAAAAGCTGATGCGCATAGTCTTGTCACAAGCATCAAGTATGCAACATATTGTTTGTTCTGTAAATTCATAGATGCTGCTGCAGTTCAACCAAGCCAATCAATCAACTATAATCTTCATCTCAGTCTGGTAAAAGGATCGCTCAAAGTGTAAAAGCCATTATTAAAAGTATATATTTGTACATCTGTGTCAGGCTAATCACTGGGAATTTCATGACTCGTGTGAATACTGAGGACTGGCTACATACACAAAACATTGCAAGGACAAATTTTACAATGAATCTTGTGAAGCGCTTTGAGATGTCTTGATGGCTTGATACATTAAAAGTATGGATTATTATTACTGTAATAAAGTACCTCAACATGTATCATAGCACTCTAGTACAATACATATCTTTTCATTTTTTAGGGCAGCTCCTGTTAAGTGTTTCTTTAAACACAGGATAATACTTCCCAGGTATACCGTTAACTGAATACTCATTAAGTGATACTAAAATTGAATAAACTTGATAAAAAGCAGTGTCGTAAATTTACTTCCTAAATATATAAATTAATTCTTAGTTTGGACACTGCCAAATGTGTTTTTCTAAAGATATCTTTAAGGTGTTTTGAATTATAGAGCAGGGAAGGGGAGCCCTTATTCAGCTCATTCTGCAGCCTTGATAGTTTCTGCAGACCTCTGTTCCAAAGAGAAGTTTGGATGATAAAGGTCTTTTGACCTCATTCTTCCAGAAAGCCCACCTTACCGTCCTCCCATCAAAGCATCAAGCTGTTGCAAAATTAATCCAGTCCTAAACTCCCATCCTGATAACCTGTTACAGCTGTTGATTACCCTCTGTGTAAAGAAATACTTCTTAGTGTCTGTCCTGAAATTGCCTTTTACAATCTGAACCTGCCTGAATATTGTCCTGACACTTTGGGTTATCTAAAAGAATTGTTCTGGGTTTACTATCCTATCCAATTTAGCAACTTACATAACATTCCCTCTGAAAGGTCTCCTTTCAAGGCCAATACCAGTAACAGACCAACCTAACTATAAATCAGATCACTGTTGTGATTAACTACACAGTATTGTAATTCCCTGGTGTACTTGCAAAGAATATGGGTATTGGTATTGTAATTGTGCTTTCCCGCAGCTACTGTATAAATCTCCTGCCTACAGTTTATGCAAGTTTGACTCCAAGTTTAACTCTGAGAAGTTCTGTAGTGAGAGGCTGACCTGGTTTTGAAATCCTTATTTTTTAAACTAAATTCATTTTTACTTAGAGATCAGATGTAAATCCATCAGCGATTGTGAACTCTGAAGCTACGTGAATACAGGACGATATATGGTGTTGCACTTTTGCAGCTATACACTGACTGCTTAAGAAATGACCACCTTCCTGGCGGTCACGTCACACTGATGTCACTTCCTAAGTGGCTCGCTTACACAAGAAACACCACCGACATCAGTAAACACTTTGCAAAATCCTGATCCAAGCCTAATAATTCTTGGCAAACCTGTTTGATGTTACCCAGCCTTAACTGTGCTGCAAGAAGAAAGATGAGACATACCGTGGTCCTGGTCGGGAGCCTCCAAGTTATACCCATAACCTAGAAGGGTACGGACTGCTTCGCGTAAGCTGTCTTTGTTGGACTTTTTTGTCCGTTCGTCCAGAAGTGTGTATGGAACAAGGCGAGGGTTTCTTCTGTTTTTGACATCCTATATATAAAAAAAGGTAACATTTTTAAAAACCCAAACTGGGTTATGACTATAGATCAAAGGGAACTAAACCAACGTCAATTTACAGATGTGAAGTTAGCTCCTGCATGTCCAACTAACGGATGGTAATGTTGCTGAACAAAGCAAACAAAAACATCAGAGATCGTGTTGTGTTGCATCTATTCAGCCTCCGGTGCTGCTTTGCCGTGTCAGATATGCCCTTGGGAATGACCGCACTGTAAACAAGCTTTCAAGCTTCACTTGGATGTGCTGCATAAATATTGTCCACAAACAATGCAATCAGATTAACTGGCTCTCGCTCTGGATCAAACTTTGAATAGTTTCTCTACTTACACAAAAAAAAAGGAACAAGTTTGTCAGTGAGGCTATAGAGTTGTGTTACCTGGGCAATGCTTGCACTAATGGCATGATTCTGTTTTTGGCTTGATTTTGTGAAATTGATTATAAAATTCAACATTGGGGCACCACGCACGTTACATGTTTGGGTTGAAGCTGGCAAAACTGCATCATGAAAGACGCAAGCGCCTCAGGTTGTAAAGTGTGTATCAACCAGGAAAGCCCAATTACGTCCAGCCGATAAGCGACAAAACTGATCCAAGATTATCTCGGGTTCTAACGGCTGGCCACAAAAGTTTGGGCTTCCCTGCCCGAGTGTAAGATATTTTTTCCACCACTCACATCATTTACACAAAGGTTTACTTCTTTGAATGCTCTTTCAACCTCACTATCAAGCAATAGGAAAGGAAAATTTACAGACGAGGCTGAGGGTCTGAACGATGTAGTGGCTAGTACTAAGTCCCTTGCTGGGTTTAAATCCAGTTCAGACTGCTGAGGGGTGAAAGCCTTGCTTCCTCACCATCTGGAAGGGACTTTAATGAATGGGTTTACCGATCATCAACCTCGGGCCCAATCAATGTGGGTCGAGGTGAAAAAACTTAAGGCAAATGGCAATTTAACTAAAGCGAGGTCATAGAGGCTCATGTGAGAAATTAAAATTCCCCCTGGTGTGGCAGGTGGCTAAGGCAAGAATCATAAATAAGTAAGTTTAGGCTTGTTCCGAATTGCGTGCACTTCAGGAATCTGATCCCCACGTAACCTGGAATTGGACCAGATAACCCAAACTCGCTTTACACAGGACCTTCCCAGCCAACAGAGACTTTGTTCCTCTTAAATTGGACTACAAATCAATTCAAATCCTAGAGGTGAAACTGTTTTTCAAAATTAATACAGATATTTTACATCTCATTAGCCTGATTCATAAATATTTTATCCATCTTCAATGTCAAAATTTGATAATCTGTATTCACAGGAAAGACTGGAAAAGTCCTGCGTCTAATTGTTCTTAATTAGCATAAACCAATTAACGTTCAATTAGCATAATTAAACCACTTGTGATCCTGCAGTCTAATTGCAAGATCGCAAGATTAGTTTAGATGAAGAACATATAGATCACTTACCATCCCACAGTCTAATCACAAGATCACAAGCAACATTATTGTCAGGATTCTTCCCATTCACCTTCCCATTTACCCTCAAGCCTAAATCCTAATGGGCAGGGGGTCGTAGCTCAACAAACAGCAGGAAGCTTGTTAGTATCAGAATAGCAAGTCTTGCAGTTTTAGCTGGTTACACTTTGCAGTCACCATGCCTTGGCTCACACCTACCTGCTCCAAAACTCTCCAGGATTGGTTAAGCCCTTCCAAGAAGAGCGTGTGCAGTTCATTCCAGACAAATGGAGATTTCCATACATATAGCAAATAAAACTTAATGCTGATAAATATGAGGTTATAGTGTTTGGGAAGAAGTATAAGGAGAACAAGTATATGTTGGGTGGTAAAATATTAAAAGGAGGGGAAGATCAAAGGGACTTGGGCGTTACATAAATCCTTAATGGTGGGAAAGCAGGTGGACAAAGCTGTCAAAAAAGCTAAGGGAATCTTAGTTTTATAAATAGGGGTATGGAATTTAAAAACAAAAAGTTAATGCTAAACCTATATAAATCATTAATTAGACAGCCATTAGAATTGTCCAAATTGGTCACCCTACTTTAGGAAAGACATCAAGGGGGAGATTAGTAGATTGTTTTTCATTCACAGAGCAGTTAGGATATGGATTGTCTCACAGACGTAGTGGTTGATGCAAAATCCATATTGACCTTCAAGAGGGAATCTGTTATAGTTTAACCCTCCTAATAGTTTCCTCTTAAACACCTGGCAGTGAGTTCCACATTCTCACTACGTAAAGAAGTTACTTCTAAGCTATTTTTAGAGCTGCTACTGATGATCTTATATTTATATATTCTGTAGTTCTTCCTTTATAGAAATCTGCAGATGCCTTAAAACCATAGACATTTACAGCACAGAAGAAGGCCATTTGGCACATTATGTTCTTTAAGAGCAATCCTTACCCAAGGCTGCAAGTGTTAAAAAGAACTTCAAAAAGCACAGAGTATAACAAAGGGTAGTGCCGAAGAGGAATCTAATCTAAAGACAGCGGTTGGAGAACCACTTCCATATTCCACTACACCCAAATGTCAAACCCATACATCTCGATTGCTAATGTTTCTATTATTCCTCAAGTGGTAGATCCATTTTTTTTGGTATGGTAATGCATTGTTTCATCAGTCACAGAGACAACTTTATTTCCCTGCTCAGTTTATTGGCAGCATGGCTGCCATTATGTGTGTGTGCAAGTACAACAGCTCCTGGCACATGTTCCTGTGCTCCCATTGTCAGTTGATGGTTGAGCAGAAGGAGCTGTTTTATAGCAAGTTGTTTAATAAATCGGTTATTGCGCATTTAAATCTAAATTAGTCTGAGGATGTTGTGGGATATATTAGTCTATTTCAAGATAACAAGCTCTTTAAACATTGCTCTTTAAGGAAGCGCTCGCTGCTGCAATGATTTTTTTGTACATGATAAATGGTTTGTCTCACAGCCCTGCTGCATTTTTATTTCCTATGCAGAGTTCCTTTCAGAACACGGTCTGCTACCTGAAAAATCCTATTTTAATGTGACAGCCCATATTAATGTGTAAAACAAATCTGTTAAATAATTGTTACCATTATTCAGAGCACTTCACAATGTATTAATTCCCACAGCTACATAGTTCTACCTTTAGTCCAGAGAAAAGTGCATCGACACCACTGATATCTTCCCTGTAACAAGGCAGTCCACACAAAGCAGGCAGTTACATTATTACCAAAACTCATGCCATGAGCATTGGAGGTCTTGGACAATTTGGAATTAATTACAGATTTCGTAGCAGAAACAAGTCTTGTGTATGTTGGAGTCACTGACAGTCTAGTTTGGTGGTGTATATGTGTCTGTCTCTGACAGTCTGGTGCTGGTGTGGGTGTCTGTCGCTCACAAAATCTGGTAGTGATATGTAGATGCTTATAGCTGGACAACTGCATATGCTATCAAATCTTTCACTGCCTCTATTCTATCGAAGCAGTTCGCAGCCCAGGCAGGCAATAATGCAGCATATAAGATCTATTGTACCAATGTGAATCACACATTACCTGCTGAATGCCATACGTCCAGCCTTGTTTGATGCGGTCTCTGGCCCAGACATTATGAGCATTCTCTGCAAGTTTATCTACCATGGCTTCCTGAGTCGAGGTTAATTTGATGTGGCTCAGGTCCATGGGAGCTGGCTTATATCCACTTGGTAGCTGGTAGCTGTGACAAATAACATAGTGTTCCTCATTAGTCATTTTCAGTTTTATTAGGGCACAGAAATACCAATTACACTGCAATGTCCGAAACATCAGCAACATAAATCTCTACTCAATGATGGAGAGTGGATAAAAAAAATTCTGACACCACTACACTTGGTACACTATCTTTATCAGCAACTACTTGCAATAGTATTTAAACTGATAATACAGCGCAATAGGCACCCTTATAGCATTCCTGATCTACCATGAGCTCTTACACAACTCACACTGTCACGACATAAACGGTGGGTATAATTGGGGTATAAAACACCTCCACACAACGTCCCAGGGAGTAACTCCTCAGTGGAATAGAAATGCTATAGAATAATAGAAATTGGAGCATAGAAGAAGACCATTCAGCCCATCACGTCTAGGCTGGTGTTGGCTCCTCCACAGAACTAAATATTTGGTATCTCTGTAAGGGACCAGCCAACCTGGTTCATTACCAACACTTGAAGGAGCAGACTAATCACAAGGTATATGAATTCTTCCCTCTCGGCTCCTGTTAACCCTGCAAACCAAGGCTCCAATGAGTAGGATATTCCTACCCTGACAAGCAGAACTTCAAAAATCCTCACTGCAAACTCTGATGACCCAAAGACTCGGCTCTTTCTAACTTGCATTCTCTAGGATTAGGGGAGCAGGATGCATCACTCCAGGGAGAGAGTGCACACTCCATACATGCCAACCAAATCGAAATTTTGCAAGCACATGCAAAACTCTCAGTAGTTTAGTTTGGAGACTCTTAGCATGGCGATGGGGTTCTTTGTGTATCAGATACACAGCTAACAATAAAAATGGAGACGCCTTTCGTTTTCTACAGCACAATACAATGCCTAGACTGAAATAAAGTAGTTTTAGAACAACCATGAGGTGCCAATGCTACATTCTTTACACTCACTCATAAACTATATAAAACATCCCCTTTATAAACACTGACCTATATACCACAGATGCTGATTAAAATAATCCGTCAATGTTGTGGTACATCTGCGGTACATCTTAAAGGGATTGATTAAACAGGAAAGCTAGTCGTCTATGAATCTGAAGCACGAGAGTGCTCCAATTCAATCTATTTTCAAACCAGAGGGAGTTAGTGTGACATACTTCCAGTTACCGGAAAGAATCTCCACTCAAATTTCTTAATTCAGCAATCCCGACATAACTCACACTGTTTATAGCTTCCTCATTAACAGTGTAAAACACCCCCTCACAACGTGACTGGGATCAGAACCTGAGTGGCTTAATCTGTATTGTCATTGAAATTACAGCACAGAAGGAGGGCATTCAACCTATTCTAGCCTATCTATGCTGGTGTTAGCTTCTTCACTTGAGCTATAAACTCTTTGTCCGTTTGATTTCTTAAATTTTCTTAAATTAAATCTTGATTTCTCTGTGTTCAGAGACACAGTGACATTTACCCCACTACAGGATAAGGATGCAGGATATATTTTCTGCACGCCTTAAATATCTGTAATCTATTAATTTCGTTACATACAGGGTAACCCATAATAACAAGATGGTTTGTATCCATAAACTCAGACGCCAGGTTGTCAGGAAGCATAGGTCAGCTTTTCTAGGATTGTCAGGTCACTGTTAAAAAAAATGTTTGCACAACTTCTGGGTTGTACAGCAAGCAAGAAACCAGACAATCAGTGCCGGAAATGTATCATTCTTCCTGTATAAAACCAGTATATAGTACTCCCTCGCTACAGTATAAGCAGACCCGCGCTAAAACTGGGAAGCATTAAAACAGAATTTGCTGTATCATCAATATCTTGACTGAAAATGTTACAGGCTAGTTAATAATGAACGCCCAAAAATGAGCAATGAGATAACTAATTATTGTATAATAACAGTTCATTCTCACTGGGATTCAGGTGTACTGTTTCATCCAAATCATATTCTTTCACACTCACTCTCTTCCTCTCTCCCTCACACAAACCATCACCCATACACTCGCACCCAACAACAAAATTACCTTTGTATAGTGCCTTTCACGTCAGAAGGACATCCCAAGACGCTGGACCGACAGAGTTACGGACCCGAACTGAGGGTCGGGGTGGGGGTGTATGGAGGGCAAGGGGGGGGGGGAAGCAGGGAGATCGAAAGCATGCTCGAAGATAAGGGACTTGAGATGGGTCTTGAAGCTGGCAAGAGAGGAGGCGAGGCGGAGGGACTGTGGGATGGAGTTCCAGAGGGTGGGTGCAGAGTGGCAGAAGGCCCGCCTACCGATAGTGGGGTGAGCAAGGCGGGGAACGTGAAGCAGGCCGGAGCCTTCTGAGCAGAAGGAGCGAACAGAGTGGCAGTGGATTAGGAGGTCGGAGAGGTAGGGGGGAGCAAGACAGCGGAGGGCTTTGAAGTTGAGGACCAGGATCTTAAACTGTATCCTCTGTGTGATGGGAAGCCAGTGGAGTTGGGCGAGGATGGGGGTGATTGGGTTGCGGAGCCTAGTGCAGGAGAGACACGGGCTGCAGAGTTCTGGATGATCTGCAGCCTGTGGAGGGAGGAGTTGGGGAGGCCGACAAGCAATTAGTCTGCATAGTCAAGCCTCGATGTAATGAAGGCATGTATGAGGGTTTCGGCGGCCTGTCGTGTGAGACAGTGTCAGAGCCGGGCGATGTTGTGGAGGTGGGAGAAAGCAGAGTGGGTCATGGCACAGATGTGGGGTAAAAAGGATAGTTGAGGGTCAAACAAGACCCCAAGGTTCCAGACTGGCTTAGCAAGGTGGAATGTGCAACCATGGATGGTGAGGAGGCGCAGAGGGGAGCCAATTAGGAGGGCCTCAGTCTTGCTGATGTTCAACTGAAGAAAGTTAGCTCTCCTCCAGGACTTGATGTCTGACAGACATTCAGTCAAGACAGCAGTGGTCCTGGAGTCGAGGGTGGAGGCAGAAAGGTAGAGTTGGGTGTCATCCACATCTGGATGTTGACCCCATGTCTGCGGATAATGTCACCAAGCGCGAGCAAATAGATGTTGATGAGGAGGGGACCAAGGACAGAGCCATGAGGAACGCCACACAAAACGGTGTGGGGGCTAAAGGAGAAGCCAATTGAGGAGATGAAGTGCAGGCAGTGTGAGAGGTACAATCTGAACCATTCAAGTACAGCGCCATGGATGTTGAGGTGAGAGGAGAGGCTGTGGATGAGGATAGAGTGGTCGACGGTGTCGGAAGCAGCAAAAAGGTCAAGGAGGACGAGGAGGCCGAGGGAGCCCTGGTCGCAGGTAGACAGACCAGGGCAGTTTCTGTACTGTGGGCGGCATGGAAGCCCGATTGGAGGGGTTCGAGAAGGGAGTGGTGGGAGAGGAAGGAGTGAAGCTGAGAAGCAACAACTCATTCCAGGACCTTGGAGAGGAAGGGGAGGTTGGAGATGGGGGGGTAATTAGGGAGTAGAGAAGGGTCCAGGGAGGGTTTCTTAAGGATAGGAGTGATGACAGCAGTTTTTAATGGGGTGGGAACAGTACCAGAGGACAGGTACTGGATTGAACAGTCAGCTTAGAAGACTTGAGTTCAAGTCCCAATGACACGTTTTGATGAGCGGCGACATGAATTTAAGTACGATTTGCAGTGTTTGGATTTTGGTCCGCAATCTAATCATCTAGTTAAGCAAACCCACATTATAAAGAAGGCATTATAACAGGATTCTACTCCAACTTGACAGGAAAGGGTTATAATTGCAGCATTTCTATTGTAGCCACTTTTGTTTTTCTCATCCACACAATCTCAGTATCTTGGAGCCATTTGAAACGGGGGCTCGGTAAGTGAGAGTGCTTCAAAAATGAAAGGCACAATATTGCAGTGTGAATCTGACATGACATGTCTCCAGCACAGTGGGAGAGGAAAGCATTGAACAAGTCGCACTGAAGTAGAATTCAGTTTGCCTTTGCAATAGGGAACATTATGATAAAATGCCTCATCGTATTTCAGACCTGCACCTCACAAACAGATACTGTATCCAGAATGCAGAACATTACACAGCACATCAGTCACAGCATTCAGACAACCAAAAATAAGACAGTTGATTAAGTCTTCAAAGCTTGTTATTTAACTGTGCTTATTGAGGATAGCGGCAGAAGGTAGGGGGAGGTGTCACAGACGGATGGGTAGAATTGTACCAGACTCCTCTATCGTAGGCTACAGATCTGTAAATTCAGTGGCAAAGAGCAAGTGTTTGCACTGAAACACAGTGGCTCATTTAATAATATCAAGATTTTCGGCATCAGCCAATTTGTTTTCTCACAGCTACTGGTCTAAGAGATGATTTGAACAGTGCCTTTTTCTGCTAAAATCACTTAAAGGGAGAACCGTCTTTTAGATCCTGCATTGTATCAATTGTGCTCCAGTACAAGTGCTCTGCTAGCATTTAAACATACCCAGTATGTACTGGAGAGGATGCATATCGTCCTTGTCTACATAATTCAGGTACCTAACTATGATACTGAATTTATGATGGAGATATCCTTTAATCCTAATCCCATTCATTGTCTCCTGGGATTTTTACTGACAATCCCCTTGGAATCAGGGTGTAGATTTTTCACCCTTAGCATTTCAGAGTGCACAAATTTTGGACAATTCCTAATTTCTTATTTTTAAGTCAGTATATTGTTTTTTTCAAGACCTACAGAAAACCAACTTCATAAATAAGAATGAATTGAAGAAATATTCAAAGTTTGCACTCTCTAAATTGCTAAGAAAAATCCAAGTTTAAATTAAAGGGAATTTATCTTCCCTCCCCCATTCCCACAGAATTGAACCTGCAACCTCTGCTTTGTATGGCTTAATTCTACACAAGGACTTAAGATCTGGTTGATTAGTTATTTGCCATCAAAAAGGACTGTAATAATGATCCTTGAATTTGATACAGCCGCGTAGTGACTGTGCAGGCGAATGGGCCTGCACCTATAAGCAGCAGACATGCACCAGAAGTGATCTTTGACAGTTCCTCCCTATGTTACTATTGT